TGGAGGCTGCTGATCTATTGCCCACCGATAGCGGTATCAATGGGAGGGGTACTCGGTGGAACCTGTACCTTATTGACTTTGGTTGTATGCAGTCCAACGGGGACCTTGCATGGTGCACTGCTGCTTATGAGCTGACAAATGCACCTGTCACGTGGAGATTATGCAGGGTGTCAATTCGCAGACACCTCAACTAGGTTCCATGTCCAAATGAACCTAGCATGTTTCTCGGGTCCTACGCCAGCGGGATGGCACGCTGCAAGCACAAGAGAGGGCTCGCACTTCGCATAGCAGGACCACTACTCAGAAACTGTTGCGTGGTTTTGCAGTTTCATTCACATATGTACTATTGTGCTCTGGTGTTGCAATCACTACCTCCCCCTATGTGCCCAGGGTTGGAGATATCGGCTGTGGAGGCCGCATTGTTCCCAGTTCAGGCTCGCGTTCCGCGTTCAAAACGTCCTGGTCTATTGATCCAATGCACTACAGTATACATGCATGCTTCCTTACTACTCTGGTAATCATCCTTGTACGTTTCTACGCTCTGGGAAAAGACAAGAGGCACATCTGGCTGTAGTAATACCAGCAATTCCCTCGAATGCCAACGGAATACGTACCAATACGTCGAGATCAGGACCGAAGGGACCCTGTTTTGGTTTAAATTTTTCGAGGCAGGAACATACAGGCTGCCAAAATTGGTCAATTTTGGGGACCTATCCAGAGTCAAGTTTGCAATGCAAAACAGCCTTTCCGCAAGAGTTGAGCATGTAGTAGTGGTGGATTTTTGGTGCGTTTATCCCACGCTGGCACATGCACAACACCCACAATCACATTTCATGGCCAACGTGTGCTTGCTCCCGTTGCTTGATCCCAGCTGTCAGCCCTTACCCTCCGCAAAACAAGCCCCGAAATTCCGCCCATGTCGTATTTTGTCAGCATCAATATCTGCACGTGACCTTATCACCGCCATTGCACGTGTGCTTATGCAATCCACACTCCTTCCCACGTGATATTGTGCTATCGCAACCTCCCTATACACATACTATCGGCTTCAAAACAACAGCCCCTCTAAGACATACCGTGATTATTAGAAACACCACACTAACTTTGGAAATCGGTTCCGGCATGTATTTATATGCTGACTTCCCTGTAACCATAATAAACTCGAGACTGAACCCTTCTTTTACTCGTTAGCCATAGCATTATCCAGCTCCCAGTATTTGCACAGTGGCCCATCGATCATCCATTGACAGGACGCCAGCATAACCAACCCGTAACGAAGCAAGACTGAGAATCAGGTGACAAGAGAAACCAGATCATCCAGAGCAAAAGTCCACATTCTTTTCCAGTAAAACCAAGCAAAAGTTAGAGCCAATCCCCCAGTTGCTAACCCCATAGCAACGCCTGATATCACCAGTCACGATTCTCTACTCAACCAAGTTGCTCATACATAGTCACAACCGGACTTATCGGATCTTTTGAGGAATATCATGTCTGACAATCCTCATTCCACATCGTCTGCCCTATTGGAGCAGTTGGTGTACATCGACAACTTCATGTCGACGAACGGCTCCAACGCCGGTGATCTGACTCCAAACTTGGACATCGACGGTCAGCTTTCCATCGATTTGGCCGCGTTTGCTGACGATTCGTTCATCTTTCCCGACGAAGACAAACCCAAAAATCGTGACAACGACAACGACGATGCAAACAAGGACACGCGTATAAAAGACGACCCTGAGAAGAAACGGAGTTTGTTGGGCGAAAACCAGTCCACGATTGATTCGTCGTTCTTGGAGTCGTCGCACGAAAACACGCCTGGAACGTTTCCCTTACTCCAAAGCCAGAACCTGAACGGAGTGAGACATGCCGATGACAGGTCCAACGACCAGGGCTTGCGGGGACAGCGCCAGGTCCAAGACCACGGCGATTTCCACCACCAAAATGTGGATCAGCACAACAACCGTGGGGTGATTTCAACCTCGTTTCTCGACCAGTTGAACGTGTCCAAACTCCCAAAATTCCCGGTTCCTCCAGGTGCAAAATCCTCGTTAGTGTCAGCAGGACTTTCACAGAACCAGATCGACTTGCTTAGCGCATTGATTGCCCAGCATCAAACAAGCTTGGGCAACTCCATTCCTCCCTCTTCCACGTCGCCTGATTTGCATCGTCAGCAGGTGCCCCATTTGCCGAGCCAGGGTTCCAGTTTCAATTTTAATTCTCCTGTCCGTCAGCACAACCTGATACCGAACCTTGTGTCGCAAGACAAATCGGACTTTGACATCTCCAATTTTGCAGCCGCAGAGACTCCAGCATATGGCATGAACAGCCCCGTGCAACAGTCGCCTCCGTCGGTGACGTCCTCCACGTCGTCTTTAGGGACATCTGTGTCTGCATCGACGTTCAGTGCAGCTGCCACCACCGGACATGGCAGCTCAGGATCGATTTCGGGGTCTTCCAACGGGTTTGTGTCGTCAGAACTCGACAAGAGACGTCGCAACACGGCAGCTTCGGCCAGGTTCCGTATCAAGAAAAAGCTCAAGGAAAAGCAAATGGAAAACCAGTTGCTGTCGCTCAACGACTTGATCAAGGACTTCGAGGTCAAGGTGCAGCAGTTGGAGATGGAGAACAAGTTGTTGCGGAACTTGATTATCGAGAAGGGCAGCCAGAAATCCGACCAGGAGCTCAAAGTGTTGAGAGAGAGAGCCAGAATGGGCTAGTTTAATTGCGCGTTCGATTCTCGTGCCAGCTTCATTTCTAGGGCCAAATGTGTCCCACGACAGTTTGTCTGTTTCTAAAATTTCTATAGTTCTCGCATGTACTTTAACTACACTTGATCGTACGATCACACGACAGAGAGTGTATGCAAAGAAGCGCGTATTGCTGGTGGAGGTTTTGCCTATTACTACCAGCGTGCTGTGATTGGTCGTGGTGGTGCTTGGCACATCTTTGATCCACCCTGCCCATCGCAGACTGATCTGGCCCGCACGTGACAGAATTTCACCGTTGACGAAGTTAAGCGGCCGAGATGAGATCCATCGAGAAAAATCGAGATGTTATGGGGTTGTCCTATAGGCCCGTGTGCCCCAGACTATGGACTGCTGCAGTTCACCATTTTGAGCACGAATCATGGTGCCAGGGCCGGGTTTCCGTGCGGTCTTCCCAGGGGAGAAGCGTAGTATTGCTAGTAGACGAGGTGCCCTGACGAGTCCAGGCTCCAGCGGTGTGTAGACTGGACTCCAGGCTGCCTGACGCCTCGAGCGGAACTTCCTGGCGGCTAGTGCTTTTGGTTTATCTGCTGCTTCGGTTAAAGGGGTAGCGCATCGAGGTGAAAAATTTAATTGATTCAGCCCAGGAACATTAATTCACCATCCACGAAATGGTGTCGACCAGATCCAAAACCAGAGGGGATCAGCTGCCCGACAGGCTACCGAGCACGGGTCCAGACCCCGACTCGGAGAGTTTGCCAGCAATCTTCCCCAGCCAGGAAGCGATGATGGAGCACCCAGAACACTCGGCCAGAAAGAGAAAGAACCCGTTCGAAGCTCCTGGTCTCGACAGCTTGGCCAAAGTCGCCGAGGCCATGGATACCACGGTACGGATGTCTGATAAGAGGCTCGAGACCGACACAGAGGCCGAGGTTTTGACCAGTAAGTCCACCCCAGCCACCGACGTAGACACTGATTTCGTGGGAAGTAATGGAGGTGCTGTCAAATCTGATCCCACGTCAGCAACGCTGGAGTTGTCCTCTCCAAGCAACCTGAGGCCCGAGACTCCCATGCCTCCCATCCACCACGCAGTGTCGATCATATCGCAGAGCATCACCTCGTTATCACCAACACCCAATCCAGTGTCCGACGAATCCGACCACCCTCCCAAAAAACGCAAATACAAGATAGACAGAGAGAACATCAAGATAAACAAGAGAATCATGAGCAAGGACACCGAAGAGGTCATCCGCATGTTCAAGAAATTCGACGAAGAGGTGCTCACCAACCCAGATGCAAAATCAAGATTGCTTTCGCTAGGCTTCGAGACCAGAAAGAGGTACATTACCACCTTCAAGCATTTCATCAGATTCTGCTGCAGCAAACAGCTCGACAACTTCTTCGTGACTGGAGAGTTGATGAAGGAATTCTACGAAGAGCAATTCGAGAAGAGTACTAGCGACAAGCCGGTGATCCGTTTGCGAAAAATGGACCCAGCCTTCAGCAAACTCCAGGAAATCAATTTCTTGGTCTATGGTCTCGACAACAAGGATATCCCCAATCGTCAGGTGGCCTTGGACTACTTGATATACAAAGAAACGGGAAAGCTTCCAGGCTCCAAGTACAGAAGACCCGAAGGGAAGGACAGCGACAAATTGAAAACGGAGTCCAGTGTCGAAATCTCGAAGAGCTCTACTCCTGTCGAATCTGACTCGGAAGCTCACTCAGGCTCCGTACCTCCAGAAACCCAAATAAAGCCCAGGAAGAAGGGCATCAAGAAGGACGAAATGATTTCGTTCTTAAAATCGTCATACTACAACCACAAGGAAGACCTCAACAATGCGGTGTCACAGGGTATGACCATGATCAGATCCATGACCAACGACCCCCAAGTTATGGAGGTGCTATCCAGCTTGATGGGAGAAATTAATGGTTCGTGTGAAAGGTTCTACTATGATATCTGCAATGGCCCTAGCTTGGGTGACAGCGAGAGTGGGCCGGTGGAAAACCCAGGGGGTGCCTTGAAGTCAGATTCAAAGTACCCGGTAGTGGAGATGAACCACGACATCTACACCATCTACGAAATTCTCGAGGAATGGTACACCATAGAGCCAAGCATCAGTACCAGAGTGGAAAAGTGGGGCACTAAGTGGATAAGTGACGAGATTGACCACGAAACATATCTCGAGAGAGCTTCTATAGTGAAGTTCATCGACAGACTTTGTACAGAGTGCGACGAACCGGACAAATTTATCATGGCTAATGATTGTGACAGGTATATCAGGGATAAGTCGATTTTGGACGAGTTCATTACAGAGATAGAATTGGACGTCGAGACCTTATTCAAGCGGGTCATGCGCTACAGAAAGAAACATAAACGTATATAATGTATAATAGATCATGGGTGGAGACGAGCTGTAGGTAGTAGGGAGATAAGATTGCACTATGGTGATGAGAGCGTTGAATGAGACGGTAAATTGACAGGTATGAGATGCAAAAATAACGGAGGGAATCCATGATTGTGCTTGTAGAATTGATAAGTACGGGGTGAATAAAAAAACGGTCGGAACCATTGCAGAATTCAAAGTTTTCCCACCCTTATGTTTCCAGATATAATGTCAATAAAAGCTCCCAGTCAACTCATCCTTTGAGAACCCATTCATAATTTTTTGGAATTTTTACTCACAGAATCCTCTCAGTTTTTGTGTGTTGATAAGAGAACAATCTAATCATATTTCGAGACGGGAGTCAAGTGGAGTGCCCCGCCTAGAGTCTTTATTGTTCCATCCGTAAGTCGTACCTATCCTATTGGTTACGAACAAGAGACGGCTCCTGTGCAAAAATCTACAACCATTCTTTCAGATTTGTCATTAATTATATCATAACGTAGCTAGAAAAATCGTTACACTGCTTGGGAAGCATCCTTGTGGCTGCCAACATGATCAACAGTTGGCTTTTCGGTGTCCCTCAACATGTTGTGGGCAGACTCGTCGTCAGAGTCCTTCTTGTCGTACTCTTCATTTTCAATGTCGAGTCCGTTTTCGTCAGCAACATCATCTCTCTCAATACCCAAGTCAGCACCTCTGTTTTCAGGACCAACAAGAACAATCAAAATGACGAAAGTAAACACACAGGCAATGAAGATAGCCATGACTTTCGAGTAGTCGTATCTCTTGACACCAGAAGAACCACCTTCAAGAGGGAATCTTTCACCAATGGTGGATTCGATGGTGGAAGAGGCAGATGAACACAAGTTACCCAATTGGTAAGAGACACCGGTGACCAAAGATCTGAATTGGGGAGGAGCCAATTCGGACAAGTGGATTGGAATGACACCCCAGGCACCTTGGACACCGAATTGCAAGAAGAAAGCACCAGCGTTAATACCAGAACCCTCAATAAAGGCCCATGGGTAGATCATGGCACCACCGAGAAGACAGGCCAAGATGATGGCCAATCTTCTTCCGATGAAGGTGGAGAAGTGGCCGAAAACCATACCACCAGCAATGGCACCGAGGTTAGCAACAGCATTGGTGACAGTGGCTCTGTCGTGAGAGTAGCCGTACTTGACAGTCAACAAAGTAGGGTACAAATCTTGGGAGCCGTGGGACATGAAGTTGAAACCAGACATCATGAACACCGAGTAGAGACAGATCAACCAGTATTGCTTGAAAGCCTTACGGGCCTGGGACTTGAACTCCTTGAACTTGGACTTCTTTTGCGACGAACTTTCGTTGAATCTTTCCTTTTGGCGGATGAACGAGTCGGTTTCGGGAGTGAAATATCTCCAGACGATGAAGATCACAGGCACACCAGCGGAGAACCAGAACATGGCTCTCCAGGTGTGTGGCGAGTTGTCAGCGATGGCTCTTTGGAAGACGACAGCAAGCAAGTAGCCCAAGGCATAGCCTTCTTGGAACATACCACTCAAAATACCTCTGGCTCTAGGAGGAGCATCTCCGAGCGCATCGGCGGCGCAGATACCGAACAAACCTCCCATGGCAATACCGAAAAGCGCTCTGACCCCCAAAAACTGCTTGTAGGTCTGCACGAAACCGGTACCGATCTGAAGAACAATCAAGAGAATCAAGTTGGTGATGTAGGGCCATTTACGACCCTTGGTGTCACTCCAAATACCGAAGATGATGGCACCCACCGTTCTCAACATGAGAACCAAGGTGATACCCCAGGTGACATCTTTGACAGATACGTCAAGAGACTTGGCAATACTTGACACATTAAGCGACGTGGTGAAAAAGTCAAGTGCGTCCCAGGTCCATGCAGCAAGACCCACGCAGAAGAAGTTCCATTGCTTGGCATTAAGCTCACTGAGCGCAGCGAACGGGAAAAAGATCTCGGTCTTGGAGTACTTCAGGAGCTCTTCCTTGGGCACGAAAAGCGAGGGGATACGGGTCTTGAAGTAGGTGGCGATGGCCAGCGACGTGAATCTGGGAGGCTGGATAATGTGGGCGTTGTGTTCCTTGGCCTCCTCCTGGGTGTACACGGTGTGGATGGACCGGGTGGTGTGAATAGACCTAGCCATAGTGTTTGGGTGTAAAGTGATGGATAATGCTGGTGCAAAGGGGGCAGGTGCCTCTTATTATATACGGCTGGGGTCTGTAGCAGTACGTCTGTTCCTGCTGTAGAACTTAGTAATAGTTGATATGCAGTTACGAGCGTGCGGCATCCCCACATTTGCGGTAGAAGAGGTGGGGTTAATGAGCAGACAGCTAGGTCAAACCGGAGTGGCTGCCTCTGGCGACATGCGGGAGGGAGGGGTTAAGCAGACAACCGCCTCAACGCGTAGGAGTGGGCTGAAAGCCTGCTATGGTGATCTTTGTTGCCCGGGTCCTGGCGATAAAATAACGAAAATAATTCCCCGATAGTGTCGGAGTTCATGCAGCTCACCCGGAGAGCGTGCCCCGCGGTGGGCGCACGCCGCTCAATTTTCCGTGTTGCATTTTGACAACGGCACTGGGAAAACTCCGGGTGGAGTGGGGTACGGCTTCGCGACTGCTGGAAGGGCCAGGTTATGAGTAGAAGAGCGCTCTTTACATTTGTAGGTCCGTGGTGGGGCACATTTCGTCAGATCGCCGCCACTTGTCCCTTTTTCTTCCGTGGAGTCCCTATCCCACAAAGCGAGCCTGCGTCTGATTGGAAGATAACACTCCAGAAAACGATGGCCGTTCGGGCCATGCCGACACGTGATCCCGGGCGCCGTGTTTGTATCCTGCCCGATGGAATTTTGGATTGGCCCGATATTCATCCCGTGGGTGCAAAATCTTCGCTTAACACCGCTCAATGCCGTGGAAAACATCCCAAACTACCATTTCTACGCGGGTTTGCAAGCTCCGCGGACCAGGCCTCATCGCGATGCCTACCTCAGTGCATAACCGTGGGCATCCGACGGGTATCCGTGGGCATCCATCGAGGGCACAGCGAGCTGGCGTTGTCGCATTAGTCTCGTGTCTGGGGCTTCTAATGGAGCAACAGTCACTGTGCGTTCTACAATAGAGATCGCCCATGCCAATGCTAGATGGGAAGTCTACCCCTAGACTTCAACTGATATTCCCTCCCACGACTCTACTGGAGATCTGGTGCTGGATCTCGTGCAGATCTGGTGACGAGTGGAGTGGCCCCATTGCGGCCTTCGGTGTGACACCCGCTCTGCGGGTTGGTGCCCGTAAAATCGACGTACAGATGCCAAAAACAGTTATGCGAATATTTTCAGACATTTGTCTTGGAGGGGACCCTACTCCTCCCAACATGGTCCACCACTTGTGGTGTTCCAGACGGTCCTATTGGGGACATTGCCCAGAAAACACTGGGCAGTGGCACATATCCGAAAAGTGGCCAGAAACTGAAATAGTGTGGTTCCGGGTCTTCCCTCTGGCTGCACCTGCCCCGCTGTTGACAAACCCCCCAGATCGTCGGAGTGTGAAGTCCAAGCAACCGAGTTTACCTGATGACTGATAGGTTTCGGAGTGTGACAAACCCCGAAAACCAGGCTATGGGCTCGGAGGAACTCCACTACGATACGAGAAGACAAAAGTGTAACTTCAAATTTCGTTTGGTTGGACATTTAGGTTTCGGGCATCGAAGGAGGCGTAGTCCATTTCGCTCAGTTGGGAACGAAGGTCGTTGCCAGCTATTCCACCAGATTTCCAGATTGTAGGCAAGCTCCAGCCCAGCCCCGGACTGCAGCAAATACGCAAGGTACGAGTGGAAAAATGACACCCAGAGAGCGGGGTCGTGCCACAGTAGCTCGGGGAAACTGGAATGAAGGCGAGGCGTTGCTCGAAGGGGGAACATCAAGCCCTCCAAAACGTGGGGTAGCCTCCAAATCCCAGTTCACCTATGGAACCCCAACGATCAGCGGGTTGTCGTCATGGAGGTGTGTCGCTACGACTAGTGCTGCATGTCGCCATAATATCTGTGGGTTTCTGACACCAAGAAATTCTCCGCACTTGGCGGTGTCACCAAGACAATTTGCACGCATGGTACTGTCAAGCACACAGTGACACACAGCACCAATTACACGGGGCTTTGAGGGTACTGCCAGAGAACACCTTGGGGGCTGAACGTCGCCAAAGCCTGGTGGCGGTGGGCGGGATTGCCGGATGTGCCGGTGCCAGCAGCTGGGTGGATGAAATTTAGTGTTGTACATGTAGATTACTCCAAGGTTGGGGTTTTGCGGGGTGCATGCTTCTGTGCTACTTGTCTGATTTGTCAGTAGATTCCGTAGCTGCAATTGCTCGTTTCAGAAACTCGTTGGAAGCATGGTGGGGTAGCAGTCCCAGGACCCTTCCGAGAAAACCCGTCCCGGGGCTGCATGGATGTTCACATTGGCTGAGATAACACATCAAACTGAAAAAATATATTCCTATAGGCTACAAACCGGCAGGCCGCTAGAACCACTTTCTGGTCACCTCGTAGTTTGCAACCACTGGACGGTGATCCGAGCAGTGGAAGCCCTTGTTGAAGTTGTTGAGAATACCAAAGTGCTTGAGAATCACTCCGAAACGGTCAGATTCTTGGCTGGGAACACTGGCGTGGTGGTGGCCGTGGTGGTGTGTCTTTGACTCTCCCTTCGACTCTCCCATCGACTCTCCCTTCGACTCTCCCTTCGACTCTCCCTTCGACTCTCCCTTCGACTCTCCCTTCGACTCTCCCTTCGACTCTCCCTTTCCCTCCCTCGCCAAGTTGCTCAAGGTGTACTCGGGAGACCATATATAGTCGATGATGGTGTTCTGCTCGTGCTCGTGGTTGAAGCCTGTGAACGTGGCGTTGGCTCCGTACGAGTACGCTGGGTCGATCAACGTCCTACTGTCCTTGAACCCCGAGGAACGGAGGACACCATAGGGTAGGTCGCTGGGCTCGGTGTTGAAGTCTCCACCCAAGAACGAAGGGTACCCGTTGTGGTTCTTCATTTTGTCCACAATGAGCTCAGCAGACTTCTGTCTGGCCACCACTCCACGGTGGTCGAAGTGGGTGTTGAAGAAGTTCAACTTGACCAACGGGTTCAGTGTCAGCTGCAAGGTCACCAACGTGACGATCCGCTCGAGCGCAGCGTCCCAGCCTTTACTGCCAGGTACTTCTGGCGTTGGACTGAGCCAGAACGTCAGATTCTCCACCAATACCCACTCCGATGGCTTGTACAAGATGGGAGCATACTCACCTCCAGTACGGCCATCAGTGCGTCCCACGCCATAGTAAGTCCAGGATTCGCCTTGCTCGGCGTTGCGATTCAATCCGTGGATAATCTCCTCTAATTGGTGGTGCAACACCTCCTGGAGACACACCACGTTGGCGTAGCCAGTGGCACCAGCATTGAAGTCGATCGAATTGACCACCTCGGCCCTGCGCACGCTCCATGGCTGCTCGCCCCAGTCTCTATTACCTCGGTTGTCGTAACGGATGTTGTGGGTGTATACCCGCAATTTCAAGGGCCTGTTGAGCGGAAGATGGCCAGTACCAATCCTGGATTGCATGGCAAAATAGCTCTTGATGAGCACGAGGATCACTAGCGGAACAAATACGTACTTGAAGTAGCGGCTGGCACGCGACTTGCGGGGCTGTTCGATTGCTTGGGGAACTCCTGCGTCGGAAACGACGTAGATGGTGGGTTCCGTCATTGTGGTGGGTTCTTTATGATTTTGCTTGAAATCTGGGGTAGTGCGCCAGGGGTGCGACAGGAGCAATAGTAGTGGATCATACAAGAACCGATGATACAGGTCAAAGACAAGCATAATACAGTGCAGGTGATTGTAATCTAAGAACAGCGGATTGTACGTCAGAACAGATGATTATACGCCAAGTGTAACTGAGATTTTCTTCAATTGCGGATATACTTCCTAAATAGATGGTTAATGCTTATATCTCAAGTAGTCATTAGGTACAGATCTTGTCCCTGCCCTCCTACGGGTGCAAGATTATTGTGCATTGGCTAAGTCCTAAACAAATGGCCTATCCGCTTTTTCGGTTTTTTTGACTTTTTGATATTTTCCTGGAGTTTTGTAATTTTTCTGGTTTTTTGTAATTTTTATGGTCTTTTGAAATCATTGTCCTAATAGTTGGCATGTGGTGGCCCCAAGATTCCAAACAACAACTCCCTGAGCACCTTCAACTGCGATACACCGGGCGTGTACTTCCTCATCCCAAACCCATTGAGCAAGATATTCACTTCGACCTTGACCAGGTTCACTTGGTAGTAATTTCTGAGAAACTCTTCCAAGGCCATTAATGCGTTGTAAGTAGTCAACTTGTCACTCGCAGTGAAGGCCATGAAGTTCAAGATGATGAGGGAAGACTTCACCTGGGGGTCTGCAAGCTCGACTTCCAAAAATGACAAAATCTGTTGGTGGGGGTGAACCGAAGCGACTTGAATACCCTTGACTTTCCTGAACAGCAAAATCAGTTCGCATTCGATGCCTGAAAATACAGAAGCAGCATTGGTGATCTTGAGGCAGGTGGGTTTGAAAACAATGGTGAACTTGCTTCTTCTTTCCGTGTAGTCCTCGATTCTGGTAGCTCTGATGCTCTCTCTCCGGATAAGTGGGTGAATAAAGCCGGTTCTTCCAACGCGATATGGGGGGTTGTAGGGCTCGAAGGGAGCGAGGTACCTGGGAACATCAAAAACAGATCCCTCAGAGCTGGTGCTGCCCTCATCGGACGAATCATAAGCTTCTGGTTCGTCGACAAGAGGAATTGCGTTGAAGAGCGACATAAGAAGAGCGAGTTGGTTTGAAGTTATGGATCGGAATCGAGAGGTCCTTTTATAGTTGGCATTATCTTTTTGCTATGCTTAAACCCAGCTCTTTTAGTCCATGTCGCTAGTTCAAGTTCTATGCTTATGCTAAAAGATTATGAGCTTTTTGCACTTCCTACGCTTTACGCTTCCCCTTTCTAAAAATAGCCATCACTCGTTCATAGATTACCTTGTACTGCTACGTCTATAGACATGCTTATTTCTGGGTTTCTTTTTCTCGATCTACTTGGTAATATTTCGCAGCCATGTTCACAAATAGAAAGGGTGCAAAATTGATCCCTCGCACGAATACCAACTACAAACCTAGCAAGAACCATCTGACACTACACTTGCAACCAGTAACTGATTCTGTCGTTAATAACGTATGCTATTTATGTAGCTACTTTCTTTTAGTGGTGTTGTTTTCCTGATGAACTGCAGACGAAGTTGACTCGGAGGCTGTAACAGTCTCGATCTCGTGATCAGAGAGCTCCTCTATCTTTGGCACATATTGTACCTCAGTTTCCGGCTTTTCTTCCTGGAGGCTTGGTTCTTCACTCTTGTTGAAAAGTACAAACATCAACACTGCCCAAGTTCCAAAAATAACACTCAAAACCACAACACTAATGGAACAGTAAATCACAAATCTAACTGGTGACTCGAGAACAGTTGGAACAGGGTCCATGACAAACTCGAAGATAAAATCACTGAACTCCAAATATTGTCTCTTAGATGCCATTCTGATAAAGTTCAAGAACTGTGAAAGAGTGGACTCTTCGGGATCGGCAAACAACAAATCCTGGAAGTCCGGAGGAGGAGGAACTGGCTCGTTTCTTAACTTGGGTCTGTTGGCTTCCCTATAAACATGCTCCAACTCGTATTTTGGACGCCATGTTTCATTTCCAATTTGTTCAGCTTCTTTTATCAGATGGCCCAAGTAGACGTTGTCAAACATGACATTGGAATCCATGCTCCACAATTCGAAAGCAATTGCTCCGATCGGCTCGAGGTCAGAGGGTCTTTCGTCGTTGTAATACTCAGGGTTTGGAATTGTTCTTGGCTTCCATTCCCCTTGATAGTCTGGATTGTCGATTCTTGGAGAGGCCCATGGACCGATGTAATGGGGGTTGTCTACTAATGGGGGCTCCCATGGACCACACCCAGAAATATTTTCACACTCTGGATTAGGCACCAAAGGCGCAATCCACTCGCCATCTTCTTCTTCATCCCAGTAATCTGGCACTTGTGAGTCTTCCGCACGCACCAACTTTGGCTTGGACTCATCCCAATCCTCAGGCTTTTCAGCACGGACATCTGGGATCTGGGTCCAGACGTGGTTCAATTCGTAGTTGTCTGGCTTCTCAGCGTTAGGATCTGGGATAGTCAACCTTTCATCCCAGCCGAATGGCTTTTTATCGTTTGGATCTTCGATTTCACGCGGAGGGTTCAAAGGTGGCCTCAATAAGCTAGTGCTTGTGACCAAGTTTCCCGCTTTGGCGACCTCACCATTGATTCTAATTTCGAAGTCTTGGTTTTTCTTGATGATCAATGTGTACAAACTGCTCAAAACACCACCTTTTGACATTGGAGCCGTCCGCAAATGCTTCTCCTCCGCAACACCAGTGTGTGGGTTGACTCTTTTGATTATAAAATGGACCATGTTCTGCGATCCACACTTGTCTGGGCCAAACATGACTTGGTATGGAGTGTCGGAGTTGAATTTCAGGTAATCCGCTTGCAAGCTCAATAACTTGACATACGTACCTCCACAAGACAAATCGTTCTCTAACTTGATTTCATATTGGAAAACCAAGTCGTTTCCTGTGTTATCAAATGGCTCATCCAACTTGCGAGCAATGGCATAGTGGGCAGCCTGGCTTTTCATGACCAAACCACGGTCGTTGGCATAGCCCTTGACCTTCTTGGATGTCTCAATGCCCCACTCTCCGTTGTATGCGACCACTTCCCTTCTGCCTTCATCGAACTTGGTGGCTGATGATGGAACCCATGGGGAAGACTTCAAACTGTCGTAGTCAAATTGGTCAAAGATGGCCCCAGAAGTGAGATGCTTTTGGTAGGGGGCGTATTCGGGAATTTCAAGCCCAAATGCTTGAACGAACAAGGCAAGGACTACAAGACACTTGAGCATTTTGATGATAGCTTGGTGGTGGTGGAAAATTCTAGATAGTGATCACCAGCACGTGACCAGATCACTGGTCCAGCATTAATCCGCTGGGCTTCTCCTATAAATTTACGTGGCCATCATGGCTGGGGAACTCGGGGAAGAGTAATAGGGTCATTCTGTCATCCGCTTGCTAGTTACGTTTTTTTTCTTCCTATCTTGAGTGTATTTCTATGGTACAATCTATATTTGTCTGAGCCCTACTTGAAGTGACAAATGACTAGGTTCCAGATTTAGGCCTCTGTCTCTTCCAACAAAGCAAACTTGTTGGCTGGGTTTTGAGGCTTGACTTCTTCTTCTTGTTCGTCGTCTTGGTAGAAGTTTTTGACGTATTCATCTTCGGCCTCCTGCTCAAGCTCCTGCTCGGTCAAAGGAGCCTTACCCGATAATTCGATCTCCCTTCTCTTTTCGTCTATCAATTCGTTCTTGATGTTCTTGTTGATCTGGTCCCAGCCCGCTTTTCTGGCATTTTGAACGTATTTGGCTCTGGCGATACTTTGCTCGATCTTCGTACTTAAGACCCCGCTGAGCTTGTCGGATCTTTCCAAACGATGCTTCAAACTGTTGGTCTTCTTCTTGTTCTTCTTGACTCTGCTGCTTTCCATTTTGGCGTTCAACAAGTTTTCGTTTTTGATGGTGGTACGGATGATGGACTTCTTGACACCATCGGATTCCGCCTTGGGAAGTTTCTCCAACTCCTTAATGCCTTCATCCACTTCTCCTCTTCTGGCGGCTCTGCTGTGCTTCGAGACTGTTGTTAGTATTGGATTATGGTAGCGATGAGTTCGTGGTCTTGAGGGTTGGTTCATTGGTTTATTTCGGTAAAAGCCGGATGAAACATGCCGAGTTCATTCGAGACCATATTCTGAAGCGTTCTGGAGGCCTCTTGGACCTCAACAACGCCCCACGGGCCGTACTTACTCTTCTTAGCCATTTCGATGTGGTTCACTATCTCATCCCATCTCGAAAAAATGCCAGAGGTTGATTACGTCAGACGATCTGGTCGTCCGCCCCACAACTGTATAACCGCGATTTCAGGTTTCACCGTCCAAAATAAGCCAACCTGCCCACCATCCCTGTCAGAATGAACGTCGAAGAAATGCCTAGTATGTCCCACATGCACCCTTCTTCTCACAGCCTTTACCACACCGCGTTGGGTATCGAGTGGTGGGTTTGACTACGCAATTCACTCCAGTGTGGGGGCAGTCGGAAGGCTGCTCATATCGGAAGGTGAAGTGCTTAGTGACCACCAGCAAGTCAACGAGTTTGGTGTTCGCCTGCACCCAGTAGGTGCTAGTCAAGGTACCGAAACCGTCTTTGTTCTGGTTCTGCCCAGCGTCATCTCGAACCTCCCCAACAACCTCAACCATCACCTTGTGAATCTTGTGGATTACATCACCGATACCTTGAATATCACCCAGGCTTACTTTCTTATTGACAGAAGCACCGACCCAGTGCTCTCCTTGCAGTTGGTCAATCTCCTCCGCCAGACCATCGATGGGATGTTGGTGCAGCCGTCTGCTACCCCAACCATTATCACCACGTCTACATCCAAACCTGTCACCATAGACCCCTATGATTGGTACATAGTCAAGTGTGCATTATAGAAGGTTACCTGAGAGTGACCGATAAGGGAAGAAATAGACATTTGAACTGAATTTTTCGTAAGTCGGATAGTCCTAGCAATCAGAGAAAGCGGCTTTCGAGTACGATTGAGTAACAGATCTTACATTGAATCGAGTTTAGAGAATGTAAATTTAAAATACCTATGATTAATAGTATTGTAAAAACTGCGCTAATACAAGCAATGATAATTTGGCGAACCAGTTTGATTGAGACTTGTGTACATATCTAAAGGTGTTATGTCCAATTGATGTAATTCTAATGCTTTGAAGTTAGCTAAGATAGATAGTTCTTATACATTTTCATCATTGATTTGTAAATTTGTTTATACCTCCAACGCTCTTTTACCGTTCTCGTTCAACTCCTTCTCCTTCTCCTGCTCTTTCTTCACAGCCTTGACATACTCCTCGCAAGCCTTCTCCAACCCTATTTCCATTGGACTGATGCAGTTGTGGAAATCCTTGATGATCTTGTCTTTTAGTTTATCGTTCGTTTTTACAAGCTCGATTTCACCAAAACTTTTGATGCTTCGCTCCTTCAATGCATTTAAATCATTTTGACAGTTCTTGAGACTGACGAATATTTTCTTGAGCTGGTTTGGGTTATTTCCTCCAAGGAATAGCTTCCAGAAATGCGAGAGGAATTCAACAATAGTCATGTTATAGGTGATGATTTCTTGTATAAGAGATTCAGGGATCAAATTCTTGGCCACTGATTCGCCTGCTGTGTACTCCTTGGTAATTAGTTTATGTGTACGGAAATTTTGCTTGACTAACTGCAAAATTTCATTTGATGTTTTCTCAATCTCGTCATTCTTGGATTTGTAAGTATCGGTAAGATCCAATCCACTTGCGCTTTCTGCAAATTGATTTGACAATATAAAATCCTTTAGAGTTTGAGGATCGAGTTTTGATGCAATGGCTGGTGTTCCACCAGGCGACTCCCCAGTAGCCTGTGGACCTATCTTTTTGTTTTCCAAGTCTGGATCTATGTTTAATCTTATGAAGTGGGGGTCCTCAATCTCGTTTAAGTCATGTAAGTTTAATTCGTCTGTAAAATCATATTGGGAAACGCCCGAATGTTCTTCTGGTTGGTTCTGAATATCCTGACTCATATTCACCATCTTTGAAGAAAGTTTGTTCATGTTCTTCATCAAAATGATCATTTCGTTTTCTTGCCCAGCAATCACAGTCGATCCTCTTCTTTGTAATTGAGGAGAACCCCCAGAACCTTGGCTCTGTGACAATTTCTCTCCATCTTCGGAAAATCTCATGGTCATATCGGGTCTATTTCCGAGCTTAGAAGAGTTGTCATCCTCATTTCCAAGAATATCAATAAACTTGTTCACTCGGATATCTGGTTTCTTCCTGACAGGTTCACTAGTTCCGTCGTCCTCGTTGAAATCTTGGTCTATGTAAAGGTATTTATCGAGAACAACATCACCTCTATCGTTTGAAGTATTGATCTTGTCACCTCTGAGTCTTCTGAATAATTTCGAGTTGAAGAATCTAGACCAAAACTCACCTTCGGAGATCTTCACTGGCACCAAGTCTTTAAATGCCTTTTTAATAATAGGATATGTGTCAAAAATTTCATTGATTGTTTCTCTAGTAACATTGACATTGACTTGATTATCTGAGGTGGCGACTGGTTTGATAGTGGACAACACATTATAAGGGCCCCTATGCTGGGATATGGTCAACGCATACGTTCTCAATTGATTCAAACGACTCGACCAAAAAATGGTAGGCGAAAGCTTGAAATTCATCACCGATTGAGTGAAGATATTACGAAGGTTTCTGTCTTCCAAAAGTAACTTCTGTTGTAATTGAAGGTTCTTGAGGAGATTGGCATCGGAGAGTGAGTCTGAAGACATGGACGAGGACCCAAGTGTAGAGGCCTGCGGTGGTGCTGGGGTTCCAGGGGTGGAGGGAGCTGTAGGGGTCCCTGGGCTACCAGATGCTCCTGGTGTACCCGCAGATGATGGAGGTCCTGGCAGATCCTTGATGATGGTTCTCTGTCTTGCCACGATGGTTTGTAGGGAATCTTTGATGTTGTTCATGGTTGGACGGTTATTGAAGGTCAACCTTATCGACTTCTCTTCCTGGTTGCCTATCTTATACACGATCTTTAAGATCATCTTGGGTGATCCCTCTTTGGTGGCCTGTAAGTTATTCAAACTGTTCAATGGAATAGAGATGGTTTTCAGCCGATCAATGGCCTTCCATTCCACGATCAGGGGAGTCACATCTTCCCTGATGCTGACCATCCCGGACAACTTGTCAACGGAACATGCCCCTGAAACAGAATCCATTTGAGGTGATGGTGTAGATTGGATTAGTCGCTAGCCATTTAGTTGAGTTATATGCGGTGGGCGCACGACCGGTAGCTGCAAAATGGCATTTCTATCTGATGATGGAAGGGTTGGCGATTTGAATTAGATGTGGGCCTAGGAAGCTGTTTTTGGACAAGGTAAGTGCTAGCTAAATGAGCTTATTGGTTTGGAGGAACCCAGAGAAGCACTTGACTATACAATCTTTGAATTGAAATGTCAAGAGCTGGTTAGTATTACTACTGTTCAAGCTGGTAAGACAAAAGTATGCTTTCCGGTGTGACCTTGAGCTAGAGCATTTATCATAATCTAGGACCTTCTAGAGAGTTAAATGAACCAACCCACATAGTCTTAATATTGGCTACCAATCGGTGAAAGATAAACTTGGTATTGTGTTTAAGTAAATAACCAACCAAAACATTCGGATTTCAATATACACCAAAAATTGAAATCCAGAGCTAAATCACCTTTGGAGTATCGTATTCGCCAATATTGATTGCGTTGACACTTGTTGCAAGTATGCGGAAAGCCTCAAATCATATCCAACATAAAAAATTAAAAATACTAAATACAACCAAGCACTACTCTTCTGAAGAACAGACCAACCATTCCACCTCCCATGCCTATCTTCGTGCTCTGCTCTGTCTTGCAAACCCCGGTACTACACCATAAATCCATCACCCAATTTGAGTCACGTGCGGGTGCATCTATGCACAAATGATCTTTTTTACACTACGACCATTCCTCCACTACACCATGTTGACCCGCTCATCAAGGCTACTCAGCGGAGCCTTCAGAAACAGAAGCATACAGCTCGGTGCCTTGAGAAAGGTGTCGGATGCTGCCATCTCCTCGTCAGCCAACCCAGCCGATCCCACCAAGAAATATCAAACACCAGTCACCGTGGATAGAGAGTTTCCCGATCCGTTTGCGGAAAAGAAACAGAACAGGAAGTATTTCGTGGCGTACGGAATCGGGGTAACGGTTGCTTGTATCATCATCTTCAACTACGAAAAGACCACCTCGCCAATCGTCACTTCCACGCTTTTCTTCATGAGAAGATCTAGCATTGCCAAAGAGCAGTTGGGAAACGGCATCGACTTTGCGAGCTCGTGGCCATGGATCTCGGGTACTTTGAACACCAACAAGGGAGACATTGACATCGCGTTCAAAATCAAGGGTGACAAGGGCGTGGGGATGTTGAAGTTGAAGGCCGAGAGAGAGCTGAGGATGCACCCATTCAATGTGCACCACTTTCTCTTGGAGATGGGTGGCGTGGACTATGACTTGACCAAGGACCCAGCTGTCGAGTTCGACATTTAGTGTACATACAATGTAAATAGTTATAAAATTAAATAAAGTGTGATTGATAATTAAAAAAAGATGTTACATAACTATACATCCAAAGGATCATTTGACATTAACAAAATATGACATAACAGAAGGATAATTCGCTGTAAAGAGACTAATTAAAACCTCCAAAGGACCATTGATATTCACAAAGATTTTAATCACAAAATTCGAAGGTTCATTGGTAGCTAGATACCATAATTAAACGTCCAATGATCATTAGATTATATAAAGATATCAAATAGCAACGCATTCAAGGGGATATTGGAAATAACTAGGCATCTAAGGATCTTGGGGATCATCTGATATTAACATATTAATTATCCATTCATTTGTTGCTGATAAGCATTTTACCAATTATTGCCAACAAAATTGCCATTTTTATAAAGTTACTGAGCTACTAATAGAGTATTCAGCTACTACACTAGCAAACAGCCAAGACATGGCATTAACATAATAACCAAGAGTATCGTCTGACATATACTAAGGCGCACATTATATCCTTTAAAACACAGACTATACTAGAAACTCATACTGCACAAACAACCTAACCAAAAACTAACTAACAAAACATCCCTCTACCATATTCTGGAAAGTTAACCGATATTATAAATCACGTGACCCACGTCACGTGACCTCGCACATCGCCGCAGCCCGACCCGCAGGCCTCCGCCTTCCCAAACCAGCAATCGATGCTTTAGGCAATAGGGGCTCATGGCTGGCTCCAGGCCCACCACCCAGCCCGCCGTCTCCACTCCCACTCCTCTCCCTACTACCTCCTCACTCCACTTCCTGGTCTCTACATTCTCCCCCCTTCGCCTTCCTCCTCCTCCTCCTCCAGCCTCCTCCACCCCGTTTATTTATAGACGGTAGTGTGTGTACTATTTGGCTCAATTTGTTCTATACTTGGATTTGCGGACAGTATCATTCCCACGGCTGTTCTGATTTGGCAATCAGTGTTCCGGTAGTGTGTGGCAGCCAATAATCTGGGATTTGACATTTTGCTGTTTGACACCCGCCCACCGTCTGGCAGTTACTTACGTCGTCACCTCCAACTACTCCCACCACTGGTAATACAGCCAGCTCTGCTACGTCTCCTACGTCTTCCGCTACGTCTCGCCAAGTCTTCCGCTACGTCTTCCTACGTCTCCCTAAGTCACAGCCTCCCACCCCAAACTCCCGCTAATCCTCCACCCACCTAGCCATGGCATACACAGAAAGACTCGCCGTGGGGTTGGCGGTAGGAGTGCCCTCGTTCCTCATCCTCACCTTCGTGTTGATACTATGGCTCCGCAACCAGCGCAAACAGCGTCGAGAAGACCAGCGGGAAAACGAGTACGACTTGGGCATCCGCGATGACGAACTGTTTGGCCGCTTCCAGGAGGAGCTCCACCGCCCCTACCAGAAGGAGGAGCCCCAGCCTGACCCCAACAAGTCGTCGTCTACCGCCCAGGGCACCGAGTCTGCCGAAAAGCCCTACATCTCGTCCAATGGCTCGTCCACCAGCACCACCACCATCGAGCACCACAACCAGTCGCTGATCAACCCGCCCAAGTCCAGCCACACTCGGTCGCCCACCAAGAGCGGGTCTGCTTACGACTTCTACGACTCGTTCATCCCGGTGTTGCACCCAGGCTCCACCAACCAGAACTCCTCGTCCACCTTGCAGGAGTTGGCTCCTCCCGTCCACGACGCTGAGTCCACCAACGCCTCCTCCAATAACGTCAGCATCCTCGGCTCCGCGCTCCCCCGCGAGAAGTCCTTGGACAACTTGGCCAAACAGCTCACCGCCCCTGCATTCTTCGAAAAACTCCCCTCTAGAGCCGCCACTGTCTCTTTGAAGCACCGTGGCCCTGGTTCCCAGGTAATGACCGCCAACAACTCGAGCTCCGACCTCGTCGGGTTGACCATTAACGAACACAACACCATCAACGACAACTTCGTTTACGAAGCACCCAAGGTGGACACCAAGGCCGACAATGCCGCCAAAGCAAACTCCTCCACTCCTGGCGCTCTCAGCAAGGTTTTGGGGGGCCAGATAGACAATAGCTTCGACAAGGATGCTGGAATGACCAACAACTCTCCTTTCAAAGACTCGCATACGTCTGACATCTCCGAGGAATCGGAGCCGGGAGTGGTCTTCCAGTGAGAATAGGACAGCATTTTGATGCCTTTTTATTGAGTGCTTGAATATTCTCACCAAATTATCTGTTAATGCTTACTTTCTCCTGTGGACAGTAATGTCGACCATAGATCTTTCTCTTGTACTTTATTGCTTCATTTCTTGTTACGGGCCCAATAAAAAGACTGCATCACCACCGTAGGCCTCCTTTGGGGGACAAGTACTGTACCATATTGGAGCCGGACTCTAAGATGGCCAGGTGTTTTCAAAGGATATGAATAGTATATTTGTCTACAATATGCGTTCATTTAAGAGTCAGTAATACAAATTGTTGATCGTGATAAAGGTTAACTGTAGTTTTTACTAGTCTCAGCCAGTATAGTGATAAACTATACAATTCTCCCAATAAAGTCTTCCTTCCATAAGTTTAATCTAACTGTGAGAAGAATTGCATTTGTACACATTGAGTAGTTTTTACTTCTCACAAACGGTACATTGTTATCAGATTGAAACTCATCAGGTGTAGTTTCTACTTCCTATCATCGATATAAATTTATTTTGTAGTTAAATACATCAATTGTAGTTTCAACTGTCAGTTCATACACTCTGTTGATTGTGATACATTGCAGTAACATTGAGTTTAGTTTTTACTGCTTTCACTTCATACAACAGTATTGTGGCAAATAATGTAACTAGGGCCCATTAAGTACAGTTTTAACTTCCAGTTAATCAACAGTGTTATGATGAATATTGCACTATTTCCTTAATGTCGTTTCAACTATCTGTACAGTAATAAAAATTGGATACATATAGATAACGCTTATATTATGGCCCGTATCAATCACCTAGAGTTCTAGTATGAGTTATGGGTATCACAATTTATAGCTTAGAATTATCCCTAAACTAACATTCATAAATTTTCCGTATTTATACCGAAAACCTGCCTCACATACTAGACACCGCAAAAACCCCAAGTACTTTCCCCAAACTTGATCACTCTTTACATCCATTTCATCCTGCACACAACCGATTCAGCACTAAGAAACTCTCTATTATCTATAGCCCCAGTCACCACCATTATGTTCAGATCCAGGCCGTTCATGGCGTCGGTCATGGCCTCTGCCAGGACCAACTTGAAGCGGACCGCCAACCGTTTTCCTTCACGCTTCCAATACACGCCGTCCCGTCATTATGCCTCATACCGTCGGTTTGATAACTCACCCACACCCTCCATCACCTTGACCAACTTCTTATACAACAGAAACAACATATACTTGGGTCTAGGCTTGGTGGCAGTGTACGTGTACAACTTGGACGAAGCCCCCTTCACCCATCGTTCCAGATTCATCTGGATTCCGTACTGGTTGGAACGCAAGATAGGTGACTATTCGTACCAGCAGATCTTGTACCAGTACCAAAACGACATCGTCCCCTCCAGCGACCCATTGTACGGTCGGATCAGAACCATCATGAACAGACTCTTGACCTCGGCCATCAATTACTCAGACAACGAGAAACAACGTGAACACTTGAAAAGTTTGGACTGGACCATCCATGTGATCAAAGTGGACCCCAATAAGGTGCCTCCTAACGCTTTCATCTTACCCAACGGAAAAATCTTCATATTTTCGTCGATTTTGCCCATATGCCACGATGACAACGGGTTAGCTACAGTGCTTTCACATGAATTATCACACCAGTTGGCCCACCATACCCTGGAGCAATTATCGTCCCAGCCATTCTACATAATGTTGTCAGCCATACTCTACTCCCTAACAGGCACAGCAGGACTCAATGATCTCTTGATTCTGGGTATGCTTCAGATGCCTGCCTCCAGGGAAATGGAATCGGAGGCCGACCACATTGGATGTGAACTCTTGGCCAGGCTGTGTTACGATGTGCAAGAGGCTGTCAAGTTCTGGGGAAGAATGAGCGATTTTGAAGCACGTATGAATGGATCGGGCAGACAAGCCCTCTTACAGGAGTTTTTCTCAACTCATCCAGCTACAGGAAAGAGAATCCACGACATCCAGGGATGGTTACCAGAATTAGAACACATAAAAGAATCCCTGGGATGCTACCAGTACGGTATGGGTGATTTCAATAGACTCAAGACTGAATTTTTTGGGAAGAAGTAACGAATGATGAAAATGAATTACTTCATTGTACCAGATACTACCTGTGATACCTATGAGGATTTCCTCAATATTCAAGGATATTACAATTATTTAAATCTAATAGATACTACTAATAACTATGTACATAATGGCCACTGAAAGCCTGAGCATCAATTTGCTTCTATAGTTTCTTCAATGTCGTCTCGTTCTTTGTCGCTTTCGTTGTCTAGCAAAACCTTACTCTTGTAAACTCCTTCTCCAACAGAGGTGAAAAAAATGGAGCCCGGCTTCATATACTGAGAAATTTCAATTCCCATACGGTATTGAATGAAACTTTCAGCCTCGTTTTTGGACTCCTGTTGGAGCAAATAAATCTGAACTGTTCCTAGCCTCCGCTTCCTGTCGTTGCTATCATAAAAGGGCAAGCTGAGTTTAATGAAGTCATCTTCACCCACTTTCAGCATCACAAAAGTCTCCAAGTCTTTCCCCAAATGGACTGAAATCTGGTGATTCTCGTCCATAAACATCTGCGATATGCTCGTTACCGTCCTGTTTTCCAGCAGGCCCCTTGTCTCGACTTCGATCACATAATCCACGATTCTCTTTTCAGCCACTTCAAGTATTTGGTGGGTGAAGTGCTGGAACTGGTTTTCGAGGCCGTTCAACACATTGTACATCTCGCTTTCGTCGTACTTCCTTATCTGCACGATGTCATTGCCAGGCTTGACCTCTGTCAACTTTTTAGTTTCGCGTTGGTAGATTCTCTTCATCAACTGTTTGTATCCGTAGTATCCAGCTACCAAGACGGGAGGCCCCACTGTCACTAGTACGTTGGGATGAACATGCGTGAATGTGAATGCAGAGAGTCCAATAAGCCCAAAGTACTTAACACTGGACGGAACACGGTTGTACCAGAATGCTTGTATTGGAGTCTTGGTGGGTATATACGAGTTTCTGGGTGGACCAACTGAGTACATCCGGGGACAGCAAAGGCGCTGGGACACTGCAAGCGGTGGAAGCCGCGTATGCTTGGACAATGGCCGTAGGAAGACTGCAGGGATCATTGTGGTGGATAGTGCCCAGTGGGAAATCTAAGTGCTGAGATGGTGGAGCGCGTGACAAATGGCACGTGATGAGATGTCCCAGCCATCTGTTGGAACATACGTCCTAAGCGACATTATGGCGCGACATCATAATTCTAACGACATTATGAGAAACGCGACATTGATGAAATACGACATAAAATTCCGCTTTAGCAAAGTTGAAAATAAGACGAGCTTACATCATGATGTTAACAGGACAACAACCATTGTCATTCATACGGCAAAAGCTTAAGATGAAACAGGCCAAGACAGAATGAACGAATCCAGCTGGGCAATTACCAAAAAGAACGAAAGTAATCGCTCAACTGAAAACAGAGACGGAAAGAACGGGTGAAAATACTCCCGTACGGATCCGATNAAAGAGATTAAAATTAGTATAAATTAAGCAGTAAATCCCAGAGATTAATGGGTGTGCCGAATAGTATTAGATTGTGTGTTACAATATTATTAAATAAATATTTACATATAATAGTCTTCTTCTCAAAGAGCAAAAGTACACCTGCACACAGAATCTAAATTCTAACACCATCTACCAGACTTACTCTACTACTCTGGGAATCCATACTTCGTCAGGAGCGGACTACATTATGGCCAAAGCAGAGGTGGGCAGCGCAAAGTACCAGAGCAAGAAGCTCAAGGCTGCAGGGCTCCAAAAACTCAAGTTCTACTGCCAGATCTGTGAGAAACAGTGCCGTGATGCCAACGGGTTTAAGAACCATCTAGCAGCACCAAGTCATCACTTCCGAGTGAAGGAACTTAGTGACAGCGGCAGGGGAGGGCAAGTCATTGAGAACTACTCAGCACAGCTAAGGAGTGCGTTCTTGAGGCTTTTGCGAATTAACCATGGAACCAAGAAGATCAACGCTAACAAGTTCTACCAGGAGTACATCTTGAGCGATAGGGACCATATCCATATGAACTCCACCAAGTGGTCGAGCTTGACCGCATTTGTCAAGTTTCTTGGTAGCAGTGGTGATGTGAAGGTAGAAAATGCTGACGACTCTTCCGAGTTGAATCTCGAAATCAGTCTCATAGATAACTCACCAGAAGTGCAGCAGCGCCAACAACAGAAGAACAAGGAAAAGAACTTGCGAAGTGACGATGAAATCGCATTGAAGTTGATTCACGACCAGATCGAGAAGGGCAAGAAGATAACCCAGGAACTCGAAGAAGGCAACAATGAAGGGCCCCAAAAATTGCAACCAGTGAGTGGTAAAGTGTCATTGAAGTTAAAAGGTCTGGCAAAAGGTCCCACGAAACGGGCTACTGCCTTCGGGAATGATGATGAGAGTGACAGTGAAGAGGAGAAGGTGCTTGCTCCTAAGAAAACAAATATTGGCAACATCAGTAAGAGGTTATTTCAGAAACGATAATGTCCAAACGAACTTCTATTGGAGACGATACAGTGTCAAAGGATGGTCTACAGATTCATTCGCCTAACGCCCATATCTTCTACCTTCTACGATTTCTAATCATCATGCATCATCATTTTCTACTCATCAATTTTTGAGTTATCTGCGCCAACCGTCGCTCTAGATACGCTCATAACATAATACATAGACGTCCCTGGAATTCAACTCCTGGAACTGGGGCTGGTTGATATTTCCATGTGGCAAGTTCACCTTGACGGTGTCGTCATCAAAAAGACACCAATATGGATGTTTCAAATTATCGGCATTGAATAAGTGTTCATTTATTGTTGATTTGTTGACCAACGCAGTGTAATGACCACTCTTCAAGTTACCATAATGATTAATCAATCCCGACAACTTATAGCCAATTTCATGGTTGTGATGATCTTTGAATTTTAAGATTAAGGGGTACTTAATGCTGACATCTAGTTTGTCAGTCAAGTTGAACATCGAGAATCGGGACAAGTGAATGAACAATACTCGAGGCAATTTAATGAAATTTAATTTCTTTGTTGAAATTTGGGAGTTTTGTGATGTCTTCACAACCGCATTCTTCGTCTTCGGAGGTGACTTGCTTCTTCTTCCCAACTTAAAAATCCCTGATCTCTTTGGTGTGAACACCGGATGGTTATCAAGGGCATGTCCAGATCCATCTTTTTCATTACATTTTGGACAGTTCCAAGCATTATCCCCGCTTAAGACCTCGTCCTGAGTATAGTAGCGTAAACAATCGGACAAATCAATAACACTATTGCGACCATTTGAACTTGGAATCGGAAGTGACAAAATAGTAAAAGAAGAATAGTTAACAGACTCATAATTACACTTATTACAAACCAATTTATTCTGAATATGGCCCTGAAATAAGTCGTTAACCGGTGAAATACCTTCCGTTTGTAATAAGGATTGATACCATTTCGTGTAATCTTTCTTCTCATTCAACAGAATATTAATATCCCATTTTCTGATGTACTTTTCGAATTCTTGCTCGCCGAAATGTTCTGATGAAGGTTTATTAGAAAGCTCTTCGTGAAGCCTTTCTAGAACAAAAATCAAAAATTCTTGGGCATCTTGTTGTTCGTAAGGAATATTAAAATTTGGTTTCAATACAGATGCAATTCTGGTAAATCTTGTTGGAGCAATAGAAGATGAGCCATGTAACTTGAATGTCCTCAATAGTCCCGAGATCGACTCTGAAAGTAACGATTCGTCCTTAGAGTGAGACTGCTCTTTCAGCTGCTTCATAAGCTTTATGAACTTTGGATCCTTGATGTATTTGTGATACTCCAGATGACTAAACAAGTCCCTCAACTGATGAATTCCAAACAATAACTGGATGGTCAGATTGATGTAACATGACGATCCAAAATTCTTGAGCCCGCACACAGCGTAGTCCTTCATGTAATTAAGTTTGTGGTTCTTGATTTGGTTCTGTTGGACTTGAACGTGATGCGGAATAATTGAGGGATGCGAGGGGCCCTGTCCGTTGTAGGGGCCATATAGTGAAGTTCCAGGCTGGGGGGCATTAGTGAAGCCATTGGCTTGGGCATATCCGTTTCTATATTGATCTCTATTGTGGGAATGCGCATGGACATTGGTTGGCAACGCCACGGCCGGTCCTTTGTAAATAGGAAGCGCTTGACTTGGACGGTTGTATCTACCAGGCCCAGGTGCAATGGCCATGCTGTTATCATTTCTTCCGTGGGAGAGGTGTTCATTAACTCTCTTTGGAGTTGTGTCGAAATCGTTGTATCCGTTCTGATTAAAATTGCTAAACTGGCCTGTTGATTGATTACCTGGCTGGAGGTGAGAAAATGCTGTGGCTTCGTGCATTGACCATCTATTCTTCTGTTGATTGGGGGTCTGGAACGAGGAGGATCTGTTGTTGAAATATAGGTCGTCCTGGGTCTTGCTTCTTTCTGTGGCGTCCACAATAGGAAGAATCTGATTCTCTATGGGATAGGGAGCCATGGTAGATGCTCGAGGCACCGCTTTAGGCGGAGGGACTTTTGGTGGAGAATTTGCAGGGACGGGAGGAGGTCCATTTGGCTTTAATAAACGAGGCAAGGGTGTGTAATGCTCTGGAGGCGGAGGTGGTGATGCAGGAGGAGGTGGGAGCACCCGAGGCTGTTCTGTCAACGAGGAGTCCAGTCTGTTTGGCAACACGTAGTAGCTCTCTTGCTCGCTTTCAGTGTCAGTTTCGGCCGGGGCGTTGACCGAGGGATACCTCATTTTGAAGTCCAAGACCAGGTCGTCATCGTGGCTCAAATCGTTGAGGTTGTAGCTCTTGTTCGATTTGGGCAAGGAGTCTGGGTGTTGGTGTTGGTCGTACGACAAGTCCTTCTGCTTCAAGTAGTCGATGTACTGGTGGAGCCAGGCGTAGAGCTCCTCCACGTTGAATGACAAGAGGTTCTTCTCTACGAGGTACCCCAACACGTACTGCCTGAGAGTCTTCAACGGAATGGAGTGTGGCAGAGTCACGTAGTCCTCGGTGTTGTAGAATGCAAACACGTTCAAGTAGATGATGAAGTCCTGCTCGTTGGCTTCGATGAAAGCGTCGAAGCCCTTGAAGTGGAGCATTATGAAGCTGTTGATGAAGTAGTTGAAAATCAAGTACCCCTTGATGTAGTACGACACCGCATCGTCATGAGACGAGGCACTGGCCCCCGAGCGGGTGGTCTCGTGCTTGAGTGCCTGCGACGACTTCTCGTACAAGAGCTCACAGTAGTCGATCAAGTCGAAAAGGGACTTCGATTGCAACGACAGGTCGAGCTGCAAGTTTCTGAACTCCTGGTTGATCATGCGGTTGTAGTGGTGCTTGACATCGTAGGGACCAGGCAGAGCCGAAAACTGTTCCAACGGGATGGGTCCTCTTGGACGAGCAGGAGCTTCAGCCGGCACCGGAGGCGGCTGCTTTCGAGATGTCATCATGGTGTGTCCATCTATCAAGAAACAGAAGCCAGGACCCAGATGGACGAATTGGGCGGAAAAAGATGGAGGGGGTGGGGGTATTCCTGGTGGTGGGTCAACGGAGAGCTTTGGTACGGGTGGGACGACGCGGGGGGCAAGAGACGCTGGATGCTGTTGTTGGTGGAGCTTGGATCAATGTGACAAGAGCCGAGCCAACCACGATCACGTGCGTACAGGCTGTGCCGAATTACAGGGGCAGTCCACAATAGGACGGCTCGGGTGAGGCAGGTGGTGAACCGGAGGTGACAGATTGTGCTATTATTAGGCGGCCAGCAGATGCAGCAGAAGAAGCAGCTGCAGAGCTAAAAATGCTGAGCCACCGGTAGTACCACCAGAACAATTAAATACCACTACTATTGAAAACATCCCTACTACCAGTATCATTAGTCACTCAATAAGTGTTGAACTGGCTGCACTACCAGAACTAGCAGTAATTCCAGTACTATTAATTCTAGTATCTATCAGTAATACCAGTATTATTAGTGCTGTTTCAACAGTAGTACCAGTGCTGAACTATTAGTGCTACCGGCATTATTAGTGGTGAGCTACCAGTATTATCAGTGGAGACTACCAGCTGATCCACTAGTACCCGCAGAACTTAAATCCGCAAAAAATAAAATGGAGTAGATCCTCCTAACGTTATCTAGATAAGCTTGGTTTTGACGAAAGTAATACATGTTGATGTGACTCCAACCGTAGTTCGCCTTGTGGGTGTTTATCCATCGGTAGGGTAGCTGTTTTATTATGAGGTTTTGCTTGAGTGGTGCATTAGTTTTCCACCTCCATTTCAAGTTAAGCCTTCTCGTACACAAACTGGAGAACACCCCCATGTCACCATCAAGTACGAGGTAATTTACATTTTCGGGTTCTTGACTACTGGTGTTTACCGGGAGTACTAGTATTATTAGTGCTGACCTAACCAGAACTACCAGCTTAACAACCAGTATTATTAGTGAAAAACTACCACTAAAAAAACTACGACTAATTGCCTCACTAGTGCTGAAATAACATCCTGACTACCGCTACTGCTAGAAATCTATGTATCTTGCTCTATTCTCTCGTTTCATGCCTAGTGAGTATTTCATTACATTCCTAGTGAGTATTCTCACAGTTTTCTCATGCCTGGTGAGCAATAGCTTACTTTTTGTCTCGCACTATTCATCTCCATATCTATTTCCTTCCTCTTACTCACACTTATCCAACCAAAAGTCCGCCACTAACGGCCGGTGGTCACTCATGTAGTACTGGCCAAACTTGGACTGAAGTACCCCCCATGCCTCCAAGCTCATCCGTACCGTGCCCTTGCACTGGCCATTCATGCTCGTAGCATACTTGGGTGCAAAAATGTAGTCGATTTTCTGCCCTCCCAGTGCCAACACCTCGTCTGCAAAACCCGTCACACTGGAGTCGGTGTACCCGTAGCGAGTGTCATCAGTGGCGAGCTTGGATACGTCCTGGAGGCTCTGTGCAAGAATATCGTAGGTGTCTTCCTCGGGCTCAAAGTTCAAGTCTCCGCACAAGATCGATGGCCACTGGTTGATGTCTTCCATGCGACGAATGATGGCCTTTGCCGATCCGTGTCGCGCCTCCTGGCCTACATGGTCGAAGTGAGTGTTGAACACGTTGATGTGGTTGCCAGTGTGCTTGTTTTTTAAGGTCACGTACGATACGATCCGGAGGTACTTGGCATCCCAGCCCTCCAACGCTGTGCGAGGGTCCTTGTCATTGAGCCACACGGTGTCACTGAACACCAACTCCCACTCACTGGTTCGGAAGAGAATGGGCACAAATTCACCCATTTCCTTCCCGTCGATGCGTCCCACGCCGTACCAGTCCCATTCGCCCACCTTGTTCAACGCGTCCACGATGGAGTCCAACTGGAACTTGTACACCTCCTGGAGGGTGACAATCGAATTTTGCGAACGGTGGAACTTGATGGACGCCGTGATGTCATCCACTCTGTGCTCCCACGGCTGTTCTCCCGGGACGAGGTCGGTGTGGCCACCGTTTTTGATGTTGTGAGAGTACACGCGGAACTTCATGGGCTGAATCTTTGTCAACGGCACAGATGGGTACGATTTGTCCTCCATGGTGGCTGGAGTGCTGGGCTCAGGCTGCTGAGTTCCTTCTGGGGCCTCTGCTAGCGTATCGTCGTGGCTGGAAGACCCGTTGTGGAGATACTTGTCCCATTGGGCAAACTTGAGCTCTTGCGAACTGGTGAAATAGAGCCCGAGTGCTACCAAGAACGAGGTGGCAAGGGCAATTCGGATGGCTCGTTGGTATCTAGACATTGTAGATGGACATGCAGTGGCAGTTTCTATAGTTCGATATCCGTGAAAACGATCTAAAATCAAAGCCCACAATCGTTTTTGATTTTGTTCCCCGGTCAGGTACCATACAGTACTGAGAAAGCGGAACTGGCCCATACTGCATGGCACCCTGTCGTTGGAGCCGTCATTACAAGGATAGTTTCCATACATCCGGATGAACGCCTAATGTTCTGACATGAATTATTTTGGTAACCCCGAATCTATTCTCTCCACTTTTGCAAGTCTTTATTGAATCGAGTGAGAATAAGGAATAATAATACCAGTGATGGTTTGGAGGTGATTGAAAGCATCCAGTGCCTTTAATTCACAGTAACGAGGTTCTTAAGCAAATGACATTTATCCTTTCAGTAAATTCACTAGTTCGTGTTCTACTTTAGGGGAGTTGTTCCTCTATGCTCTCGTTTGGAGCAATGGGTGCAAATATTGCATTCAAGAGTTTTCTTGGAAAACGTACAAAAACTATCTAAATAGAATTTGAAGACTATGGATGGCAAATGGAATGGAACAGAGGAAAAGAATAGCTACTGGAGAATAAGGGGTTCTTTGGCTTACCAACCTTCATACTTAGAATACTTGAAATCATACTGTGCTGAAACGAAGTTTTCTTCAGCGACTTGATACTTCGTAGATAACCCTGCAAGGTCCACATATGTTGTTAAAAATAGTTACGCATGGTAATAAAGCGAAAAACTTTGACGTGGAGCCAATCTGAAAAACCAGTACTAATAAGAAGTCCATCGTATTGAAACTCAGCATTAATAGTTGTATCCTGAACAGCAGAACTTGATCTTCCTTTCTTGTTAGGCTATTCAAATTAATACCCACAGCATCTTGATGCATAAGTATTGAACTAATAGTCCTCACTAGTTGTATGATAATAATATCGGTCCATCTAACTTCTAATTATTATACTTGATTAAATGTACTTTCAGTGGGTCCGACGCTAAGTGGGACATCAATGGCCAATTTGTTTTTGCTGATGGGAAGTATATTATAATCTACTGACTATTTTTATTTTTTGCTAATGGGAAGTATATTATAATCTACTGACTATATACCTATTGCAATGGATAACACACCTTTATGGTCAAACCGTTGTAGTTTAATTAATCTATATTCCTATTGAAATTGATCCATACTGTACTATTTCTTGAAGCCTTAATTGAATTTACCATGCAAATGGAAGTGCTTTATATTTTCCACTCAGTAACGGCATCAATTTATAGTCCAGAAATAGCCATGTAATATCATGTAATTAGAGTCACTAATGTCATACAAAGTTCAACTTTCTCCAACTGTTACTAGCTTCTGTGATTACATAATCAGCCTCATTTGCTCAAATACAATCTGTTAATTGTCGCGATTTTAAGCTTCAGAAATTGGTTGTATAGTGTAGTGGTTATCACTTTCGGTTTTGATCCGAACAACCCCGGTTCGAATCCGGGTACGACCTGCTTTTTTTAATAAATTTTTGCTTACCTCAAAGACAATCCATGCCCACTATTCCAGCCAAAGGTGGTACGGTCAGTCTTGTTCCCTGGAGGGCCTTCTCCCTAACCCACTTTTCATCACTAATTAATTTGCGATCCTCACAGATGGGCTGCTTACGTAATCGCAAATTACAGGCATCAAAAAATTTTTCAAACTGTAGTAGACAAGGAGAGATAGCTTCATATTAAACCAAAAATGTCTGCAGTTATTGGTATTACTTTTGGTAACACTACCTCGTCCATTGCTGTTGCAACCCAGGACGGTAAGGTTGATGTCATTGCCAACCCAGACGGTGACCGTTCAATTCCATCTGCCTTATCATATGTCGGAAGCGATGAATACCACGGCACCCAAGCCCAGAACCAGTTGATCAGAAACGCCCCAAACACCGTTGTCAACTTTAGAGACTACATCGGAAAGAAGTACGAAGAAATCAACGCCAAAGACTCCCACCAGGTCGGAGCTCCAGCCATCAAGGCTGCCGATGGAGGCATTGCCTACGAAATCACCAGAAACGGTAACCAAGAGACCCTCAGCGTCAATGAAATCACCAAGAGACACTTCAAGCAGCTCAAGCTTGCTGCTGAAGACTACATCGGAAAGGACATCGAGGGTGTTGTCATCACCGTTCCTACCGACTTCACTGCCCACCAAAGAGAAGAATTGACCAAGGTCTCCAATGAGGCTGGATTGAAGGTGTTGCAATTGATCAACGAGCCCTCTGCTGCTTTGTTGGCCCACTTATCCAACGAAGAAGACAAGTTGTTGCAAGACAAGATCTACGTGGTTGCCGACTTTGGAGGTATCAGATCCGATGCCGCTGTCATTTCTGTCAGAGGCGGTGTTTTGACCATATTGGCTACTGCCCACGACCACGGCTTGGGTGGTTCCAAGCTCGATGCTGCCTTGGCCGAGTTCTTTGCCAAGGAGTTCGAGAAGAAGTACAAGGCCAACCCCAGAACTAACCAAAGATCCTTGGCCAAGTTGATAGCCGAATCGGTTGTTGTCAAGAAGACCTTGTCCAACGTGCAAACCTCCACCTGTTCCATTGAGTCTTTGGCCGAAGGTTTCGACTTCCACACCACCATCAACAGATTAAGATACGAATTGACTGCCAGACAACCGTTGTCGGAAATGACTGCTTTCGTGGAAAAGGTTGTCACCAAGGCTGGTTTGGAAACCTTGGACATCGACGAAGTGTTGTTGGTCGGTGGTTCGTCCCACACTCCTAAGTTGGCTTCCAACGTCTCGTTCATATTCCCTGAATCCACCGTTGTGGTTGCTCCTTCCTTGGACTCCAAGGCTGCCAACCCAAGCGAGTTGATTGCTCGTGGTGCTGCCTTGCAGGCCTCCTTGATCGAGAGCTTCGACGAGGAAGAGGTCAAAGAATCCTTACAGCCAGTTGTCGTCAACACCCAGCACTTGGCCAAGCCAATTGGTATCAAGACTGCCGACGGTCAGTTCCAGCCTATATTAGTGGCCGAAACCGCCTACCCCATCAAGAAGTCTGTTGAGGTCACCAACGGCGACTCTGCTGCCGTAGCCATCCAGTTGTTCGAAGGTAAGAGAACCATAAAGGAGACTGTGATCGAGGCTGAGAAGTCCGAGGACCCCGAGGACTCTGAAGACGACTACTCCGACGAAGAACCTGAGATCAAGAAGGAAGTCGTCTACGAGGCTGGCCAATTGTTGGCTGAGTTGACCTTGAAGGATTTGAAGCCAAACTCCAAGTTGGAGGTCATTGTCAATGTCACCCAAGACGGAACCTTGCATGTTTCTGGTAGAGAATTGAAGCAAGGCTCTGTTGCTGTCAAGGGCGAGGTCACCTCTGCCTAGTTAATACTAGTAGAACTCAATATATCGTGTACACTACGAGCTAGCCGTAGAATCGGGTTAGGAGTCCAACACCAGAGACTCCAGTGAACTCAGTAGAACTCCCAGTAAAATATCAGTAACTCCAATGAGTCTAGTAAACTTACCAGAGCCTCAGAAGCCCCCAGTGACTCCCAGTGACTCCCAATGACTCCCAATGACTCCCAGTGACTCCCAGTGAACTAAATAGGCTCAACTGATACCAGTGACTCCAGCAAACTCAACGGAACTCCAGTATACTCACCAGGAGTCCCAGTAACTCCCAGTAAACACCAGTGACTATAATGGCACCAGTATACTGACCAGAAGTTCAGTAAACTCACCTGAAATCACAGAAAGCACCAGCGACTCCAGTAAACTTAGTACAGCACACCAGATCCAGGGGCTTCTGTAACCTCCAGTTACTCCCAGTGAACTAAAAAAGCCTACTAAACTCATTAGACTCGCCACAACTCCTAAACTTCCCAGTAAACTCACCACAAGTCCAGTAAACAACCAGAGTAGTTGGCTCCTGACAGTAGTGCTCCAGTAACCCCCAGTAAAGTCCCTAGAACCCCTGGTAGACCCACCAGACCTCCCAGTGTGCTCTAGCACTATGACTACCACTAGACTCCGTTCCCACTATCGCCTGCCTCTACTCCCCTAATTCTTGCACCCACTCGGTGATCAGCCGCCGTTCGCACCGCCGTATTTACAGCACAACCAAAATCGAAGTGACCACTACCAATCGGCCCCAATCCATCATGGGCAAGAAGAAACAGGAAATGGCTCAGGTGTACAGCAACTCCAACAACGAGTTCATCTTCGGCGAGAACGGTGGCCGTGGAAAGCACTTGTCGTCGTTTTTGAAGAACCTCTCCTTGACAGGCTCATCTGCCAGCAAGTCGCCCTCGTCCTCCACCAAGCCCGACGACTACCAGGAGGCCAACAGCAATATCTACGGCAGCTTGGCGTGGGGAGCGCCCAAGGGCACGGGGGGAATGCCCAGAGGCGTCAGTAATAGCGGGTCTATTATCTCCAGCAGCTTGAAGCGGACGCCTACACAACGATCTGTGTCGTTGGGCACCCCCAGCGCCCACCGCTCGCCCACAAGAGAAGAATACACCAAGACTCCGGGAAGCTCGTCTCGGAGAAGGTCTCAGTCCAACTCCAGATACGCTGACTTGGACGACGACTGGGACGCTGGGCTCGACGAGGTGTCGGTAGTTCCCAAACAACCAGAAAACCGTAACTTGTCGCGAGTGACCCACATAGAGTCGAAGTCTAATGGCTCGTCCAGATCCTCGTTGAACTTGATGCCAAGCCCAATGTTGGACTCGTTGTACCCCGATCTCACGCTCCCTAGCGCCTCGTCGTCTACGTCCAACTTGGAGTCTCCTAAAAAAGAGTCAATGGACTTCGAGGACTACCAGGCCAAATTGGAGATCAACAAATTGAACCAGTTGAATTCAAAGTACTCAAAATTCCGCAAAGTCCTTACCACCGATTCCAGCATCAATCTTCAAGACTTGCGCAAATTGGCCTGGAATGGAATTCCTCCGGAATTGAGGGCTTTAACCTGGCAAATATTGCTAGGATACCTTCCTACAAATAAGTCTAGACAAAGATCTACCTTGAAGAGGAAAAGGCAAGAATATATGGAAGGCATAGAAGCTGTGGCCAATATTGATTTCGAAGACGATGCACCCTCAAATACTTCGAGCACCTCAATTGGCACCAACCGTGAAAAGCAACTCTATCACCAGATCAACATAGATGTCAAGCGTACCCACCCTACAATCAAGTTATATTCTTTCCCAGAAGTACAACTGTCCTTGCGCAAGATTTTGTACTTGTGGGCAGTTAGACATCCTGCTAGTGGTTACGTCCAGGGTATTAATGATTTATGTACTCCATTTTTTCAAATATTCTTGGGCCATTACCTTTGGCAATTGCAGCGGAAGGCTTCAATACAAAAACAAGGCAACGAAGCTGAAGAAGACCTATTCATACAAGGACTAATGGATGATACAGACACTGCTGAACAAGCTCTCCTCCAGGACCCCAGGCTCGGAGACTACACTATTGATACATTCAATCCAAAACTAATTTCTTCTAGAGTGCTTTCTTTGATCGAGGCAGATACATACTGGTGCTTATCGCGGTTGCTTGAAAACATCACAGACAACTATATCCATGAGCAGCCAGGAATTCTACGCCAAGTGGGAGACCTTAAAAACCTCATCTCAAGAATCGACATCGAGCTACTTAATCACTTTGACCATGAAGGCATTGAGTTCATCCAGTTCGCGTTTCGCTGGATGAACTGTCTTCTCATGAGAGAAGTTTCCATCAACCTCATCACTCGAATGTGGGACACTTATCTTTCGGAGACTCCGTTGGGATTCAACAACTTCCATGTGTATGTGTGTGCTGCATTTTTGGTGAAATTTAGCTCCGAGCTCAAGCACATGGACTTCCAGGAGATCCTCTTGTTTTTACAGAACCCACCCACACAATCGTGGACAGAAAAGGACGTGGAGTTGATGTTGAGCGAGGCATTCATCTGGCAAAGCTTGTACAAAAATGCCTCTGCACACTTGAGGAACTAGCACATATATACAAGTTCAATTCATTGCCTTAGAATTCACTTTCTTACTAACTGAAGGTCTCTAGTTGTAGGCACCACCCGGACTCCATGCTTCTCTTTGTCACGCATTTTGCACCCGAGTTAACTTCATTAACTTTTTGACTCGCACCACACGTGATCTAATCTATTGGCCCCATCTCACCAGTGGAGAAGACCATGCAACTGAAACTTATAAAAGATTGCCGTTGTCCCCGTTGCCGTTTTCGCCCCATTCCATACCCGATCAATTTCCGGTATATATCCAAGCCTCCCTCACAGCTTGAACAACAACCACAGTAAGACGAGCCCTTGGCATCTCCACTTATTGTTCCTAGATAGACCCATTCAACCGTGACCATTTAGTCCAGCTTCGAGCCCAGCAGTTTCAACAACGCAACATGTCCACCAAACCAGCAGGAAGAACCATCTTGGCCTCCACCATCGCTAAGCCCTTCATTGAGGAGATCACCGAGCAAGTGAAGGCCTCAGGCAAGAGTCCCAAGCTCGTTGGCTTCTTGGCCAACGACGACCCTGCTGCCTTGATGTACGCCAACTGGACGAGCAAGACCTGCGAGTCATTGGGGTTCGAGTACGAGCTCATAGAAACTGACAAGAACGAGTTGGAGAGCAAACTCATCCACGCCAACAACGACGACAACGTGAGCGGTATAATGGTCTATTTCCCTGTGTTTGGCGATAACCAGGACCAGTACTTGCAGCAATTGATCTCCACCGAAAAGGACGTGGAGGGGTTGAATTTCATGTACTACCACAACTTGTACCACAACGTGCGGTTTTTGGACCCTCCCCACAACGAGCAGAAGTCGATCTTGCCCTGCACCCCTTTGGCTATGGTTAAGATCTTGGAGTACTTGGGTGTCTACAACAAGCTCTTGCACTACGGCAACCGTTTGTACGGTAAGAAGATCTTGGTGGTGAACCGTTCTGAGATCGTGGGAAGGCCTTTGGCGGCCCTTTTGGCCAATGACGGAGCTACCGTGTACTCCCTCGACATCAACAACATCCAGCAGTTCACCAGAGGGGACGACTTGCTGGCCCAGCGTCACAAGGTCATTGACTTGGACCCAAGCACCCACACTGTCGAATCGATAGCTCCTACCTGTGATGTGATCATCACCGGAGTTCCATCGGAAAACTACAAGTTTCCAACCGAGTATGTGACCAACGGGACGGTGGTGATCAACTTCTCCAGTGCCAAGAACTTCAACGATGACATCAAGGGAAAGGCTGCGTTGTACGTTCCTTCCATTGGCAAGGTCACCATCGCCATGCTTTTGAGAAACTTGCTCAGACTCATCGACAACAGAAACATCAGAAACAAGTCAGTTTCTGAAGAAAAATAAACGGGGACAAGAAGCTACGGAAAAATAAGGGATAAACGTGTACGACTGTTTCCCCGATCCACTTCGTCCACTTCGTGGCTAGTTACTCTTCCACTGCTACTTCTGAGCCACTGCGGTTCTTAGCTGCTACTGCTACTTCTAGGCCGGTTAGTTTTCTGGCGATCCATATTCATATAAAAGGATGGTATATTTCAATTCAAAAAATTCAAGGACTTGCAAAACTTACAGTAAATACGGGTGGGGCCTACCAGGCCCTGCCCTGTACTCTGTGCGTCGAACTCGTTACCGATGTCTTGATTGCATTCACTGGGGTTGTATTCTACCCGCCGTATGCAGGACAATGATGGCGAGTCAAAATTTTCCTTACTCCTTAATGACTCCTCCCTCACCACCCTGACCCCGCCAAACGATAAGATCTAAACTTGGCCTACACTTAAGCCATCCACTCCAAGCTATCAATCCTACAGCACGACCACTGCTAGGTGAAAAACACCTTCCATTGGCCCGAATCCCGTTTGCAAACTGCAAGAAGCACGGGTTAGTTGACTGGTTGGGATAGACACAACCATAGAGCCACGGTTAGTCTAGTTATCCTATACAGGCGTAGGCATTGCACTTGAGTGCCCATCTCCACACTAGCTGTTATCCTGTTCAAGATCTTACCAGCACTGAAGTGTTTAAGACTCAGTCCAGCATTGAATTCCAACTAGACAAGGAAGTAATTCAATTGGCATTGACAATGTCCGATGACAAGCGTTCCGGCCGGAAACGGTTGGCCCAGATCGATCCTTTGGCAATAACTGAGTCGCTAGGATTCCAAACGTTCCGTCGAGGCTCCAGAAAGCCATGGACCAAGGAAGAGGACGAACAGATCACCAAGATCATGAACGAGAAGTACAGGGATAACTTGGAGTTCCTTGACCCCGAAAGCGTCAAGTGGGACGTGATTGCCCAGATGATTTCTCCCAACGGGGCCAGAAAGCCCAAGGATTGCCGCAAACGGTGGACCAACTCACTAAATCCAAACCTAAAGAAAGGAAAATGGACTAAAGAGGAGGACGAAAAGTTGATCCAAGCATTCAAGGAGCACGGAGCTTCGTGGCAGCGTGTTTCCGCAGAAATAGAAGGGAGAACCGATGACCAGTGTGCTAAAAGATACCTTGAAGTATTGGACCCAGGCACCAAAGACAGATTGAAGCCATGGTCTAGAGATGAGGACTTGCTCTTGATTAGACAGGTGAGAGAGCATGGAACCAAATGGAGGACCATAGCCAACGAGTTCCATGGAAGGCCGTCGTTGACATGCCGTAACCGTTGGAGAAAGTTAGTCACTGATGTCGCCAGGGGAAAGGCCGATGAAGTGATCAAGCAAGAGGTAGACCTGATCACCAAGATCAAGGTGGAAGACTTAGATGTCCATACCAATACCAATTCTTCCTCATCCAAAGAAAATAACAATAATAATATCAATGCCTCGTTCCCAGCTACCAATCCCGATATCCAGGTTCAAAACTCTAAAGCCACCAGAGTATCACCACAAGTCAGACCCGTCAACAGTCTGGTCGAATGGAAGTACACATTTAACGAACCAGGGGACGGAATAGAGTTACCACATCACAATGTTTTTGATGATGAAAATGGAGGAGTAATCAAAAATCAGGAGTTGGTGCAATCATTACTCATGTACGCAAAGCGTCACAACCTAGAAATCACCGTACATCAACATATCCATCATCATTATTCCCCACCAAATGCTCAAGCAAGCTATCCAACCAGCACATCTCCTTTTAGCATCTTAAGTCACGGTGGGGATGATAAGGAGAAAAACTTGAGCACCACCAGCTCAGTATCTGGTCCAAGCCCGTCAGAAGACGGACAAAATTCCAGAAATCAATCTGCATACTACTTGGAACCGGAGACCCAATTGACAAGATATCAGCATTTCAACTACTTACCTCCGTTGACAGAGGTCCCCAAGTTGAACTCATCAAGCTCACCTCCTGCTTCAAGCGCTACACATCATCACCACCATCATCACCACCATCATCATCATTCGAGTAAACGGGGGAAAAGCACCAGCTCGAGCACAAACGTGAATTCGAGTTCTAATACAAGTATAAGAGATTCAGAATTGGCAAGAATATTGAATCACGGTAGCAACAAGGGTCCAGATAAACCGGATATATCCCACGAAAGTTCTAATCCATTGACACCGTTAACACAAGCGGTGGAAATGGTCACAGCATCAGAGGCCAATAATAGAAAACGATCCACTATCGATACAGGGGATGCCTCAAAACGATTTAAGCGCGATGAAGTTAGCGATGATGAGGAGGGGTTGGACTTCTGGGAGACTATGAGAAACTTAACTGATTTGCCTCAAGTTAAAACAGAAAAAGCGATTCCTCCAAGTCAGCAAATGCATTATTTTGGGTCAGAAAATACCATTCCAACTTCAAACGACACTGAAAAACGCCAGTTGCAGCGTCAGCATCAACGTCAACAACAATACCAACACCAGCTCCAAGATCCAAATCAACAACTTTCGCAACAGCAACATCTCCTGCACATCCAGCAAGTACAGCAATCACAGGAGTCGCAGCACACAGGACTGCTCTCGAAGGACAAGCCAGTATCCCAGCACCATCCGTTGCATTACTTTGGCACAGGAAGTACTCCCCAACCGCAGGATCAGCCAGAACAAGGAGCACAACAAAGCAACGCGGTCGACGAAGAGGAAATCGACGAAGAAACCCTCAATTCCTATGGTGTTTTCTACAATGTTTACACACGCCAGGGCTCTGTTTTCCCAGAGGGAAATAGTCAGCAACAGCAGCAGCAACAGCAGTCTGCTGGCTCGGTTTATGATGCATGGGGCGGTGGATTTGGGATCATTCCGTTCAACCCATCCTAAAAAAATTTAGCGACGATTCACGCATGTATACGATAGTAATATATAATCAACAAATGGCAGATGTGACACTGGTGTAGTTCAGAGGCAAGACTTGAGGATTCTGGTTGCAAATTTAGCTGCGAAAATAAGATATGCATCTGTATGATCTGAATAGTCTTGGGGATTTCAGAGTTGTCTCAATTAGTTACTTTGGTATAAAAGAGCGTTCACAAAGGAAAATTAAGCTTTACTTGCTGTCCAGCTTCATAAGCTGGGTCGTTGCTTGGGGCTTTTCTCTTGCCCAATGCTAGGGTTTATTTAGTCGGAAAAGGTAAAGTGGAATAAGATGTGATTGCAAATAACCAGAATCTTACTTCTTTTAACCAAGTACGGTGTCTATGATGGTGAAGAAAAGATCACAGTTGGTACTTAGACACATTTGTCGCACGTCTTCCTCGAATTCTCTTCAGGAGGTTTCTGAAACAAAAAATTTGAAACACAATAAAGTGTGTGGCTTGCCATTTGACTCTATTATCTACGGAGAATAAAGGTCCCACAGTTTTTAATACAACAAAAATATAAAAATATTCTTGGGCATTACTGGTTTCAACCTTGGGAAAGAGTTGGAGAATGTCACAGGAGTGAAGTCGTTCATTCAAGTGCTGAATCTTGACCTCCCCCAAAAACGTTGAACACGTGATCTTTTTCGCAGCCAACAACATCCAAGAGGGTCTGAATGAGGTTCGTAGTTTACAAGTTTGACTGCTTGAGAGAGCAGTTTGAGCTTCGATTAACAGTAAAGCCTAACAGAAGTACCCATTTGTATTCGTTGTATTCTATCTTTCTCTTCGCCTGTAGCAAATCAGTAGTTTCTCCATTCGTATTGTCACCTTGCAACTTTTCCTTTTGTACACCAGGTATAAATTTTGTCTCGCCCTCCTAGAGATTTGGATTCTTTTCTTCATACTCTTTTTAGTATAAATTCGAACAAGCTCAAGTAAAAAGTCTACGAAATCAACAAACCGATTACTCAAGCATGTCCCGTTACCATCTTTCCAAGCCAAAGGCAATTGTCCATGGCAACAAGAAAGATGAAGGCCCATTTGTGGCAGTTTTTGAGAACCCATTATTTGTTGAGAAATTAATCCCCGACAAAGTTTGTGAGTTCCCAGATAATCAACCAATCGATGAAGGGATGTATGAATACCCCTTTTACATTGATGGATCAAGAGGAAGATTTAGTCTTACCAGAATGAAGCAAGCTATCAAAAGAAATAGTACAAACACAAAAGCACGCAGTTTGAGAAGATTGAAGGCCATCTTCTCTAGTACTTCAAGGAGATCTCCTGGATACAAGCTGGGTGACTCTTCGCTAATTTCTTCTCAGTTTTCCTATAAAAGTGTTGTCGAATCCAACAATACTTCCGTTGCTCCAGTATGCTGTTCAGGTTCAAATTTCCATTTCTGCAAAAATCCTGAATGTCTTGCAGTTTACTCTACAAATTCAAATCTGGAAAATACCCAGAAAGATGAGACTGCTTCAGTCTGCTCCTGTGACTCAGGTTCAGAAAATGCTGATGAAGCGTCTAAATTTGCATCCATTAGAGCCATAAAGTCAATTCCAGAGAGAGTTGATTCCTCTGCGACTGCCGAAATATGCTCTTATGACTTAGATCCAGAGATCATCCAAGAGGATGAAGCATCCGAATACGCTTCCAATTCAGCTGTGAAGGCAATCACAGAGAAAATTATATCCTCAAATACTGGCGCAATTTGCGCTTCTAGACAAGAGCCGGAGAATGTCGATGAAGCGTTTGAATGCGCTTCCAGTTGGGATATGAAGTCGGTTCGAGAGAGCATTGGTCCTTCCGAGGCTCCTGAATGGACGGTTATACCACTACCAGAGGGTGAAACTGATCTTAAGAGAGAATTGAATGGGTTGCTGAGGCATCTAGAGTATGTTAAGAAGCAATTGTATGATTTATGGCTTTCTAAAAGCTCAAATCATCGTTTCTACGCCCTGTTAGACTCTCAAAGGTTGACTACCGAGCTGGAGATTCAAGCAATCAAATTGAAGTTAACCGCTGCCCATGTTCAGGCTAGCGAAGACAAGCAAATAGTTCTAAATGGACCTGAGTCACCAATTGTGAAGACTCCAGTTGCAACCAAAAAGTTCTCCGAGGATGATCTCAAGACAGAATTGAAAGGGTTGTTAAGGCATCTAGAGTATATTAAGAAGCAATTGTATGATTTGTGGCTTTCGAAAGGCCCAAATCATCCTTTATATGCCCCGTTGAACTCTCAAAAGTTGACCACTGAATTGGAGATACAAGCAATCGAATCAAAGTTGACCGCTGCCCATGTTCAAGCTAGGAAGAACAAGAAAACAGTTCAAAATGGACCTGAGTCACCAATTGTTAAGGATCCAGTTGCAACCAAAAAGTTCTCCGAGGATGATCTCAAGACAGAATTGAAAGGGTTGTTAAGGCATCTAGAGTATATTAAGAAGCAATTGTATGATTTGTGGCTTTCGAAAGGCCCAAATCATCCTTTATATGCCCCGTTGAACTCTCAAAAGTTGACCACTGAATTGGAGATACAAGCAATCGAATCAAAGTTGACCGCTGCCCATGTTCAAGCTAGGAAGAACAAGAAAACAGTTCAAAATGGACCTGAGTCACCAATTGTTAAGGATCCAGTTGCAACCAAAAAGTTCTCCGAGGATGATCTCAAGACAGAATTGAAAGGGTTGTTAAGGCATCTAGAGTATATTAAGAAGCAATTGTATGATTTGTGGCTTTCGAAAGGCCCAAATCATCCTTTATACACCCTGTTGGACTCTCAAAGGTTGACCACCGAGATGGAGATTCAAGCAATCTATTCGAAGTTAACTGCTGCCCATGACAAGGCTAGCAATCTCCATGAAAGGTACCAGAAAACGGCTCAAAATGGACCTGAGTCACCAATAGTGAATCATCCAGCTTTACCTAAAAAACGCTTCGAGAATTGTGAGGCCGATCTCAAGAGAGAATTGAAAGGGTTGTTAAGGTATCTAGAGTATGTTAAGCAACAATTGAATGAGTTGAGGCTTTCTAAAGGTTCAAATCATCCTTTATACACCCTGTTGGACTCTCAAAGGTTGACCACCGAGCTGGAGATACAAGGAATCTATTCGAAGTTAAATGCTGTCCATGACCAGGCTAGCAATCTCCATGAAAGGTACCAGAAAACGGTTCAAAATGGGCCCAAGTCACAAATTGTGAACGATACAGCCGCAATCAAAAAGAGCTTCGACATACGTGAGACTAGTCTCAAGAACGAGTTGAGGATGTTGTTAAACGATCTTCAACATACTGAGAAGCACAATGTCAAGTATAGGGAGGCATGCGGACCAAGTATCGTCTCGGACTTCTGTGGATCGGAGATTGAACTGCGGGAACGTGCAATGAATTCCAAGTTAAACGCTACCCATGATCAGGCTAACAATCTCCACGAAGAGGACCAGGCAACAGCCCAAAACGAAGCCGAGTCACCGAGTGAGAATTGTCTAACTCCACCTGCACCCAAAACAAGCCAGAAGAAGCCTGAACCAGAACTCAACAGAGAATTGAAGGGTATTATGCATCAAAAAGGTATTGGGAAGGGTATTGCGATGAGAATTAAGACCCTTGAAGCTTATTGCTAGACCAAATCGGCCATCAGTATGCAATGTGTTTGTGGTTCCCGATAAAAATAAAGATTCAATGCAGGGAACGGTTAATAGTCACCACTTTATCTACCTTGTGATAATTGCTCTATAATTGCAGAGTTACACTAGGAATTGGGGGATTCCTAACTGTGTAATGCCATATTGCATGACAACGAGCAGTATTATATGGGCAGGTCAATTGGGGGCACACACCTCTCTGGCAAAGAATCTCCAGGAACACAAACACACTGGTGGGCTTGCTAAAATTGATAAGGGTTTGCAGTTGTAAAGGATAATAAAAGGTGATGAACGGTGTTGATTCAGGGTTTTGAAGGTGCTGGTTCAGGTTTGCAAAAGATCTTGGCTAATGCTAAGGTTGGTTTATTTTATTGGTTCAAGGTCGTGAAGTATAGTTGCTATTATAAATGTTATTGTTCCAGATGTAGGTGGATGGAGTCAATCAGTGATTAATCAACTTTCGAGCTACCTGGCTAGCTTTGCTGGTGTTGATGGGAAGTACTCGTCTTAGTCCTCTTGTAATACAACAGCACCATTACCGGAAATGCCACTATGGATCTTGGTCAAAGCCCTTGAGGATGCGAGTGATCCGTCTCTGTCTAGTCTCTTTTCTGACGATTGATTGATAGATTGAACGCTCTCGATTCAACTCTTTTTCTTACTGACCGTTTTGTGATGAAGGAATGTTAAACGCTTTATATTCAACTCTGTCTTCTTGATAGTATGCTGCAATCCTTTGGTAATAAAAGGACGCTGTACAGTTTAGCGACCGCACATAATAAAGCATCTTATATCTACCAAACCTGCAAATTCATGAGACATATTATGGGCAGTCATCAACTCGTGGATAACCATCGACAACGTCTGGTGCTGACGATACACCGAAAGTAGCACTAGAATCTTGCAGCTATCGTACATTCCTAGCTGTTGCCAAAATGATGGCTGCACGACCACAGTCGAATTAGATCTACGATAGGAACCACACCACGGCCACCAAAAGGCAGCTACCGCCTCCACCATGACAGACGTATCGCCATCTACCAAGAAGGTGGACGACTTCTTATCCAGCTTGTCGCAGCTCTCGCAGGACAGATTGAAGGAGGATCAACAACGGCAAAGAGACCTCCAGAGAAACATTGACGAGTTGAGACTGAGGCTGAACAGCTCGTCTCCCGTAAAGCCCTCACATAGTCACGTCTCTTCCTCCGAACGTGGGTCGAACTATTCCACCAGTGTTCCCCTGTTGAAGTTCAATCGAACTTTGAAAAGAGACCCGACTGATCTACCACCTCCATTACCAAGAAGACGGGACGAAGAAGCGGACGAAAATGCGCCTCCCTTGCCCAGAAGAAGGGACGAAGAGTTTGCCCCTCCACTCCCAAGGAGAAGAGACGGCGAAGTAAAAAGAACACCGCCCCCAAAACCCGCAAAGAGCATTCCTAATGACGTTCGCAATTCAGGTTCCAAAATCAACTTCATAGATGATCGCCAATCGCTTGGTTCCCGCCTGGAAGAGACGTTCCAGATAGAATTGATGAACCCTGTGGCGAGACCCCAGCAGAAAGGCTCAAGACCGTCAGAAAAGCAGAGCCATCACCAATCTGAAGAAGCGGATGCTAGGCGTCCAAAGGTCTTCCTGGCTTCAGAACCGGATGAGCCCCAGAAATATAGATCCTTTGCTGATATGGAGAAGCACATCAGGAGCTCGGGTCATGAAAAGGTCGAGTCCTCAATACAGAATGTATTTGCAGTCGATAAGACATCAAATGAGGCAAAGTCTACGGAATATGTATTCGAAAAGGGCCAAGAAGAACAAAAAGCTGTGAAACCAACAGATCAAAGAAAACCTGAAATTAAGAGCAAAAAGCCTACTTGGGTACCTCCATCCACCATGAAAAACCCTCCGTCGTCGGTTTCGCAACCATTGTTGCCCCAAAGAGTTTATTACTCTTCTTCAAGTATCCAGAAGGGAGTACCCAAAAAAAGTGAACCAGAAGAGGAAAAGAAGCAGCCTCCGCCAAAGCCTGGTAAGCCGGGGAAAAGTGATTGGTTAAGCTCACTTTCGACCAATAGTGTTACAACATCCCATACCCAAGATTCCTCCAGCAACTCGGGCATTCAAAAACCAAAATCAGATTGGCTCTCTTCTACTATGACGAACAAGGCTACTACTTCGACAATGCAAAACCACAGCAAGACCCCACCCAGCACGAAACCAAAGTCAGACTGGTTGTCTTCAACTCTTTCAAATTCAAAGTCTACAGTCTCACAGCAAGAAACATCTCCAGTTCCATTTTCTAGGGGTTCTGGAAAAGGAACTGACTGGATGTCGTCTCTTTCAAACTCCAAATCTTCTTTACGACAGTCTCCTTCTCACTCAAACTTTTCACCAGGTTGGTCTACACTGAAAGGTGCAAATTCGGAAATGAGTTCTTCGCCGCTGATCATGGCCGGTAAGAAGCCAACAAGTTGGATAGACAGTGCTCTCAAAAAGAGCGACTCGCACAAGTACATCGAGAACCCGTCAAAGCCTTCGTTCCAGATCGTGAAGAAGGATTCAAAGCCGGAGTTACCACCTCCAGCACAAAACAAACCTGAGCTTTTGAGTCGCTTCGAACAATTGAAGCATCCATCATCCGAAACCAGATCTCCCGAGTTGTCGAGTCCCAAAAAGAAGGTGCTGCACGAAGCTCCAGAATACCTTTCCCAGCTTGAAAATCTCAAGAAGAGTAGGTCAAGCAGTCCTGTCAAGCCAAGACCTGCTGTTGGTGTGGTAAATGAGGATGATGAGTTGCTAAAGAGCACGATGTCCAAGCTTAATTCAGGCAAAAGTGCTCCAGAAAAGCCCGGTAAACCATCGATCGATAGGTATACCAAAAATGAAGAGGAATTACTCAAATCAACGATGTCTAAATTAGGTGTCGGCAAAAAACCTCCACCAAAGCCAGAAAAACCATCGATTGAAAAGTATACCCACGAGGAAAAAGACTTACTTCAGTCGACAATGTCCCGGTTATCATCTAAACAAAAGCCAGACGAGCGTATAAAGCCTCCCACCAAGTACGAGCAACAAGACACTGAATTGTTGAGATCGCAGATGAAGAAATTAGGATCGAAACCTGTGAATTACCATCAGCTTGATAAAGCAGATGAGACGATTGAGGGATTGGTTGCACTCAAGAACCTAAAGCGGAGAGAAGACGACAAGCCAGAAAAGCCTGAGAAACCAGAGAAGCCAGAAAAGCCAGAAAAGCCAACAAAGCCAGCGAATGCAGAGCAATCCAAGCAGTCCAAGCAGCTGGAACAAGATCAGCCAGAAAAACCAGCGTCTAGGGAAGTAGCAGGAGAGCAAGATAACAAGCCATTGAAGGCCAGAGTGCCCGAAAAACCCACGAAATTGGCTAGTCCAGACAAGCAAGCTGGATTAACACAATCAGGCAAGCCTGGTTCATTCCAGGATCAGTTATCGTCGATTCTCCGTGCCACCACGGTTCCCGAAATGAAGCTGGCTGTATTGACTCGGACCAATACAGACCCTACACCTGCGGCCAACGCGAAAACTCCCAGGAAGGATACCAGTGCTTCGGGTGCCCTTACCCACATGAACAAGGGCAGGTCCAAGGGCCCCAAGAGAAGGCTCCCCAAGAGCAAACAGGCAGGAACCACTACTAAAAGTGCGGCTGCGGACGAGGCAATTCCAGATTACAAGAACAGCAACGCCCAAAAAAAGACGCCACCCGCCATCAACAAGCTCAGCAAGCCCAAGGCGATTCCCGAGCTCAAGCCCACACGCCAGTTCAGCGGTGAGTTATTCATCTGAGCTCCCCCAGATCTGCGTCCTGCATACAGCCCGCTCATCGCAGGTTGATTTTTCAGACGAGCCCATGTATAGACAATATATACCACGAACCACATCATGGCCACCGTAGTACCGCCACCATCCAAGAAGCAAAAGAGGGAGGCCCAGAAGGTGCGGGAGTTGGAGCTTGTCCCTGCGGATTTGCCCAATGTGCTCATCAAATTCCAGGCCTCTGACACCGGGGAGTCCGTGGGAGGGTCGATGAGGGTGCCAGGAGGAATCAGTGAAAAGCAGCTCGAGGAGTTGTTGAACCAGCTCAACGGCGAGAACGACGACCCTGTTCCATACACATTTGCGTTGTTGGACACCAGCGAAGGTGCCGACGGCAAGTTGGTCGACATCAAGGACAACTTGTGGGCGTCGGTGTTGAAACCAGGTATCAAGACCACTGAAGACTTCATGACGTTGGTGTACACGCCGCGTGCCGTGTTCAAGGTGCGTCCTGTGACGAGGTCCAGCGTGGCAATTGCCGGGCACGGCTCCACCATCTTGTGCTGTCTGTTTGCCCCCAACGACTCCGGCAGAATGTGTTCGGGAGCAGGCGACTCCACCGCCAGAATCTGGGACTGCGACACCCAGACCCCAATGCACACGTTGGCAGGACACACCAACTGGGTGTTGTGTGTGGCCTACTCACCCTGTGGCACCATGATCGCCACGGGGTCCATGGACAACACCGTGCGGTTGTGGGATGCTCTGCTGGGCAAGCCTTTGGGATCCCCATTGGTGGGACACACCAAGTGGGTGTCTTCGTTGACCTGGGAGCCCTTGCACTTGGTAGCTGTGGGTGAGCGTCCCAGAGTGGCCTCGGGCTCCAAGGACGGCACTGTCAAGGTGTGGGACACCACCAGCAGAGTGTGCACGCTCTCGATGAGCGGCCATACCAACTCGGTTTCATGTGTCAGATGGTCAGGCTCCAATCTTGTGTATAGTGCCTCCCACGACAAGACCATCAAGGCGTGGGATATCAGTGCACGCGGCAAATGTATCCAGACGTTGAAGAGCCATGCCCATTGGGTCAACCATTTGACAATCTCCACCGACTACGTGTTGCGTCGTGGAGGCTTCGACCACTCCAGCACCCGTTCATCGGCCAAAAAGCTTTCTCCCGAGGAGTTGAGGGCCAAGGCACTCCAGAACTACGAAAAGGTGGCTCGTGTCAACGGAGTGGTGAGCGAGAGACTCGTCACTGCCAGTGACGACTTTACTATGTACTTGTGGGAACCCTTGAAGTCATCCAAGCCAGTTTGCCGTATGACAGGCCACCAGAAGTTGGTCAACCACGTATCTTTCTCTCCCGACGGCCGCTACGTGGTGCTGAGCTCGTTCGATAACTCCATCAAGGTGTGGGACGGGTTGAGAGGCACGTTTATCGGCACCCTCAGGGGCCATGTGGCTCCAGTCTACCAGACTGCGTGGTCTGCTGACAGCAGACTCTTGGTCAGTTGCTCGAAAGACACCACCTTGAAGGTGTGGGACATCAGAACCAGGAAGTTGAACGTGGACTTACCAGGCCACGCCGATGAGGTGTATGCTGTGGACTGGAGTTTAGACGGTAAGCGCGTGGCCAGTGGTGGTAAGGACAAGATGATCCGACTCTGGGCCCACTAGCTGCTGTAGGCATGGGACGTTATGTATGCATTGTATATTAATAGAGGTTGACCAATAACACGATTTTTCTTATCAAGGAATAAATAAGGACAGAAGGAGCAGTAGGCAATAATTCCCGCAGGTATGTATACCAACTCACTTAGCTTTATCACAGGGATAAAAAACGAGAAAACGAACAGTAGGCAATGAGTATCACCACTGATAGTCTCTGAGGATCCTTTAAATATATATCTGATTCGATATCTACTTTTTCATCTCAGCAGATATATAAGAATAGAAGGTTCACAAACAGTAGGTTCAACCCAATCGTTTCTATTATCTATTGCAGAAGGATAATTAACCGATAAAAAGATATCAACTATTTTAGGGTGTTTAAAAGACCTAGAGGTTAAGAAATTCACCAATTGCATGGAAATGGTCCGTCTGGGGAACAGAAATCTCCAGGTAGAATAATTCCTCTTGATTCTGATTTTCAGTGTGAACAATAGCCTTTGCATCTGACCATTTCTCATGTCATTAAATTTTAATAAGTCCCATCGAAAGCATTCCATTGATGATTTTAATTTCTTCGACCAAGTGGACTTTTCTGTAAAGAATTAATCTAACAACCATAGGATGAAAATTTATAAAAAGTTATTGCTTCTAATTTAGTTCAAGAATTAACGGATACTCTACAAGAATTAAACAATAGGTTGCTTGTATAGACGGGATCGAAGATAACATATAACTGGATAAAAGTAGATATACGGGTCACGTGCTACCCCGGATCAGGGCAATCCTGAAGTAACCCAGAGCGTTCCAGATAAATATAAGTAGAATGTTAAAAGCCGTGAACAGCCTTGTAGGAGTAAGATATAGAAGTGAAGTATTAATAATAGTAGTGACAGCGTAGGAAAGTCGAGAGGCAACCTTCCTCAGTCTGAAATTTAATTATTTGCATTATGGTAGGAAGAGCCTGTTGTTCCTTTCCACTAGTGTATAATCTGCTCGTTTAATTCCTCCTCGACAGCTCTCTACGTTACCTTCGTTCTTCTATCTCGTGCCTGCCTTCTCTCTCCGGAAACACCGCCACCTCGAGCAAATCTACACGTGACTTCATGACCATGCGGCCAGTCCGAAAAATACAAAAGGGGATAGACACCGACTCCACCCAATCAATCAAAACCCGTCCAATTCGTCATGGCTATCGTTAAGCGTGGTGGGCGTACCAAGGCCAAGCAACAGGCACCCCCCACAAAGAGTGGCGGGATCCAAAAGGCTGAATTCGATGTGCTCAAAAAGAAAGAAGTTGGTGTCTCCGATTTGACTCTCTTGTCTAAGATCTCCGACGAAGCCATCAACGAGAACTTGCACAAAAGATTCATGAACAACACCATCTATACATACATTGGACATGTGTTGATCTCGGTGAATCCGTTCCAAGACTTGGGTATTTACACCCCAGAACACCTCAACAAGTATAAGGGCAGAAACCGGTTGGAAGTTCCACCCCATGTGTTCGCCATCGCTGAATCGATGTACTATAACCTCAAGTCCTATGGCGACAACCAGTGTGTGATCATCTCGGGTGAATCTGGGGCTGGTAAGACCGAGGCTGCCAAGCAGATCATGCAATACATTGCCAACGTCTCTGTCGACTCAGGAAACGATGACATCTCCAAAATTAAGGACATGGTCCTTGCCACCAATCCCCTTTTAGAATCCTTCGGATGTGCCAAGACTTTGAGAAACAACAACTCGTCGAGACACGGAAAATACCTTGAGATTGAGTTTGACGAGTCTTCGTACCAGCCTATCGCTGCCCACATCACCAATTACTTGTTGGAAAAGCAGAGAGTTGTATCCCAGATTACCAATGAGCGTAATTTCCATATCTTCTACCAGTTCACAAAGCATTGTCCTCCCAAATACCAACAAGCTTACGGTATTCAAGGACCCGAAACATATATCTACACCTCGGCTGCAAAATGTATAAATGTGGATGGTGTGGATGACAACAAGGACTTCCAGGACACTTTATCTGCCATGAATGTCATTGGTTTGAGTCCCGAGGAGCAGGATAACATTTTCAGAATGTTGGCTGCGATCTTGTGGATTGGTAATATTTCATTCGGGGAAGATGAGTCTGGAAATGCCCAAATCAGAGATGAAAGCGTCACCAATTTTGTGGCATACTTATTGGATGTCAATGACCAAGTGTTAATCAAAGCCATGACCGAAAGAGTTATGCAAACATCACACGGTATGAGGAGAGGTTCAACATATCATGTTCCTCTTAACAACGTCCAAGCAACTTCGGTTCGTGATGCATTAGCCAAGGGTATCTACAACAACTTGTTCGAATGGATTGTGGAGAGAGTGAATATTTCTCTCAAGGGTAAACAAGTTGCCAGTAAGTCTATTGGTATTTTGGATATTTATGGTTTCGAAATCTTCGAGCATAACTCTTTCGAACAGATTTGTATTAATTATGTCAACGAAAAGTTACAGCAGATTTTCATTCAATTGACTCTTAAAGCAGAACAAGATGAGTATGTTCAAGAACAAATCAAATGGACTCCAATCGATTATTTCAACAACAAGGTCGTCTGTGACTTGATTGAAGCAGTGAGGCCACAACCAGGTCTCTTTGCAGCCTTAAATGACTCGATTAAGACTGCTCACGCGGACTCGGATGCTGCTGACCAGGTTTTTGCACAAAGATTAAACATGGTCGGTGCAAACAACAAGTACTTCGAAGACCGTAGGGGTAAATTCATTATCAAGCATTATGCTGGAGATGTGGTTTATGAGGTTGAAGGTATGACTGATAAAAACAAAGATGCAATGTTAAAGGATTTATTAGAGTTGTTGAGCACGTCCTCAAACAGTTTCGTGCATACTTTATTCCCTGCTGAATTACTTTCTGCAATGGAAGATTCAAAGAAGAGACCAGAAACCTCGTCGGACAAAATTAAAAGATCGGCTAATCTTCTTGTTGACACATTGTCTAAATGTCAACCATCGTACATTAGAACCATTAAGCCAAATCAAACTAAAAGGCCAAAGGAATATGACAATAATCAAGTTTTGCATCAAGTTAAGTACTTGGGTTTGAAAGAAAACGTTCGTATTAGAAGAGCAGGTTTTGCTTATAGAACAACTTTCGATAAATTTGTGCAGAGATTCTTCTTATTATCTCCCGCAACTGGTTATGCTGGTAACTACATCTGGAATGGAGATGATTTGTCTGCAGTCAGAGAAATTTTGAGAGCCTGTTATATTCCAGATAGTGAATATCAATTAGGAACAACGAAAGTTTTCATAAAGAATCCAGAAACCTTGTTTGCCTTGGAAGATATGAGAGATAAGTATTGGTACAATATGGCAGCTAGAATTCAAAGGGCTTGGAGAAGATATGTGAAGAGAAAGGAAGATGCTGCCAAGGTTATCCAACAAGCATGGAGAATGAAGCACCATGGAAACCAATTTGAGCAATTACGTGATGAAGGTAACAGAATGCTCCAAGGAAGAAAAGAGCGTAGAAGAATGTCCATGCTAGGCTCTAGAGCTTTCATGGGTGACTACCTCGGAAGCAATGACTCTTCTGGTTATGGTAGGTTTATTGCCAACCAAGTGGGCATCAACGAACATATTGTGTTTTCTGGTAAAGGTGACATCTTGTTATCTAAATTTGGTAGATCTTCTAAGAGGTTACCACGAATCTTTATCTTATCCAAGCACACTATTTACATCATTGCTGAGGTATTGGTTGAAAAGAGATTGCAATTACAAGCAGAATTCAAAATACCAGTAAACTCGTTGAACTATGTTGCTTTGTCAACCTTGCAAGATGGTTGGATTGGTATTTCATTGCACAGTCCAACTCCAACTACTCCTGATGTATTTGTGAACTTGGATTTTAAGACCGAGTTTATCACACACTTGAAGAAGTTGAATCCTGGATTGACAATTAACATCGGACCTACCATTGACTACCAAAAGAAGGCTGGAAAGTTCCATAATGTTAAGTTTGCTATTGGCAATGGCCCAGAGGTTCCAAAGTACGGTGATTTCTACAAATCTGGTAAGGTTACAGTTAATCAAGGTTTGCCGGCCAACAGCCAAAATCCTAAAAGGCCAAGAGGCAAGCCTGGACAAGTGGATTACAGCAAGTACTATAATAGAGGAGCAAATCTTAGAGCTCATGCTTCATCCTACCAACTGCAACCTTCGCATCAGTCAAACAATGGTTATCAACACATTCAACCTGTGCAACCAGCCGTTCCAGCTCAGCAAACCAGAAAAGTGCCACCACCTGCTCCTGTTGCTACCCAGCCAGCCGCTCATGCGATTCCAGTGGCCCAAACGGGCCAGGCCGCTCAGGCCGCTCAGGCTGCTGTGCGTAGAGTTCCGCAAGCTCCACAGGCTCCACAAACTGTTCAAGCAGCTCAGAAGCCTGCTGCTCCTAGCAGACCACTTAAGAAGACTGCTCCAGCTCCTCCAGCTAAGAAGGTGGCCCCACCACCCCCTCCTCCAGCCTTATCAAAGCCTAAGTTCCCAACCTATAAGGCGATGTACGACTATGACGGGTCGGTGGCCGGCTCTATTCCACTTGTCAAGGACCAGACTTACTACGTGACCAGTGTGAATGGAAAGTGGGGTTTGGTGAAGCTCTTGGATGAGTCGAGAGAGGGTTGGTCTCCAATCGACTACTTGCAAGAGATCAGTCCGCCAGCCAACGTTGGTGGTGCCTCAAAGCCTGCGCCTCCACCAGCACCTGCTCAACCATCGAATCCAGTGGCCAATGGCAATGGTGGTGCCAATTTGAGCAACGGTTTAGCTGATGCTTTAAAGGCTAAAAAGAGCGGAGAACATGCAATGGCTGGTTCATTGGCTGATGCTTTGAAGAGAAGACAAGGTGCAACTAGAGACGATAGTGACGAGGAGCCCGAAGATGACGATGACTGGTGATTTAAATGTATAAAATAAAGATAAATAGACCATGCACTGAACGAGCTGTAGGAGTTTTTTCTGTCAACTCAGCCTGCAATTAGGTAGTCTAAGCTATGGCTCTTATGATCCCCGAGCACTTTAAGCTTACTTCATGCTGTAGCCATGAGAGTAATTATCACCAAATATTGACATCCAGCTACTTATAATACATATAAACGGGATGTTTCATCCGTCCCTATAAAGATGCCTTATAGTTCTGTGCGTTTGTTGTGCCTTCACAGGCCTATGTAGTGTAAAACACTAAATTAGTAATTAATTCCGATTGGTCTTAATGTGCTCTCGCCGTGCTTAGACTTTCCAGATCACGGAGTGCAATACGGCTTAGAAACAGTCACAGCGCCTCAAATTGTCTGTCCAGATCAAAAAGATTTAGACTATTGAAAAAGCCCTTCATACATCGAGGCGGACGACAGCAGCACTTTGCGCTACAAAACAGTCAATTCCAGTCACAGAACCAGTCACACAGTCGACCTCGCAGTGTAGCCTGAATTGACCCCCAAAGCCAGGCCTGGTTCCATCCACTGCCCAGGCTGCAATTGTGGTCACGTGTGTATTTTTGGTGGGTGGTAAATTACGACCTCTCTAGACTTGCACCTTTGCAGACTCCATATCCCACCCACGCTATCGGACCCGAGGTTCAAAATGTCGAAATCTCGGAACAGAAACAGCTTGCTATCGTCTCACAACCGCTCGTCATACACCAACTCCGCCAAAGATGAACTAATGGCAATGAAATATGTGATGAACAAGCCCGATCTACCATTGTATCCATTGAACGACGCCGATTCGGCGATGTCGAGCGATTTCAAGGACGGAATTAAGGATGTGACCAGAGAATCGCATTCCAAAGATTCCTCTGGCGTCGAACCGTCCGATACCAACCACACCTACCCGGATTACAATCCCTGGAAGGACCACACCCATTTACCAGAAGATAAGAAGCAGCAAGAACTACAGAGGCTAAGCAATCCTAACTTTCTCAACAAAGGATACTTTGAAACTCCCATCGTCTCCAACGAGTACTACTCGGCCCGTAACTTGATTCAAGCCACGATATTCTCCTCCACAGATAATTGCAACAATGTGTTGAAAGAGCTATCTCAACACTTGACCAATGGATACAAAACAAGAAATGAGGTTATCAACAAGATAAGAGCCAATTCCAACAACTTCAAGATACCCCCTAGAGTCACGTTAACGATCACAAAAAAGGAATCGTGGCTCAAGGACCTTGCCAACCCTAGCATTCCCTTGCTGAAGATTTCAGACAAGCTTCCACATGGTATAAGAAACAAGGTCTTGATAGAAAGTGTTTGCAACAAGGGTGTACCAATGACAAGAGCAATTTGGTTCACCAAATGTGTTCTTTACGGAGAATTGATTACCATAAGGAAGAAGCATCAGATTCGAGGTTCCGGTGTCAGCACAGAGGACTTTGAAGCCCATTGGTTGAAAGAATGGACGCAACAAGTATCGGACTACATTTATAAGTACTCAAAAGAAATGGGTAATATATCATCTCAGGAGAAGAAAACAAGTTATATGAACAAGCTAAATTATTTACTTCAGTATGTTCAAACTCTCTACGTGGAATGTCTACTTGACAAGACCTTTTTTTTATCCCTTATTTTGAAATTTCTCAAGGAAGGGCTCCCTTTGCAATCTAAGCATATTAATGAATTGATGATCTACTCAAGAAACGAAGGAGATGAAAGTGAAGATGATGAAATTAATGACTTAATGTTGGATGAGAATCACAAATGGATAACAGAACTAGATCTTAATTACGGTCTTCGATTGGTCTGCCTTACCATGATGAAAATTTTTTGGAATGACATTCTCAAATTCGATTATCTTTGCAAAGAAGTTAGTGAGCTACTTTTACTAAATCACTATTTCATAAGCAAAATTTCATTCTTGAATAATAAAACTAATTTTAGAAATTTGTCTGATGGCCTCAATCAAAAACTTTTAGCCTTGATATCTGACCATGTTACCTTTCTTTTTGAACTTAATACGAACGTGTTCATTCTCCCAAATTTTTGGGTATTAATCAATTCTACCTTATACAAAATTCTAAAAGATGGAGAGAAAGGTCGTAGCAACCAAGAAAATGAAGAAATCCAGGGTCAGCTTGAATTGATAAAATATCGGAATGAAAGTTTGGTTTTAAACATGAGACAAAGCACCAGCTTGGCCAATAGTATGACTAAATTATCTTCGCTACCAGGTCAGCAATCTAATGCAGAAGTCGAAGAATCGGATCATACATTCATTAACAGATCTTCAAATGATATCTTGAGGTTTATACAACAATTAGATGGTTTGAAGTTGGGAGCTCTAGCAGAAATTCTCAGGCCAGAAGGTACTTATAGAACAGAAAGTAACGAGCTCAGCCAATTATCTGCATCTCTCAAGAGCACTCTGCCTTCTTGGAGAATCGGATTGAGTATTATAATTCATTGGTCAGTTTCGTCTTACAGATGCATGCGAAAATCCAGTGAAAACATATTAATCATATGCAATTTCTTGAAGAGGCAGGTGTTGCAATCATTTTCCAAAACTTCCAAAAGCTCTATAAACCTTAAGATAGAGTTTGAGAATGAAATTCTAGAAATAATTTATTCTATTGTGGAATCTGAACCTTCGACTATCATAAATTACAACCTATACGTATTAATCAATGAGTTATACCAGCTCAAAATTATTACCATTTCATCATACTTGAGAAAGCTTATCGCTTCGGGTATTTTCTATTTAACCCCTGAGGATGTGACCAGCGGTCAAAATCAATTGGCCCAGATGCATTTGAATATTTTACAGAATCTTCCTGTCCTCAATAATCGTCAATGCGATAGTATTTTGAAAAAATGGATTCCTAATGGTTTCAACTTCAAAGAAAAGTTCGAAATGGGAAAAAACGTACTTGAAAAGGAAATCCTTGGTTTAGTGAGTTCCAATACTAAAGATTCCGAAAATATGGCCTCATACAAGGTGAACATAGATTCTCCTGACTATCCACTTCATTATATCAAGGATCTAAATGTTGGATTGAAATTCTTGCTTGTAAATTGGGTGACCAATGAGCTTAAATCAAACGTTACCAAGTCACCAAAATTAGTTCACATAACTCCATTCACAATTACTAGTCTTTACAATTTTTACTCGTTGTGTGACAACTTAACTGTATTTTTCAAAGTTCTTATTAAGTTTATTTTGAAGAATGATAGTGGAATGATAATATTCTACATGGACTCCCTATACTTGGTCGCTAGGTTAGTATTAAGGCATTTCAAGCTTATAAAGTTCATGGGAGGTACAGGATCGACAGTGACAAATGGAAGTGAAAGCTCGAGTGCATATGAGTTGTTCAAACTAATTGTATTGAATTACAAGGATCAGAGTACTAGGGAATTCGATTATTTCAAATTTGAGGGTATTTGGAATTTCATCGACAATGCCATCGAAAAGAAACAAATTGAACCAGAACTGGGTAAGCCTAAAAGACAATTAGATGGAGACAATGAAACGGATTCACCATTAAAAATCACCTCAGATACAAAACAGGATGGAAAATCTTTTGAGTATAGCTATACCAATTTCAAAGAGGATTTGGATAGGTTAACTACCGCTACTTCCAATTATTTAAGTGACCAAGAAGTTCTTGATATTCTCGATACGTTGCACTTGGAAACTGAACTTGATAAGCACCATGATTCTTTGGCCACAGATGGATTAACTTCACCCTCTAATGACGAACACTTACATGAAGCACAATTGCTTAATCGAGTGCTCGATTACTACTTTAAACATTTACCTGAACTAAGTGAAGAAAATGAAAGCTTGATAGTAAAGATCATGGCGAACATCCAAAATAAGCTTCGTTATGATGAGACTTTATTTCGAACTTGTATTCAAAACTTCATTTCACTGTTGCTTTCCCTGGCTGATAGTGATCATTTAATTCTATTTGTGAAAAAACTTTGTTTGTTTGAGCTCGTTAACATTAAAGACATTATCAATTTTTTTCAGGATACAAATGAAGATACTGCAAATGATAAGATAGCTGAAGAAATAACATACAAATTGTTGCTTGAAGAAAAGAATGAGGATATGCCTTGTTCGCAGCTCTTGCTATTAAACCTTGTCAGGGACACATTCAAGTTCAGAAATACCAGCACTCATACATTCACAATCTTGAAGGGACTTAGAGTGGGAGATAGTATCTTTTCAACAATTTTATTCGTGCTGTACAAGGAGCCTACTTTGAGTTTTTTGAACCATTTGGCAGTCACCAACACCAAGCTATTCTTGGATGAACTTATTTTGAAGATACCAACCAAAGATAGTATTGAGTTACTAAACATCCTACTCGGTTGGAAAGAAAGTCAGTATGTTCAGACTTTAGGGGATTTTTCAAAAGTCGTATCCAGGATTGAGGAGTTCAATTTGCCTCTAGCTCAGGTGCTACTTAGAAGAATCTGTTCCCAAGAACTTTTTGAGTTACCAAAGTCTGAAATCCAGTTCAGGATGAAAACTTTGGTTGAGTCGTTTGTTGGTAATCTTCATTTTGATTTTACTAGTAGAAACTCCTACTTTGGGGAGCTCTTCAACTATTTAATCTGGGATCACAAAGTCTGTGTGTTGAATATTCTTGAGGATTTAGTCTTATTGAATACTAACTTTGTGACTGAGTCAAGTCCTAGAATAAGTCTCCTAGTCAAAAGCTCAGGGGACGAGATAAACTTACTTCCTGTACTAAATGACTTTTTCAAAAAGTTTTCTACTTCGTCTACGAATGTGGTTGGATCGAGTGGTGGACTCTTTCAAAACTTGCAGAATTTCCTAACTAAGCTAGTTGAAGTTACTCTTTCAATTGGTTCTAAGGACAATGGTGTTATTTCGGGAGAGGGTGATATTCGTGATCTGACTGTTCCCTTGGCACATCCGGAATACCATGCTGAAGAACATGAAAATATCTCTAATGCCGTTTCCATCCTTTTGAGAATACTAATTATTCACAAGGCTACATTAACCAAAAAAATCGTTAGTCAGGATGGTGAACATTTCTTATTCATCAAAAACTTGATTAAACTCCTCAAATCAACCTTTTTACAGCATGGAAACGAGAAGCTTTGCATATTGTTGTACGATTTGCTACTTTTATTGAAAACATCCTTGACGGAAGTTTTAACGTTGAATCTGGAACTCGATCTTTCTGAAGGTACGTCCCCAGGATTCAATATGGGCTCGATTGAGGAAACTCCTAAAGTGGATACCAATAATGACCAAGAGTGGAATGTAACTCCAACGGCACCCGCAACTACTCCGGGAGGATTGCTGGCAACTCCTAATGCCACAGCCACGCCTGGTGTAGTTGCAACACCGGTAATCAATTTGCAGGGCAACCCTAGTGCTCACTTATCCAGTATATTCAATCTTCCCGAACCTGTGCAGCAGAATCCTTTCAAGGAATATCTCAATAGCAAAATTGATAGTGTTCTCACGCTTGACGAGTTTGAACTCCAGCGCTCGGGAGATATACATGTGGCCAACGAGTCTAATTTGGCACTTGTGCCCACTAACCAGGACTCTTCTAGTTTGTCCAATGCGTTGGGTATTCTTTCGAATTCAGTGAGGTCTTCCAACGTGAAAGTTCAATCGTACTACCCTTACAAACTCAGAAGCTTTGAGATCTTGGAAGATTCCTCGCAAGGATTGAATGATTCTTGTATCAATCTTCAGTTATTTGATGCATATACTACTAGGGAGAACCCACCATAAGTGGCAAATACTTTTGTCGGTGGTGCTCATGGTAAGTTGAATTAAGAGTAGTGGTTATAGAATCTAGAAATTAATGCAGAGGAATTGAAACGGGTTACAAGGTCGCAGAAATGCTTGTGTAGAACTTAATGCATTTCCTACCAAAGAATAAAAAAACTAGAGTTAGTGCTATTCTAGTATTGCTAGCATAGTATGCGTAGTAGTTTCCACGTTTTGAGGCACCTAATCATTTTCGCAGCCAGTACGGACTTGGAACCACCCAAGATATTCTGCTGTTATGAAGGGAGTCTGACCAAGTTACAATCGCCCATAATCTGTCACACTTCACATCGCAATTACAAGCTGCCAACTCTACCCTTGGAAGTGAGTTTCACTATTTCAGGATGTCGGTGATAGGACTATTTGCGTGGTCTATGTTCAGCTGGCACTACTACGATTGGCTGACACCTAACAATAATGTTATTGGCTGACAGCTGACACTAATTTTATTGGCTGGTAGCTGACACACAGTATTAATGGCTGGAATCTGACACACAATATTGACTACTAGTTCTGTATTATACGTAATTAGGCACCCATTGCCTTAAAGTGGATCCTCCAATACATTTTGCTTCTCGCACATATTGCATCACGTTCATCCCCCCTCCTTTGACTCCTAGAATTTCTGGATCTGGAAACGAATTATTCTTTGCCTATTTGGCGACCTATTTTTAGCCAGACAATGCACTAGCTGCCCCAGGCTGCCCAAAAATCATCGCTTCCACTGGTGTATCAGGTGCACGTGAGACACTCCATGCAGGAAGCAGCACCTTCCAGCGCCCATAACCGAGTGCGTTCACCTTTAAACGCTACGTAGATACACATCTTTAACCACCACAGTCGACTACTCGAATCACCCAAATATCATGGCTTCCGAACGGGATGAGAGAGACGAATACAGGGCCAGGGCGGAACGCCAATTGAACAGCGCCACGCCCACGCTTATGGACTCTCCCATACCTCCAGTCAGAACCCCAAATGGTGTCCACAGACACTCGTACCAAGGCATACCCGATTCGTTGTTGGACAAGGCAGCAGAGGAGTTGTCCAACATCACGTCGTGGCAAGTGCCAGCAGTGAACGCGTCGTTTGCCGCCACTGGTGACATTCACGAACAACGAACCCAAAGGCCAGCAGACATCAGAAAACTCAGCAGCGCCAACTTCTCGTCCGACTCGTTGGTGGACCCAAATCCCGCTCCATTGACCCCCACCATCAACTCGGTGGGTGGCTCCTACAGCCCTGCCACCAACACCCGCCGGTACTCCAACTCGTCGCGCCCCAGACCCAAGTCTGCTGTGTTCATGATGGACTCCAACTTCGCCATCTCTGAAGACGGCAGTCCCATCCAGTCGCCCATTAGCAATACCCCAAGATCACGAAACTCGGTCCACTTTGGCCAGAGAAACTCTTACATTCCTAACACCACCTTCCCTCCTACAGGACCCGTAGCTATGCCTCCTCGGTCCTCGTCGCCCACTAGATCCACCTCCCCATCGAGACAGAGTAGGAACTACCGCTCCAAGTCCCCTGTGAGAAGGCTGTCCTCGCCTTCAAAGACATACCTGCCTTTCAACTTCCAACCCCAAGAAATGATGCTCCAGAATAACAATTCAAACCAGTCTCTTCTGCTCAAACCAGCACACAGAAAGGGGCACAAGTACAAACACTCCTCGGTTTCTATGAACTTGTTCCAAGAACCTCCACCTTCCTTGGCCACAGACAACCAACTACTCAAGATCCCCAGTCTGTACCCAATCCCAAACTTCAAAGAATCGTTAGCATCGATCACTCCAGCCCAAAAATTGAAGGTTAGCTGGTCTTTCATTCATCTTTCTTTGTCCCTCATAGTTTTCCTCATAGGTCTCAGGTACAAGCTTTCTGCGTTGTCAACATTGGCCCATCTCATCTTTTACGACTCGATTGGTTCAATCGTGATTGTATTCGTGGATATCATGTCAAACTTTGAGGTCTGGAACAACTCTTCCATTACATATCCTTTTGGGTTAGGAAGACTCGAGGTATTAGTAGGTTTCGCATTGAGTGCATCTTTGGTGATGGTGGGCTTCGATCTTGTTAGCCACTTTGTTGAAGAATTCATAATCGAGCTTGTGGTCGACCCAGATGCTGCTGCCCATGGTGAACAACACAACTCGCACCATATCCATGGTGATGGTGGTGGAATCACCAACTGGTTCACCTACGAATTGGTTTTGATTGTCACCATGGTTGTCACGTTGATCACCTCCAATTACATTTTGGCTTACGAAAAGATCAATGAAATGATTTCTTCTCAAGAAGAGAAATCGTTTATTACCGAGAAATCCAGAGAAAAGAGTGGGATCTTGGGTGATACCGTAAAGAATACGAGTGCCCCCCAGAGTGTCATTTCGGATTTGAAAAAATATGTTGACGTCTGGACCAAGAACCCTACTCATTTCTTGACCTTGAGTTACTCGACGTTCTTGATGATCATTCCAGTTATTCCTCTGAGTTTTGACTCAGAGACCGTGGACTTGAACGAGATGGCATCGTTGATCGTTGCACTTTTGTTGTGTTACACTGGCTGGAGATTGGTCAAATCCTTGGGGGGTATTTTATTATGCTCCTATCCTCATTCAGACTATGACTACCACAAATTGAAGTGCAGCATTATGGACCAGATTCTCTCCATGGATTTCTTCAAGCACACCTATACGGTAGAGAAGTTTTTCATCACCAAATTCAACTACCAGTTGTTTGTTGTTGGCCTTCAAATCAACATGAAGGGTGCGTCCAACGACGATGAATCGAGGCTCCGGTTCGAAATAGCCAGGATTGTGAAGAGAGAAATAGAGAAGATTGATACTCATAAAAATACCAAGATCGAGAATACCATAGACATAAATAGAATTTAGTGCTAAATATCAGGACAAGGAAGCAACATCAGTCTTACCCCCGTCATAGTGAAATACTCTCAGCATAAAAATGCATCATAGTGATGATGTCCAACATATTCAGTGTAGCTACCACATAGCACTACAATTTTCAGTATAAAATGCACGAAACAGCACCTACTAAATTTTGCAAAGTTAACAGGCCAGCTGGAACAACAAATTTCAAGTATTTCTAAACGGGAACCATCTCAGGCGTGTCCAGTATTACTGTAGTGCCCATATCTCACTCGAAGCCCGATTAGGCGGCTCCCTAATCCTCACCACAAATTGGACTGGGCCCGATTCGGCAAGAGATGAGTCAACCGCGGTGCAAAATCTTTTCCATAAATTCAAGAAATCGGCACTAGTTAACTTGTCATTCCTTCACGTCGTCCCCTCCAATGTTAAGAACTGCCATCAAGACTTGCAAGCCTCGGGTAGGCTACAGCAAAATCGCCGTCCAACGTCTCTCCACCTCGTCGGTGTTGAAGAACGCAGTGTCGGATGCCTCAGACGATTCCCACAGTGGAAAGTATATCAACACCATCAGTAAGCCCTACTCGGTGACCACATACGCCAGACCAAACTTGGTGCTAACCCACGGTAAGGGTTCCTACTTGTACGACTTGGAGAACCGTCAATATGTCGACTTCACGGCTGGTATTGCTGTGACCTCTCTTGGGCATGCCCACGAGGAAATCAGCAACATCATTGCCGAACAAGCAAAGACTTTGCTCCACGTATCCAACTTGTACTACAACTTGCCAGCTGGAGAGTTGGCCAACAAATTGATCACCAAAACCACCCAATCAGGGGGCATGAAGAACGCCCAGAGGGTGTTCTTGTGCAACTCCGGAACCGAAGCCAACGAGGCTGCCTTGAAATTTGCCAGAAAGTACGGAAAGAGTATCAGCGATGACAAGGTGGAGTTCATCACCTTTGAGAACTCATTCCACGGTCGTACCATGGGAGCCTTGGCGGTGACGCCAAATGCCAAATACCAGGCTCCATTTGCACCCTTGGTAGCTGGTGTCAACGTGGCAACTGTCGGTGACCTCTCCAGTGTCGAGAAGCTTATCAGCAAGGAGAAGACGTGCGCAGTCATCATAGAGCCAATTCAGGGTGAAGGAGGAGTGACTCCTGTCGAGGAAGAGTTCCTCGTTGGATTGAGAAAGTTATGTGACGACAACGATGTGTTGTTGATCTACGACGAAATCCAGTGTGGTTTGGGAAGAACGGGCAAGTTGTGGGCCCATTCTCATTTCGAGTCCGAAGCAGCCAACCCTGATATTTTGACAACCGCAAAGGCATTGGGAAACGGTTTCCCAATTGGAGCTACCATCATTACAGAAAAGGTCGAAAAGGTGTTATCTGTGGGGGACCACGGCACCACCTACGGTGGTAACCCATTGGGCTCCAAGATTGGCTCCTATGTCATCGATCAGCTTTCAGACCCCGAGTTTTTGTCCCAGGTCGAAGACAAGTCAGAAAAGATAGTCAAGGGCCTCACCAAAATCGCAGAAAAGTACCCAGAACACGTCAATGCAGTCAAGGGTAAGGGTTTGTTGTTGGGCTTGCAATTCAAGGACAACGTTCAGGCTGGCGACATTGTCAACAAGTGTAGAGAACATGGATTATTAGTGATAACTGCTGGGTTAAATGTGGTCAGAATCGTTCCCGCATTAAATATTCCTTCCGATGCTATCGAGGAAGGATTAAACATTCTCTCCAAGAGTGTGGATGAGGTAATTAATTAGAAAATATAACGTCAGAGTCAAAGGACCACTTTTGTTAAGCAGTATGATCAGCTTGACTGTAGGAACCATCGTTTAGTGTCAATTTATCCCATTATCATGCTTAAAACGCAAAACAAGTATGGTACAAACGCCTTCCTGCCACTCCAGAGCCACCCTACTTGTCGAGACCTTGGAGCTAGTGTAAATGGACAAGCGTTCGCTCTCAATCACTCTCCTATGTTGACAGGCCAATCGTGTCACGTGAAAAATTGGACTTTCATCGCCAAAGACGAGAAATAGATAGACACGGTAAAGAACGGTAAACCACGGCAGAACGCCCCTAGAAGTCCCTGACGCACCCAAGATCCGATCCACGTGTTAGCACACGCTTCTTGTTCTCTCCCAGTATCCTAGACCCATGAAATGACGGTGTCTTTCAGCATTCCAACCTCCGATTTGGATTACTGCCTAGAACAATTATTGGACCACAAACCACCCAAGATCTTGCCCCCTGAAACCGTCCAGCAGCTATGCCATACCCTCAAGACACAGCTCCTTGGGGTTCCCAACATCATGCATCTCCAGTCTCCGATATCGGTGGTGGGTGATATCCATGGCCAGTACCACGATTTGCTTGAAATATTCCAAATAGGAGGATCTCCTCCCACCACCAACTACCTCTTCTTGGGAGACTATGTCGACCGTGGATACTACTCAGTAGAGACCATTTCCTTGCTTATCACCTTGAAATTGAGATACCCTGATCGCGTGTTTTTGATCAGGGGAAATCATGAGTCCAGAACCATCACTACAAACTACGGCTTTTACTCGGAAATCTTGAATAAATACAATGGCTCGGCCGACGTGTGGTCCTGGATCACCGATCTCTTCGACTACTTGCCCTTGGGTGCCACTATAGATGGTAAGATCTTCGCTGCCCACGGGGGGTTGTCTCCCAGCTGTCAACAGCTTGACCAAATACGTGCTATCGACAGATTCAAAGAAATTCCTCACGATGGAATAATGGCTGACTTGGTGTGGTCTGACCCTGACACCGAGATAATGGACTTCAAGCTCTCGCCCCGTGGTGCAGGCTATCTTTTCGGATTGGATGTGATAAACAAATTTTGTCATGATAATGACTTGGTGCAAATGATCAGAGCCCACCAGCTCTGCAACGAGGGCTTCACCAGCTACTGGAATGGAAAGTGCCTTACTGTGTGGTCAGCTCCCAACTACTGCTATCGATGTGGGAACAAAGCCAGCATTCTCGAAATTTTACATTCAAACTACGACAGCAAGAATGGAAGCAAGACATCCGATAACAGTTTTGATGATCCTCCCGGTAAGTTGCGCTCTTCCAACCCTCAAGGAGTGTTACCGGGCCAATATTTCAATATTTTCGAAGCTTCTCCCGAGAACGACGAAGATACCATCAGCGGAAAAAGCGTTAACGGAATTAATACTGATATCAACTATGCCGGATCCGATTTCTTCGGCTCCTACTTCCAAGAGCGGCCAAAGAGGCAGCATATCGAGTACTTTTTATGATCTTCAACCAAATGGCGTACTTCCACTAATAGAAGGCTTCTGGGCAGGCCGCTTCACGCTGTATGGTTATGCATTACTTTTCCTATTGTATTATTACTTGCCATTCATGTTTAGTTCATTAACTTCGTAGGAGGGTGGATATTATTTATTTATCTAGAACTAATTAATATTCCAGAGAAAATAGGACTGGCTTTGAAGAATTATTTACGGTTAAATCAAAAGAGTAGAATAGAGTGTGGCTGGTGGGTCGTATTCGTACCTTGATAATATGGACTTTCTTCGATGGTTTCTATTCGTTTGTTGATAATATGGAGTGTCTCGGGGTTTACATTCTTACCATTGTCTAATATCAATATACAAGCTTAATTTAATTATCATACAGTGGGACTGGGGATGTGGTCACTTCTTGTGCCATTTTCAGTCATATAATTCATTTCTGTGCATGCTTGTTTGTAGTTAGAGACTCGCATCCAGCATCAGTACTCTGGAATATACACTGGCGTGGTTGTTTTCATCCTCCTACATCATTGGTTGTTTGTTGGCTGTTACAATAGCCTGGAGTAATATACTGAATTTGTCATTTGCTTCTCTCTACATCAGTAGTTGTGCGTCAGCTGCTAAATTTTGGCCCACCTACCCGTAGTACAACTCGAAGTTGAACCCGTCGTGGATCTCGTAGTCGTCCAAGCTGATGTGGTCCTTGTAGACCGAGTACCCCTTCTTCAAGATGAGCTTGTCGTAGGAGGTGCCCAACTGCAACGAAAGCATCTTTTTCAAGTCGCCAATGGTGTCAGATTCCAAGCACTTGACCTTGACCTTCTTGCCAAGTCTGTCGTTGACCAGCACTTCTATCATGGTAGGTTATGTAAGTATGCCTCTAGAGGTTTGATGAATCACTTGTGAGTGTCGAAGGTGCACTTTGGACAAGTAAAAGTGTAAACGATGGCGTGAATTCTCCAACGAAGCGACGATATTTCTCTAAAAACCTTGGATTAACTCCTTCAATTCGTCGGTGGTCTCCTTGTATCCCATATAGTTTGACACTTGGAATCACAATGACTTTACCGTGGTGCACTAAGGATATTTTCGGGGTCGACTCGCTACCGATGGACCGAGTTGTTTCTCACGGCAAGCCTGCGCGAGAGCTTCCATACTGTCTCACCCTAACAGCAGCCTCTAGGCATCCCCCTACAACACATCCGTCCACACCAAGTGCCAGTGGCTAGCGTGATAAATCCCACAATTGCTTCCCGCCTCAGCTCCCGTCCCCAGTGGCACCCACTCAGGACCGCCTGCGAAAAAACTCAACAAATATAATCCCACCACCACCATCCACGGGAACATGACGGCCCCCAACACTCCCAAGGAAGGCAATGCGCCAGGGAACCCCATCCAGCATGCCAACGTCCCGTTGCATCTCCACCAGAACAGACGGCCCTCGTTGTTGAGAAACTCTTCAGGGGGCAGCCTAAAGAGAATGCCCTCCAACGTGAACTCTGCCAATGCCTCTTCCAGCAGCCACACGTCCCCTGCATCCACCAGCACTACGTCCACCTCGGGAGTGCCCTCCTCTGGTGGCAGATCCAGATCCCGGTCGTTAATCCAGACCTTGACCCACAACCTCCAGCATCACAATAACTCCCAGTACCTCGCCCAAGAGAAGGCCTACTTGAGAAAACTCAAGAACCAGTTGGTGGATGACTACTACACCAAGGGGATTACCGGCGCAGACACCAATCTGATCGAAACAAACGACCACGACGACGATGACGATGATTTGGCCTCCAACGGGGGAGGAAACACCGACTTACTAGCAGATATCGACGACGACAAGTACCAGATCGATTTTGGCTTGGCATTCTCAATGATGAAGAGCGCATCTGACCCCAAGTTCAATCTGAACCCCAACAAGAACATCACACAACTTAGCAAAAATGACACCGATGACCCAGCAGTGATAGAAAGACTCGAATGGCAATCCATGTTGACTTCTGTCCTTACAGGTGATGTCGTCAGGTCGGAAAAGACCAAGATCATTAACAACAACAATCCAGAAAATGGCCAGGAATCTTTTCTTCATGCTACCTACAAGGAAAACCTATGGTTCGGGGTTCGAGCCAAAATCTTCAACAGAACTGAAGAGGACCAGAGAAGAATAATATCATATCGCAGAACCCTTGTGGACCAATTAATTGAGGATATTTTGAAGTTCGAAATCAATTATGACGATGAGAACGATTCACCAAGAGAGCAGGTCGGTAAAATACTCGATCAATACGATAGAGCTTGTGCGTTATGGAGGACTCTTGATGAAATGAAAAATGACAAACCATTAATCCGAAGTGAAGAGTTTGAAAATAGGCTTGATGCGCTCATTGCTTGGTATTCTATCACCGGCGCTATCGCCAATGAGACCAAGACCTTGAAAGTATGGATAGGAAATGATGAATTGGATATAACAAAGAGCTCAAGTATTAATTCTTCCAACTCCTCCTCTGCTGCCTCTACCCCGCCAGCTTCAACCACACCTTCTTCTTCCAAGGTTAAGAAATTGTTTGACGAAGATAACAAATCATTAGCCGAAAAATTAATGAAAGAGAAGGGTGTTCATGACATATTCAGAAAACGTATTTTCACACCAATAGCACCCTGGATGGTTAAGTCAAAAGATACATATATACGGTTGGGACATATGTTTGAAACCATGAAACTTCCGGACTATATCCATGATTTGATACATATTTGCCTTGTGCCTATGAAATTGATCAAAGAAATTATCAAAGTCCGTCTTGGATACGCCATGAAGTTACAAAAACCTACATTGATGATGATAGACCAAATGATTGATGACTTCAAGACGTATATTACAATTGCATTGGAAGTAAAACTTGGAATCCAAGAGTACTCCAAACCGGATTCCAGGAAAACTTGGATTTTGGGTGACTTGTTTGAAAACGAAATTCAGGATTTTGACCAAGTAGTAGTTGAATGTGTTAAGTACTTCTTGATTTTGTTGAATAGAAAGTTGTTGGACAGTTCACGTTCGCCAACAAACTTTAGGACTTTCAAGGAACCCGAAGAATTAGAAGAGGCATGGAAGGATCTCAAATGGTTAGGAAATTTCATTGAAGGTGGTAGTGTAGTGGTGGCAGAACAAATAACACTTTTGGCATCCAGATTAATTCAAAGGTTATTGGCATATTTCAATAATCAAATCAATTTTCCTCAAATACAATCCTCGAGTACATCTGATTTGATAAGGTGGTACTCCTCCACCACTGAAAATTTTGGTCAGCTAAGAAGAAAGTTGGCAAGATTCACTGGTGAGATTTCAAGAGATTTTACCAATTCGTTGGTATTTGATTTGTCTATGTCAAATACCAAATGGAAGAACTTGTTAGAAATATTGAAGGCAACAAACCATTTCTTGGTCTATACCGGGACTGTGGAAAACCAAGGTACCTATTTCTTTGCAAGTACTGAATTGATGGGGCACGAACAAGAGATTTTGAAGATTTTGACCGGTTCATATATTGGGCAAGATCCAAATGAGGCACAAACTAAATTCAGTGGATTACTCAAACTTTTAAACATGGAATCAATCATTCCGGACAATGTTGATGATCAAGATGCTAGTTATTTCTCCTACATTTTGGCGTTGTGTCCGCCCAAACCCATTGTTTGGGAAGGAAATGTTGTTACGATACACATTGATGAAGTTCCGATCACTGATGTGAAGATTGGACAGATGTTGCTTATCACCAAATTGCCATACTACAGTCTTCATATTGTTCGGGAGAAGTTTTTGAACTTGATTGGAGACATCATCACTGGTGGTGGCATCTTGAAACCAGTGGAACAACGATGCTCATTGGCAAAGGTCCACATTGAACTCACCAAAATTAACAGAAATTTTTTCAAGATGTCTTTGTCTGTATTTGACTCCGTTAAGATTGCTAGAAACAAATGCAAAGAGTTGGCTCCGGAAGGTGGATATCAAGGTCTAATCAACAGTTTTTTCATATATGCCAGAGACTTCGGCAAAAACTCGATACGAAACCTTGATTCATCAAGGAAATCAACAGTGATCATGAAATTAATACAGTTGTCGATTGAGTGGGTAAGTTTCATTTGCGACGATTGTATACCCACTGATAGAAAAACTTTTAGGTGGTGTGTGTTGGCATTGGAATTTTCCATGGATATGACAAGAGGTTTCAATGTTTTGGTATTGAGTGATGATCAGTTCCACAAGTTGAAATTGAAGGTTGCAAGATGTATGTCCCTTCTTATATCGCATTTCGATATTATGGGGGCTAGATCTAGTGAAGCAGAAAGAAACAAATTGTTGAAATGGACCTCTCAAAGACATAAAATTGAAAACTCGGCTGATGATGAATATATTCTCAAGGTTTATCGTGAAGATACCATGAAGCAGATTAATGAAATTGAAGAATACAGGAGAGAATTGCAAGAGGAATTGCAATCCGTTGGTAGGGTTTTGGATGTTTCAGATCTGGAATATCAATTTGTTACCTTATTGGCTTCATCTTTCTCGTCTGTCTCCATCAGATGGCAGAAAGGGCGGTTCATTGGTGGAGGTACTTTCGGACATGTGTTTGCTGCGGTTAACTTGGATACTGGTGGTGTTATGGCTGTGAAAGAAATCAGATTTCACGACAGTCAATCTATCAAAAATATTGTTCCTTCAATCAAAGATGAAATGACGGTATTGGAGATGTTGAATCACCCCAACATTGTTCAATATTTTGGTGTCGAAGTACATCGTGATAAGGTCTATATCTTCATGGAATTCTGTGAAGGTGGATCACTTTCTGGCTTATTGACCCATGGACGGATCGAGGATGAAATGGTTATTCAAGTGTATACCTTGCAAATGGTAGAGGGTCTTGCATACTTACATCAATCTGGTGTTGTTCACAGAGATATCAAACCAGAGAATATTTTACTAGATCATAATGGTGTTATCAAATTCGTTGATTTTGGTGCTGCCAAGGTTATTGCCACTAGTGGAAGAACAAGAGCACCAGGGGTAAATTCAGTCACCTCCTCCAGACCTGCAAATGGGACTAATAGGAACAACTTAAACTCTATGACTGGTACACCAATGTATATGTCACCGGAAGTAATTACCGGAACATCCACAGATAGATCTGGTGTGGTCGATATTTGGTCTCTAGGTTGTTGTGTGCTTGAAATGGCCACTGGCCGTAGACCATGGGCAAACTTGGACAACGAATGGGCAATCATGTACCATATTGCGGCAGGCCACAAGCCTCAATTGCCTTCGCCTGATCAGTTGAGTGAAGCTGGTAGAAAGTTCTTGGCCAGATGTTTGGAACACGATCCAAAGAAGAGACCTAGTGCTGCCGAGTTACTCAACGATCCTTGGTTGGTCACAATCAGACAAGTTGCCTTTGGTTCTTCTGAGGGTGGAGGCACTCCTTCGTCAGAAGTGGGCTCAGACATACAAGAGATTGGTCACCAAGCCAGCTAAGGGAGTACATGCTGCAGATAACTTGTTTCCCACGGACATAGGACGGGTTCGGGTAACCCATATTTTGGGCTGGGTATGAAAGAGATTGTATACTAGCTCGAGGGACGATACTCCAATTAGCATTCTAATAAATTTATTGTTGGTGAGTTTTGTATATACAAGTTGGGCACTGTATTTGTATTCCCGTAGAGTTTAATTTATGTGCTTCGACCACCACGAAGCAAAGGCAATAACTTGTTTCGTAATCCTTGTCGTCTCATCACGAGATTTTGGTTGTGCACCCTAGTCATTCATTCGTTGGCAGAACATGAATTATATAGAGCTTTCAATGTTCTCATCAAAATATTTCTTTATCTCATTGACAACATCACCCTTTATGTTGACGTAACCAATGTTCTGGTTCACGGTAATTTCAAGGTTAGGGTTCAAGGCTAACAAATCATTCTTAAATTGGACAACATCTCCCTGAATTCTCTTTACTTCGGTACTGATCTTGGTGTTCTGGATCTTCAAGTATACTGGCCAGTGCTTGAACTTGGTCTTGGTGATAGAATAGTTGTGGATGCCAAAACCAGTGTTTGGCAAGTTCTTATAACTAATGGATGAAAGTGGTGGAATTTCGAAGGGTTTTATAGTTGGGGTTGGAAGTGGAACCCTAACCGATTTCAAAGATACAAATGAAGGTCTCATTGTGCTTTTTGGATAGTTTTCAGTTACAGTTCTTTTTAGTTGAACAATTTTTCTCAGATTTAGATGTCGCGTGTGTGTCGTAGCACCCTATTATGCGACATTCACCGATGTATTTTGAGGCGTGCGCTACTCGAAAATCTAAAGATAAATTATTACTATAAACCTAAATCCTAACTATTAAATCTCTATCTTGACGCCAGTATGTCCAGCAATGGGCTCATTAATTGTGCACTTAGATTTGTGTAGCTTCATGTGTTTTGTGTAGTTAGGTTTCTTATCAAACTCCTCACCGCATATTTCACAGTGAAAGGTCTTATAATGAGTCCTCATGTGCTTTGTTAAGTTAGAACTCTCCCTGAAACACTTGTTGCATCCTGGCCATTTACATTGAAGTGGTTTTTCGCCGCTATGCACTCTCTTGTGGATGGATAAAGAAGAACTAGTCGCGAATTGCTTACCGCAAATAGAGCATGAGAATGGCTTTTCACCCGAGTGAGTTCTCATGTGCTGTTTCAATATAGATTCAACCGCAAACGAAGCTCCACAAATGTCACATTTGCATGGCTTATAGTTTGTATGAATGTGAATATGCCTGAATAATTTTTGCCTCTGGTTAAATGACTTACCATTATGTCTTTCGCAGCCAATCCACTTACAATGATAGATCGGTTTGCCTGACCCAATGTGATCTTTGATCAAATGCTCTTGAAGCTCACCATCTGTTTCATGTACCCGGTTACAAGCAACTGGGTTACCATTCGCATCAGTTCCCACGTCCCATTTACAAACATGGGGCCACTTGCTTTCACTCGAATGTGTTGGAGGAGACTTCCTCTTTTGGGGCATGATCTTCAATGATGTAATATTAAGTTGATTTTGATCTTTAATGGCTTTTAAATCAGTAGAATTCATGTTATTGGCATCTGAAGTCATCCCCTGAACATCTTTCAAGACTGGTGATGAAATTGTCGAACTTGGAGTTAAAAGAAATTGACTCTGACTATCCAAAGTTGGTATGTACTGACTGGACCCCGTACTATAATTGTTAACGGGGAATTGGGCATGTAGTTGATCTTTGTGTACATTCAAATGGTCAACGAATGAGTTGAAACTATTATCCATATAGTTACAGTCATTCCATTCACACAGGTATGAAGTCGCCTTGGGATTAATAGATGTTGGAGGTTCAGGTACACCATAGTCCTGACGAATATGCTGGTCAATTAAATGTTTCATAAAAGTATCATCAGTGACTTTACGGAAACAATTATCCCACTGGCATGGGTATGCAGATGTAGCAGTCACTGATAGGTTGTCAGATGAAGTTTCTGAAGGAATTGATCTTTCTGCAGAAGGTGAAAACTTGTTCATCAATTCTAACTGCGGCCCCATAGGGGTAGACAAAAGATGCTTATTTTCTGAAACCTTCCTCGACTTCACGTTCTCAATCGATGATCCATAGCTACTTCCTGCTAAATCTTGATGGCTTCCTTGAGTAATACCAAGGTTATTATTAAGGTATTGGTTAAAAGTATTGAATTGGACGTAGAAGTCAAAATCAAGCATCAAATCATCAACATTAAAAGACCCTGTACTGGAATTTGGTATTGTTGTATGAAAACACGACTGCCGAATATGATTGTGGCTAGTTTTATCCCGAGATGCATAGTATTCCTTGTTTGTCAGTTCATTGCTCGATTTCAGTGACAGAGTATTACTTTCGGGGGCTGGGTGGCATGCATGTGGGAAATGAATTTCAAAATCTTTGGCATCATCAACTTTTCTTCTCTTGCGACTATTGGACTCATCGATGTTATTGTCAACATTCAAAGATTTATTCTCATAAAGCTCTGGTATAAGATTTAAGTTCTGATGAACGTTAGTGATCAAATTCTCAAAGATTGGACGCTTAGACAACTGGGGCTCGCAGATATCTTGGTGCTTATTCGAACAATGAATGTGCTCTGTTGAAGAATTAGCACCATCACAACAGTCAGGCAAACAGTCATCGTCATATACAGAACAGTCTGAATCCAGATTTGGGTGACTTGATCTTAATTCCAGGCAGTTTTCATCATCACAACATGTGATATCGTGCTCACCCTCGTGGTCGTCACCCCTTGAGTGAATTTCAACACATCTTGAATCATCACAGCAGGTAGATTCAGTAGCCAAGTAGGAGCCATCCGCATCACAGCTTCCGCCATTTGCCAGCTTTTTGGTGCTATCACAGCTCAAAAAGAAACAATCGTCTAGTTCGTCACAAAAGATATCTTTGCAATATGCCAACTCCTCAAACTGCTTGCAGTCCTCGGCGTTTTCGAGCATCTTCCCAATATCGTTGCCACCGTTGTTTCCAAGCCTGCTCTCTTGCACTTGATGGTCGTGGTCATGATTATGTATATGACCATGTATATGTGTGTGGTCCTTGTGCTTGTGAATGTGTCCATGGACGTATCCATGTGTGAATACCTGGTTGTTTAGTGGTTCATTCAGGGACATTGGAGCCTCAGCTTGCAAAGTAGACCGTACAGATCTAGAACTAACTTCAGGACCCATATTAGCCGAGCTCAGGTTATACCTATTCGTTAATCCCAGCATTTGATTCGATCGTTCTCCAGCAACTGATGAAAAATGACCGGTAAGCAAACTGATGCAAAGTAATAAATTGATTTCTAACTCCCAACTGAAGACCAGCTAAGTTGGCTTTGTGTTTTTTGTGCTCTCCTGACACGATGTATATGGCTCAAGATATACTGTTGATAGATTCCACAGGAGTCCCAAAATCTCAGGAGCAACGTGAAGATGTGCCTCTGACTGTGCCTCGTATCACTGCTTGATTCTGCAGTACTGACAACGATTTCGCTTACGGTCTGCCTTACGATTTAGCTTGTCTTTGCTGGTGTAGTGTATATTCGATTAGTAAAAGTGCTCTTTTTTGGTTGCAACAACCCTGGTGGTTATTTCTCAAGATTACTAAAATCAAAGGTCGTGTCTGTCTTTGGGAGATACGTCACTTTAAGACGTTAACACGTGATGGGGACACGGGAACGGAACCAGTAAGCGACCCGGTAGGGCCTTGTGTCCTGTCCCGTCCCGAAGCATTCTGTCGCGCTTCACAGCCTAGATCATGTTGAATTGCTGCTCCTGATTAGTAGAGTAATCCATCACCTTGGTATTGTCAGTTTTCTCAAGAGCTTTGAAGTGATAATTGAGCAATTGTTCATGTCATATCTACGGCATTCACACTCGCTGAGCCTCATCATGAAACTTTATTATAGAGAACTGCTTCTAGAAACCCCAAACAGGGTCAGTGTAAAAGCTGTGGTTCACCAGTCGCATAATGGTCTCATTGTGTGTTGATGCATTACCTGGTCTAATCTCCAGCTATCCTTTCACTCGTTCATACTAGAGTACTTCGGATTGAGAATGCAATTACTCAAAGTTGGTATCATATAATCGCTTCCTTGAATTTGTGTATATTGTTCTTTATCATCAGAAAGCTTCTTTTCAATTAGTTTTGTTTATTTTCACAAACAGATTTTATTTTGCATCTCTCATTGACTACTATTGCAACTCTCAGTCCTACTGATACTCTCTCTTAGACTATTTTATCATTAGCATCTTAGACTTTATTGTGCTAATTTTCTAATGTTACTTTAAACTGACTGTCATAGATCCACCAGATCGGCAGCAGTTTTGATCTACATCCTAAACCCTCTTTTTGCAAAGTATGTTCCACATCCTGCTTCTAATAATTTATTAGTTTTACAGGTCCCTAAATATGCTTTGCAACAATAACCCCATCAATAGGTATTTTCATGATTTCGCTGGAAGCATTCAGGCCAAGGGAACTACTGATCTACAGCTGTGGGCGCCTGGACCCTAAAAGGTACCATCCTCATCGGGAAGACCCTTTCCATATATTATCCCACTGCATCCTGAGGGCCATGCACGAGGCAAACCCTGATCTCCACTTAACACTTTCTTCGATATTCGTATTGCCTGTGTAGAAAATAGTCTCTTCGTTCCTAGTGTGTGGCTTGCCTCTGCAAAATATTATCTCGCTTTCGACTATAAAGCGAGATAATATCTTTCCATACAAGGTCGTGGACCCACAAAATAACTCTAGCGAGTGGAATCAAATCCTGAGCAAACAGCTCAAAACTAAAGTCGATCAATACGAATAAGACCGAAGATTCGGTATGCACTGTAGAACAATCGAACGCGGTTTCTGGGTCTGGAACCTTGTCCTATTGAATATGTACATTATATTGGCCTATCTTCTACAGCGACTTCATTGCTCCCATCTTCCAAATTACCCGATCGAGCATTAGGTAAATATCGATTGTGCGCAAAAAATATTATTAACGTGGACTAAACCGGGCCTCGAAATCCACAATTTCAGTTCAATCGCTATGAATTGCACGAGTTGTTCCCCATTCGGCTAAAGAAACAACTTAGGGAGCGTTCTTGGTGTGGGTTACAAATAAGCAATGTCTCTCCAAACTCTAATGTGGTGCCATGTGTACTGGGGGGAGTTTGTAGGGCTAGTCTGCATTGGCACACGGTGAGGCGACCTGATCCATGAATGATCGACAACCACATATGCTAATGCGCTATCTCCTGCGAGCACATACCCAGTGCAGAAGGAGCAAAGATCAGGCACCAGTGGCACTAATCAGGGATGGATCTAAGCGACCATTGCATGCTAGGTCCCCGATATGCGTCAGCACATTCATCCGGGAACATCAACAGAGTATTGGCTGGAGTGCACTACAATAGAAAATGCATCTGTGGTTATGTGCGTTGGTACATCGCATCTTTTTCGGTGCTTAATTAGGAATCTTGAGTACCTACAATCTCACATTGACATAAACAAAGAACGGTTCTGAACATTTTGAGAACCCAATTGTTGGGTGTACGGGGGAAGCCATACTGGGTATTTGGGAGCAGTGGTCAAAGGTTCGTATTCTAGGTGCCAACCTCCTTCTGTCCAACTGCAGTCTCTCCTGCCGTCCGTACGTCGAAAAAATTAGATTCGGAGGTGTGCTGTATGATTATGCCTCTCAAATTTGTTCTTGGTCAAGAGCAGGAATGCGCGGCTAGCTAATTGCTTCACAATAGCGCCCAAGAAGGTGGCTAACATAATTGTATTCAACCACACTGCAGTGTTCTGCTGCAAACTAATTTTTTAACCTTATTGTGCACAGGTGAGCTGACGCTTGTTCTTGAAGAATAAAACAGTATCCAGGTTGTTGTGCTTTGAAATATCTTTATTATTAATAACTGGCTTTTTCAATCAATTTTACTACCATTCCCACATCAAAAGTCCATCATCGACACATTTTGTATACCCTATTATACTCCATAGACACTGAATCAAACCGACCAGTTCTAGGTAAGCGGCCACCATGACTCTTAGCCAGATTCTAACCCGGAGATCTAGCCGCTCCAAAATAGTGTCTGGATCGACCCCAACCTCCATCGAGAGTCAGGCCCAAGGCAAAGTCGGATCCCACAAGAGGTCTTCCAGCTTGAGGTCATTTATAAATCGGTTCTCAGGGACCCAGAGCAATTCCAGGCTGAGAACTTCACCGAAGCACCTGTTAGCATTCAGCGAACCATCCACTCCCATCATCATTTCATCTCCCATACCCCCTTCCATCGCAACTGACACCACAAATGACATTCCAGTGACTCCCGTTCAAAATGACAAGTTCGAAAACCAAGTTTTAAACTACGATATCGTATCTTTACAAGCCCTGTTCCTGAGGATCATGGAAGAACTGGACTCCAGTCCTGTCCAAGATAGAGTGCAGTCGACAAAGGAAAACTGGAATCCCAGTGATTCTCTCTACAGCATGAGTAGCGTGATAGTATATCCTAATGATTTGGCTAGCATAAAAAGAAGAAGTCTCGAGATATCTTTCGATGATGAGGCATTGAGTCATAGTACCAGCAGAAATGAGGATCCAATAATAAGTCTGTCTAAAGAATTTGATAAAGTCAATTATACTGAATATGGCTCCATTACAAATGCTGATATCCAGACATTCAAACCGTATTCTACGTCAAGGTCGAAGTTGAAATTGGTTTTTACGGAGAGAGAAGAACAAGCAGACAAGGAGTACCTTCGTGAGAACCTCCAAAACAAAATTCTTTCAAGAAAACTATCCAGAAATAGCATCATAGACGATCTCTCACTAGATGACCCAATGCAAGAGGTGTGTTTGCAACAAGCGTTGGAGACATCCTCAAAGGTACAACTGGCAAGTATTGAAAAGAGCACCGATGACATTGTTGGCTTTGAATTCAATTCAAATGAACAAGTTTACAGAAATGAAATGATGATTTTAGTTGAAAGTCATAAGCGCATTGTGACCAGACAACAAGACGAAATAAAGAATTTGAAAAAATTGCTTGAACAGGAAAGAAACTTCAACAAGATATTGAGGTCTCCCAAACAATCAGTGCCTACATCTTCTACTGCAAAGATACCAACTTTTAGAAGAAAATTCATTCCCATGAGCATCGAAGTAGATTGTCCGCCAATCAGGGCATTCAACTTACTCCCTCCATTCAACCCTCCCTCAGAACTGAGCCATCTGGATGTGAAGCAAGATACATCTGCATCAAGCATAAGTCCAAAAAGTGGATCGTTCCCAATCAATTCTTTGAAAAACCTAACGAAACCTTCCCAAAATGAGCCTAATAATGAAGTGCCTCATACCAAAAAACCATCAAAACGTGATTCATTCTCAAGTATAATTTGCCCTACAAGCATTCTGAGGGGGCGGAAATCGGCCACATCTTCTAAAGTCAGCTCGAGAATTTCGGGCTCTTCAACCTTGTATTATTCCGCTTTAGAAGATTACGCTCAAATTGGTGAAACTACAGATTCCTTACCAAGACGCTCATTAGCACCATTGATTGAGAACCAGAGAAAAGATTCGGTAGCCTCCTCTACTTCTTCAATCATGAGTAATCCACATCATAATACCCCCATGGAAAAAGAAGTCCAGAGTGGAATCTCACATAGCATTTCCAACTCACTTTCATCTTATACCATTCATTCTAATTCAACGACACCCGAATCCGTGAATTATCACTCCAGTGTTTTCTCCAAACTACATGCCCCAAACACGAAATAGTCCAGTTCACATGATCATGATTTTTAAATTCACTACTTAATTTATACCTCGGAGGCTTAACACTGTGCTCATATTGCTCTAATCGAGCCGGAGAAGTATTCAAGCCTAGCCTTTAGTTCATTCTGTATCATTCCTTCCATTTATTGGGTTGTAATATTTAGCCATTTACGAATTTATACTTTAACAATTAATAAGTGATTGTAAAATTGTTTATTATATTATACAGAAGGTTGTGTTAATCACAGACCTAAATCGCACAAAGACTCAAAATGCCAGCAGAATTCAATGGTCTCTATCAAAGTGTATTGGAGCTTTGCCAATACACAAGAACTATGAGTGAGAAATTATTATTCTTGTATTTTCTCAACTAGTGAGTATTTTTTTTATATTTTTTGGTTTAAATTTTTTTTATTTTTTCTGGTTTTCTTCAGGCATACCCAACTAAGTTTGTAACTCCTTGATCTCATTTTCATCAGCAACGAGTCCCATAACAACCAAGTACATATTTAAGTTGTTCAACAAGTTTTGCTTCTTGTACAAGTTGGCCAAATCAGAGTTATCAATGGCCTTTGCTCTGTTCATAGCGCCGAAGATTTCGTCTCTGACTTCATCGACGATAATTCTTTGGTGGCTTAACTTACCTCCCAATGATAAGGTAGCCAAAAACTGCCAGACATAGTTTTCTCTAGAAGAACCATCATCGACATCTTCTGGGTGTGGTGGGAAGATAGCAGCGATTCTGGACTCAAGGGAAGTGAACAATTCATCGTAACAAGAAGACCATTCGGAAAGATCGGTTGCGGAAATAGTTCCTTCACCAATAATCAATTCTGCCCTTGATAAGAGGGTAGTCAAGATTGATAAACCAATCTTAGTAGTCGACACGAAAGAAACATTGTTGTGCTCAATGAGGATAACAAGCAATCCGATGATTTCATTAAACTTGAAGTATAAGGCGGCATTCATCAAAACCTTGGAGAAAGTCAAGGAGTATGATTCAACTAATCTCAAGACAGAATCAGGAACTTTCTTAGACTCATAAGTAGTGTAAGATCCATTCTTGATGACAGATAAATTCTCCAAGTTGGACATCACCAAAGTCACGATAGTCAAAATCTGTTCTCTACTCAAAAACTTGAACAAACGCAGCAAGATCTTTAAGGCCTTGTTGTAGTTCAAACATTGAATGAATGGGTTAACTTCAGCCTCGTCATCTCCAGAGGAAGAAGATTGTTCCAAAACTCTCAAGGATTCCCATAATCTGGTAGTGTCAACGTCAGCACTATTTCTAGATTCACTTTCAACATTCATAAGCTCGCTAATGATGTTCTCCAAGATGCTCATGATATCCTTCTTGCTGTACTTCTTACTTGGCTTTGATGGAGCAGAAATAGAAGGAGATCTGTCCTTCTTCAAAGAACCAAAGCTGGTGGTTGAGCCTTCCACTGCTGCTTCGGAGCCCTTTTCTTCAGCTTCTTTTCTTTCGATTTCTCTTTGAGCGGCTTTACTGAAAATTTCTAATTGCTGTCTTGGCTTCTTACCACTTCCAAAAGAAATCTTACCCAAAGCACCTTCCCTAGCGTACTGAGTCAACTTTGGTCTTTCTTTGGCAACGGTGACGGCTTTCTGAACTTGTTGTTGCATTCTTTGCAAAGCAACATCTGCTCTCTTGTAACGACCACCTAATCTGTGTCCACTCTGTTCCAAATATGCCTGCGCAATGGAGTTGTGCTGTTGATTAGCTTGTTGTGGCCCGTTGTTCACAGATTTTGGATGAATAACCTTGTAAACTTGAGCATAAAAGTCTTCGTTGTATGGATCCTCGGTAACAATTTGGGATAATTGGAAACGAGTAACAAAGTCCTTATCCTTTGGATTCATAATACCAGAATACTTCATGATTCTTGCAACCTTTTCTTGTCTTCTTGCGAGTTTCTCTTGCTGCTCGGGGGAGAGCTCTGCTTGAGACAATTGTTGGTTTTGGTGGTGGTGGTGGTGCTGATTGAAGTGTTGGTGGTGAGCCTCCGGTTGCTCGACTTGTTGTTGGTTAGGTTCGACAACAGCTTGTCCACCAGTTTGGGGTTGGTGATTGACGTGGAACTTTTGTGCTTCCTTCGAACCCAAAACAGGGAATTGAGACATATCAGCCTTGCTGACACGTCCAACATGGTTTGGAACTTGTTGAGCAAGAGCAACCCTTTCCACAGCTTCTTGCTGCTGGGGTTGAGGAGGCTGAGGTTGGGTCTGAACCTGAGGTTGGTGGGGGTGTTGGCCTTGAATGTTGGGATGATGCATCTGCTGCATTTGCTGAGGAGGCATTGGAACTTGTTGCCCAGCAATGGGTTGCATTGGCATCTGCTGAGGGATTGGACCACCGGGAAATTGACCATACTGACCTGGAGGAGGCATAAATCCGTTCGGTGGCATCATGTAACCACCGAACTGAGGTGGAGGCATCATTCCTGGCATGCCATAAGGCTGAGGTGGAAATTGTAGTGGTTGCTGAGATTGGTCAATCGCAGTGAGCTGAGCCTCGAGCTCTTCCAAAGACATGATCTTCTTTTCCGGGTTTGGGGCAGCCTGATCCTCGCTCTTGTTTGGAGCATTTCCAGTACCCCATAAGTCTTGCATGAACTCGTCATCATTAGCTGCAACTTGCGCATAGCTGACGCCCGACTTGGGAGGTGCTGGTGCTGGGGCACGCTTAGCTGGAGCTCCATGTCCCTGAGCAGCATGAGGAGCATTACCAAAACTGAAATCCTTGCCAATATCACCCTGGCCACCGAAAGTCATTTCGTTAAAGGCATCGTCGGTTTCATCCAATTGCTCGCCCAATCCATCATAAGTGTCCTGGAAATCGTAAGATTCGCTGGGTTGGTCTGGGTGTCTCCCAGATGGGGGACCAGTGGCATCAAATCCAAAAAATGACATGTTGCTGAGTCGTATTCTTTGCTAGCAAATAGTGCTGGTTTGATGTATTCTGTGAATCATTCGTTGGACATTTTGAAGAAAAAATCGTCGAATACGCTCACGTGATCCAATGGTGCGAGGTGGTAGCGTAACACTTCTGGAATGCAAAAACAAATCTATTCTCTATCTCTATGGACTATATACAGGTGACTATTTGAATGCTTGTAATGCTGAAGAAAGCTTGATTTTCATTTCTTCCCATTCTCCTTCGAGGTCACTTAATACGGTGATGGCACCCCCAGCCCCAATTCTCCAGGTGTCGTTGCCTGCCTTGTTTGCCTTGTCGTTAGTGTACCTGAAAGTAGAACGAATGATAACCGACCAATCTGCGTCATCCGTGACCGACCAGTATCCCACCACTCCACTATAAATACCTCTTCTAGGACCACTGCTTTGCATAGACTCAATTTGCTGTAATAACTCAACTGATCTCTTCTTAGGCGCTCCTGTCATCGAACCAGGAGGTAAGGACTTGTGAAGAACATCAATACCACTGTAGCCTGGCTTGATATTCTTTCCTTGGATGACACTAACCAACTGGAAGACTGTTTTATACTCCTCCACTGACATCAACTGCGAAACTTGAACATCTTGAGCAAATTCGAATAAGTCGTGACGAATCAAATCAACGATCATGAGGTTCTCTCCCATCTCTTTCGGTGTTTTCAAAATCTCTGTTGCAGCATTTATATCAACATCAGGGGTATTACGAACAGTTCCTTTGATGGGTCTAAGCTCAACCAATTTCTTGCCTTCGTTATCATCCTTCCATGACAAGAATCTTTCTGGAGATGATGAGATAAGTACACAATCGTCAAACTCCATGAAACATGAAAATGGGGAAGGATTCTTGCGAAGAGTCAAGACCTTATATATATCCCAAGGCTGGATATATGAAGGTAAGCTAATTTTCAGCTGTGTAGTGAGGCACAATTCGTAGGAGTCTCCAGAATGCAAGTACTCTTGACACTTTTCAAATTGGTCCTTATAAATTGACTGAGAAGGAAAATCGTACTGAATGCTTACTTTATCGGCCTCTTCACATAAATCGGCAACTGTAAAAGGAATGCTATCGATATCAACTTTTTCGATCCCAGCAGCTTCTTCAGAAAAGGACTCAACCCACTCTGCGTCATTTTCTCTAATGGAGACAACAAACCAATCATTAGTAAGGTGGTCATAAATCATAAAACGGGTAATGAAAGCTAATTTCAAGTCTGGAGTTGGGGTTGAGGAAATAGGTTCAAGTTTATCGAGCAAAATGTGTTGTCCCTCTTCGTAAGATATGAGACCTAAGTACCCTCCAAAAAATGGTAAATTTCTGGAATGATAATTTCCAAGAGTCTTCTTGATTCTGTCTCTCGATATAAATTTGGTAGCCATCTTGTCGCTTATGTATTTCCAAGGAGTCTGGCCATCCTTGAGTTCTATCTTCGTACTTTCATGGGAGCCATAACTTGAACTTTTCACTGCAGAAGCTTCGTCCAAAGAGTGCGTTATCACTTCTGTCTCGTTATCAATTGGAAATCCAATAATGGACCATTCACCTGGTATGGATGCTGAATTCAAAAGAATGAAATTTGCCCTCTTGTTCTTCTTATATAGATGTTCACAAATATCAATTGGGAGTATTCCTGAGCCCAATTGGAATTTTTTCAATGAAATATCTTGCTTCTTGGTAGTATCAGCGAATAAACCATCTGAAATCAAAGACTTTTCACTAATAGCATGATCTTCTATCAAGCCCTTTGGTAAGTTAGTCAAGTTGATGCCCAAGGCTTCTGGCCTAAATTTCTGATTGTACACATTTGCCATGTTTGTAAAGTTGGAAATCAAGCAATCTCCGTTTGAAGAGCAGATTGATTCCGGATGGTATTGAACACCATAAAAAGGAAGCTCTTTGTGCTTCACTGCCATCAAAATTTTCTTGCCATCCGTCTCATAGCAATGAGCCAACGGAATGATGCTATCATTCAAATTTTCCACATACAATGAATGGTATCTTACACTTTTGAAAGTACCGTCTCCAAGGATTGTGTCTTCTGATATAGGATGGATCTCGTACACCTGACCGTGTTTGACCTGTGTCAATCTGGATACCTCATTGCCAAACTCGTAACATAAACTCTGGAAACCTAAACAAATACCCAAAATTGGTACTGCGGTAAGGTCTGGATTGTCACGATATCTGCGGAAAAGCCAACTGATGATACCTACATCTGATTCGATGGAGGGATGTCCTGGTCCTGGTCCTACTACTACGTATTCGAATAATGGTAGATAACTGTGGAAAAATTCTTCGTAGGTTTCGGGTTCAAAGGAATCATTTCTGATTGTCACAACTTTTTGCCCTGCATTGACCTCCAAGAGATTGGCAAGGTTGTTAGTGAATGAGTCGTATGAGTCAATAAGTAGGATCATTCTATTGACTTTTGATCGTGCAATGTGATACTCTTCTGCTCAGTGGTAGAAATTTTAAATTTTACGAGACATATCTCGCTAAGCAATCCACAGCTGTCGCGGCAATCAGCGGGGATTTGCGCTAAGTGGATTCGGATATGCCCTCGGAGGTATTACACGGGTTTATTACGTATCTTGTAGTATTAGTTGTATACATGAACATCAACGCTCTTTTGGATCTACTTGCTTACTGGTCTTCACTTCATGTGCCAATTGAGGCGCTATTTTCAGCTTTCGCAGCTGCTTCCTCGGACTTGGTGGACACTTTGGCTAATCTCACCTAATCGTCCTCTTCTTCGTCATCATCATCATCATCGTCGTCGTCGTCGTCTTCGCTTTCTTCATCGCTAGAAACATCTTGACCCAAGGACTTTAATTGCTTTTTGTACTTCTTCACATTCTCATCCATTTCCGTCATCAACAACATCAAGTCATCCAAGTCTGATTTAGGAACGTAGTTAGCTTGCTGGTCCTTAATTTTCTTCTTCAATGATTCGATTTCAGACTGGAATGTTGCATCCTTCTGTTCGGACTCATACTTGTATTTACTTAGCTCTTCAATCGTCTTTCTTTGTTCATCAACAGTCTTGGTCAAGCTCTCCATATCTTTTTGGTCCTGGGTCTGCTGCACCTCAAGTTTCGTTAATGTTTGATGGGCTGTTTCCCTTTCATTGACCAATGACTTGTTAGAGAGTTCCAATTCCTTTAATCTTTTACCTTCATTCTCTAGCTTCTTGGTTACTTCACTCAAGTGGGCTTCTTTCTTCTTAAGCTCTTCCGAGTTTTCCTTTAACTTTGAGGTTGACTCATCGGCACTCTTCTTATGCAGAGCTATTGTGCCTTCAAGCTCCAATGTAGACTTTTTATGCCTCGAAATCTCATCAGCATGCTCTGCAAGTTTTGACTGTAACGATTCAATCTCACTCTCGAGCTTCTTTAATGTTTCATCATTTTCTATCGACTTTGATTTTAAAGCTCTTAATTCCTCCAACTCTTTGTTCTTCTTCGAATTATCTGACTTAAGGGATTCTATTTCTTCAAGTAACCGTTGGTTTCTTTGCAATTGTTGTTCAAGATCACTGATCTGCTTTTGTTGATCTTCAACCATTTTTGATATAGTCACTTGCTCTGCTTCCAAGGAGTTTCGTTCCTCAATAAACTTCTGTTTTTCAGAAGCAAATTCTTTCTCCTTTTCTATCAAATTCTTCTCTGCCTTATTCAACTCTTCGGAGATTTCAGACTTCGATCCAGTCATAACCTTCAACTTTTCGTTAAGAGTTTTTGTAGTGCTTTCAAGTTCACTTGTTTTAATTTCAAATTCGGCAAGCTTAACCTTGTATTCTTCCATCTGTGTTTTACTCGTTTCACCAACTTCTGAAAGCTTCTTTTCGAGTTCTGACTTTGCTGCCTCGAGCGTTAAATTTGAGGCATTGAGAGAACTGATTTCTGACAATACTTTATCGTGCTTTTCTTTAAAAAGATCAAAGTCCTTGGCCTGTTCGATTTGCTTCTTGTCCGCTGATTTTAAATCTTCTTGTAACTCAAGGGTCTTTTTGGAATTAGCATTTAATTCGTCTTTTTGTTTTTGGATCTTTTTCTGGAGTTCGTTAACCTCGGATTCGTGAGCTGAAGTCAATTTAGTTCTTTCCTGATCGAATTCTTGTCCCAGCTTTTTTGCAATCTTGTTTTTCTCTTCAAGATCTGCCTTAACTGATTCGATCTCCTCTTGAACCAATTCATACTTCTTCTGCAATTCATTCTTTGTTACTTTGAGATTATCAAGTTTCTGATTATGCTCTGAAGCCTGGGAAGAAACCTTTAATTCCAATACTTTGATTTTATCACCATACTCCTTGATCACAGTCTCTGAGTTCTCACTTAACATTTGTCTTTCCTTCTCAAGTTCGCTAATTTTATCTTTCAACGCATCTTCAAGACTTGATATTTGATTATCCTTCTCTTTAACTTGATTGGTGAGTTCATCTTCGACCTTTTTAATCTTATTTTGGTAGCTAAGAAGAGTTTTTTCGGACTTTGATTGTTGATTCTTCGATTCAGCATTCTCAATTTCAGCATTGGATAAATCTTTCTTGATCTGAGTGATTTGATCATTCAAAGTATCCAATTCTGATTTCAAAGTGCTTTTCTCTGCTTCGAGAGAGCTATATTTATCAGACTCCTCGCTTAATTGTATCTTCAAATCCTTCGCCAAGTCTTCCAAATCCGATACTTTGGAAGATTTCTCTTTCAAGTTATTTTCGATTGCAACTAATTCCAGTTTCAAGGTACTTTGATCCGAAGAATATTTGCTCTCTAATTGCTCTTGCTCAAGAGACTTTTTATCAATATTTTCCTGAAGTTCTTTCAACTTTTGCTTCAAAGATTCCTCTTCTTGATGAGCTTTTTTCTCCTTTTCCTCGGATTTCCTTAAGCTTTCCTCCAAACTTTGAACCTGCTTATTCACTTTTTCAATCTTTATGTCTTTTTCGTCCACTATGGATTTCAAATCAGTCTCCGACTCTTGCATCGTTTCATTTTTCTTCTTCTCGGTTTCCAATTCGCCCTGAATATTCGCCAATTTGCTCTCTAATAATGACTTCGATTCATTCAATTTAGACATATCTTCTTTGAGTTTGGTGGACTGGATAATAGCCTTCTTTAATTGTTCATCCAAAGCATCCAAGCTAGATTGAGAGTCGCTCAATTTCAACTCTGTTGTTGCCAATTTTGATTGATTCTGTTTGGACTCCTCTTCAGCTTTTTTTAAGTTTTGTTGCACTTCCTGAAGCTTGGCCTCGATCTCACGATTCGATTCCTTCAAAGTGTCAATCTCTTCTTTACTCTTTCCTATCAATGATTTATGTTCTGAAGTGGCCTTGGAGAGTTTCTCTTCTAGTTCACTTTTTATTGTATCGTGAGTTTTAGTTAGGTTATCGAATTTATCCGAAACAACTTGATGCTGAGATTGCAATAGTTCATGAGACTTTTTAGACTGTTCTAACTGGCTCGAGGTGTTACTTTGCTCGATTCGGTACTTTTCAAGCTGGGACTCGTGCTCGATTTTCAAAGAAGCAGAATTGGACTTTTCGTTTTCTAGATTCTTCTTGAGCTCCTCCATATCTTCTTTGAGCTTCTCATTTAGTACTGTCAATTCAGTGTTCTTAGCTTCAAGCTCACTCACCAGACTTTGTAATATCTGCAACTCCTTTTGATGTTCTTGTTTAAAGGAGCTAAACTCCTTTTCCACTTGCACTTTCTCTTCCTCCAAATTAGACATCTTAGCGCGTATACTTTTGAGTTCCTCAGACAAGCTGTTCTTGTCAACGAGCTCCTTTTCCATTTCTCTGACTCTGGTTTCAATCTCCAGTTTGGATGATTTCATTTCTTGGAATGCGTTTGCAGCTGATCTCAATTTATCCATCAAATGTGAATTGCTTTCTTCAGTTTCCTGGATCTTTTCGTTCAAGCCTTTGAGGCTGTTTGAATTATCTCTACTCATAGTTTCTAGTTCTGCATTTAAAGTTTCAACCTTCTCTTTAAATGCATCATTAACTTTTGTGAGTTTACTAATCAGCATTTCATATGACTTCTTGCTTGATGATAATTGATCCTTTAGAACACTAATCTCTTTTTCCAATTTTTTGATGAGAGCCTCAGACTCCGATTTCTGTTTCTTCAATTGAAATAAATCACGGGTCATGTTATTTATTCCAACCTCTAGTTTCTTCTTCGCTTGCTCTGTGGCATCATACTTGGCAGTCAAAGACTTCAAGGATTCATCGGAAGTTGTTGTCTTTTTCAAAGCATCTTGTAGCTCTGTGTGGTATTTCTTTGATAAAACTTGAAAATCCTTCTTTTCTTTCTCAGTGGTAGTTAAAATTTTACTCGTTTCATCGTGTTGCTTGACTGCAGAAGAATGATCAGCTTTCAACTTTTCTAATTCAGACGTGGTTAGTTCTAATTTCTTCTCTAATTCGGCGTATGAATTATTTATCAGTTTCAAATCCTCCTTGAGCTTCCCCTCATTTGAGTTTGCACTTTCCCTTTGTTCATCTATTTCCTTTTGTAAAGTTCCAAGTTTGATATCAAGCTCTTCGAAAAGTTCATACAGGACTTTACCATAAGGAGCTGCATTGGGATCATGAAACAACGATTTTTTTATTCTAATAAAATTATCTTTGATCAAGTTAACATATAAGGAATCAAAGTAAACATCTGGCAATCCTGTCTCGTCAACACCGTTTCTGAAAATCCGTTCCTCATCAAAATTCTTGAAGTTATCGCGATCCTTGAATTGCTTCACCTTCAAGGCATAATTATCCCGTCCTAAAGATTTCACCAACAACGAATTCAACTCGATCCTCGACATGGGTGAGTCTTTTGAAGAAAACTCATAAGTCACACCCAACAAAATTGTTGCCATACCGTGTACGATAACAGCCAGCTCGGAAGAGTTACTTGTTAAGAAAGCCAAGATTGACTTTGCAATTGATGAATCACTTAAGAAATCATTAACAGCATTGAAATCCTCGAATAACCAAAAAGTAAGGAGCATGATGTATCCAATAGCAATTCTAGGGTCCATTCCCTCTAAAGTTGTGATCAAGAGACCAGAGATTGCCTGGATAGAGTTCATCACCTCCTCTCCAAGTTCTTCATTTCCAGTTTTGACGTTTCTTGCAACATCTTTGTTCTCCTCCGCATCTTCAAATAAGTACATTAAAACGAGAGCAGCAAACCACACTTTATAAGGGTTAATCTTCACAGAAGAGTCATAATCCATCAATGTAGAAAATACATTTCCATATGGTGGCTCCCTTCCTGTAGAGCTTGAACCGTTAGAATCACCATTGCTAACATGTTCCTGGTTTGAAGGATTTTCCTCTGCAACTCCATCGTCGACTGATTCGTAGTTATTTTGAGAGTTGTAGGCTTTGATTTGATCTGATAAGAATGCGGCCTTCGACTCCTTGTTATCTTTGAAATACGCATGCAAGCAGTACGCAGCGTTGGCTCTAATGTCAAATGAATGTACTGAATTGATGAAAAGTGTCCAATTCAACAAAACAATCGGAACCGGGATCGACTTGTCATATGGTTGGATCTGGGTTGGCATCGAAGGGTCTATGTAAGGAACATCGATCTGTGAGAACAGAAGTTGAAGTTCTGGGTTCCCGGCTATGAGATCACCAGCAGTAAGCATTGCTGTTGATCTGACAAAATTATCAGTCAATGGTGAAAAGACCAACTTCAACACGATGAAAAGAATCCCTGATTGAAAAAGCTTATCTTGGTTCACATGGATGAACTCGTTCTCGTATACAAAGATTCTGCAAATTTCCAAACCTATCATCATATTGGATATTCTTTGTTCTGTCCACACTATGGGAGGAATCAATAATGGAAACCCATTTTCATCTAGGCTGTCCTCGTCATATCTTTCCTCTATGGGCTCATCAAGCAACTTCGCTAATCTAGGTACACATTGTGTTTCCAAAAAAAACTTCTGGTTTGAAGCATTATATTGCAACAAGTTTGTAATGAGAGTTAAACAGTCTTGTACCAAAATAGAACCTCTAATGCCACCTTCCTCGTCTATTATATCAAACAACTTCTCGAAGGTGTTTTCAAATGCCACTAACTTTTGAATGTTGAAATTGTTATTTACCACGGCCATCAATAAAAGAATAGCTTCATTCCTAACTGGTTCATTTGCATCATTCAAAAGAGAAACTAAAGATGAAATGGAGGTTGGTATATCCAAAATACAATCCTTTGTTCTCGTTGTTCTGGATGAAACAAGTGCTTCCAATAATTGTAAAGTGTAAAGCCGAACATGGAAGTCTTCGTGATTCAGCAATATTTCCAAGAGTGTTTCTATGATCTCTTTGTCTTGAGTCAACTCATCTGCAATCCACAAGGAAAATTGGTCTAGCGAGAAGTCTTCCATCAAGAGAGGAGATGGGTACTTTCCATTTTGGATTCTGGATTGTTGGGATATCCAGCCTCTCGTTAAGTCTTCATTCGATTCACCTCGGATAAATAAGATCAAGAAAGTCTCCAAAATGGCCTTTATGATGGTAGTGTTGTCAACATCCTTCTTGAGTGTTAGGATCAAGGGCCTGAGACCGTGTTCAACAACGTTTTCTCTGAATTGACGACTGAAGCTCTTCAAGCCAAGAACGGCTGATCTCCTATCTGAAGCTAGATTGGCATGTTGGAGTCGATTACAAAGGGTTGGAATTGCTTCCTCAACCAGCTGTGATTGGTTTTGCAGGGATAATATACTGTTCAAATAATCCATAGACTGCTAAACATTAAGATGCTTCAAGTGTGAAAAGACCTTTGACACCACGATTTATTGAAACGGTTCTCGCACCGACTCGAAAAAATATGATAGTAGAAATTCGCGTCCCAAGTCTCAATCATCTTAAACTAGATACATTCCATCCGCTTGATGAAATCACAAATGCTTACGAGGCCTGTTAATCCTTCCAAATAGCCTATACGCGCAACTAGAACCCAATCTCAATTGAAGATCTTTTGCACATGATTTCAATAGTATGCCATTCGATTTTGATTCAAAATATGAAGTTAGCGAAGAGGTAGCAAATCTCCCATCAACTGTTGAGTTCTTTCCCGACTTATCCCAATTTGAAGAACAAGAGAAACAGGAAGAAGAACCAGATTTTATTCCTGAGTGGTCCTTAAGAAAGATTGCAACACTTCAATCTAAATTGGAGGCCATACAGAACCATAGAGCGAATTCGAAGGGGTTTTTTGGATCAAGAGATCTGATAAGCAATTTTGGATCTTCGCTAATATTTGGCCTTGCAAATGAAGTGTTTGGTTTCAATGGTTGGTCAACTGAGCTTGTCGAGTACACTAAACTACTGGAAGAAGCTGACGAAGAGAACAGTAGATACTCAGCGAAGTTCTCTGCAATCATAAGAGTAGTTTTGAAAGATGGTGCACATAGCGAGGATTTTGGAATCGGAGAGGCAATCAACATGCCACATCGGTATATGTGTTACAGCAAGTGCAAAAAGCAGGCAATAACTGAAGCAACCAAAAATGCGGTCATAGGACTCAGTTATAGAGTAGTCGACTACGAAATGAAGAAATTTGAACAACAGTTGAAGCAAGAAAGGTAGGTTGTATATTGATTCTACTGTGTGATGGCCAGCCGGTAAATAGGTGTGGAATTGTGAAACAAGTTCATGTTATATATACAGTTTCTATAGAACAAGATATACGTAAAACTTAGCACGTAAGCATGATTAATAATCTAAAATATTCTTCCTTGGAAATTCTCTAATACTAGGTGCTGGAATTTCAGGAATGAGGTAAACTTCGCCATTGTCATCGACCCTTTCTCTGTCCTTCTCACTCATATTATGAATCTCATCCACATTTTCTTTTATGAAGTCAATCAAATCAACCCAAGACTTTTGGATTTGGTAAGCTTGTTCCTTCATGCTTCTTCTAATTAATCCTTCAATCAATTTAATTGCATCGCTTTCGGTTTGATCCAATCTTTCCACAAGACGCCCCACAGACTTGATAAGATATTCTTCCTCGTAAATAGTACCCTTTCTTCCCTTTGCTTTCTTTCTCTCTTCTCTCTTACGATTTTTGGTGGTTCTTCTAGATGCTCCGGTTTTTGCTGTACCTGAAGTCTTACCAGTGTATCTCGTAAAGAATGATGGTGTAGTTGAAGTTTCTGAGGCCGCAACAGAGACATTATCTGGAGTATCCATGTCATCATTTGGAACTCCATAGAATGCATACGGATCCTCTTGTTTTTTGGCTCTGAGTTCTCTCAATCTCCTTAATTGAGAAGTCATTTGACTTTTACAATCAACCAATAATTCAGCAATGGTACCAAACCCTTCACCAAGCTGAACATCGACAATTGATTCAATCAATTCTGGTCTCTTTTCCTTGGAAGCTAGTAAGATAGCACTATCGAACAGGTAACTCTTACAATACAACTTAACTGCCTCCTCTATGTTACCTAAGAAATTGAACTCAATCTCTGCAGCTTCGGAGTACTTGTGATCATCCACTAATGAGCTGCTCAATTGTTCAGCTGAATCTCTCAATCCATCTTGGAGCTCGGCCCTTTGCAACAAACTCAATGCTTCTCTCCATCTTTTAGCAGAGATATAATTCTTCAATGCATTTTGGAAATCGTTGAGGTATTCATATACCAAACCGGCCTCGCTGTAGAGTTGCTTATCAGCTAGGTGAGAGCCATATAATTTGTATATCTGGTTAGATCTTGAATCATCATATCTGTAGATACTCAAAGCACATTGGTAAAGCTCATGGTTCACCACATAATCATCAAATTCCTCATAGCTAGCAGAGCCCAACTCGTGCAACCATCCAAGTGCCTTTTCATTATTTTTCAAGTGATCATCAATAGAGAATTTTCTTCTAAGCTCAGGTTGAGTATGAAGATTTTGCAAAAAGGGTAAATACTCTTTTGGATCTTTCTGAGACTGCTGTGCGATAGACAACGTCAACTTCACATCATACAACCCCAAGGCCACATTATACAATTTGTTCACATCTTGTAAAAAGCACAAATGAGTCACTGTTTGTTCAACTTGGTCTTGGTTATCAAACGATCCAATAAGCTTCAATGCATCCTGCAAATTTGGTGGTTTTTGACAAGCATAAGCGGTAATTATTGTCTGTAAATAGGTTTCAAAGTATTCAGGTTTCAATAATATTGATAAAATTCCTTCACAAATTTTGTTAATTTTTGATGAGACCTTATTGTCTTCTCTGTTTTTGATGATCTTCTTTACGGAGTTCTGTTCTGTTGCACTATCCTGAAGCTTACTCAGTTGTTCGAGTTGTAATTTTTCAAAAACTTCGCTGATCTCAGCACTTTCGTTCAACGTCTCCTTGTACTTGGTTAAAGTGACATCTTCGTCGTGCAAACACGATACGAATAAATCAAGATGACCAACATTCTTGATTTGGTTGACGAAATTTTCCAAATTGTTGAAAAATAATTGTGGGTCATAATCATGCAATATGTCAAGATCAATTCTGTGGGTACGACATGCTAAAAATGCTTTCTTGAACTCTTTAAGCTTAATGAATTTTCTAACTCCAGAAAGAACCATTATTCTAGGACAAATAGTCTCCAAGTTTCCTCTTGGAGCTTCTAAAACCACTGAATAGTTGGAAGGCATTGCATTAACCAAAATCGAACCCCTTTCAATTTGTCTGATTCTTTCATCTGTGACATTTTCGGTTGATGTTGATTGAAAAACGGCATTTTGGAAATCACCAGTGGTAGTTGATAAGTGAACAAAGCACAATTGAGATTGCGCTGTTGTGAAAAGCAAATGAGACTCTGTTGTTTTAATTGATGTCACTGCGGTTGCAATTTGGATATCATTGGCATACAACTTACCATTTGAAGAGATACCAAAAGGAGTTACCTTTTCAAAATAATCATCCGCAGAAGTGGCATGATCGCCAAGTGCTTCTGTTACGACTAATTCAAAGTCACGACATAACTGAGGAAACCTACCAACTTCCCGCAAATTTTTTTGCTGGTCCAACTGATAAATGGTTCCATCTATGCCTTCAATCGCAAGTGCCTCGAAATTTGCTTGTGCTTTGATTATGATCACCTTGGTTGGAATTTCGACAATATCTTCAAATAATGGTTCCTCCAAATTCTCAATATTGAAAAGAACTATCTTACTACTAACATGTCCATCCACAAGGGCTGCAATAAATTGATTTTCAACAAAAGCAATTTGTTTCAAAAACTCCCCTTCCTCCGAAACAAGTAAATCGCTACTGATTGTGGAGCGTAACTTCGGAGATTTCCCTTTTTTCATCTCGTCAAGTTTAAGAGAAGCCAAGTGAATTTCGCTGTTGCTTGTGCTGATGGCATAAATTTCATTCGACTTACTAACTGCCAAATCGTTTATAGAGCCAGAAACATCAAATTCTCTGAAACTAATTGGAGGTGGAACATTTGCAATTGCAAGAGGCGTAATCTTCATAGTATTTCCATCGGTGACTAACGTCATACCGACATCTTGGCCTATGCAAGTTGGTCCACTGACTATCTTATATGTCAAATCAATGATTTCAAGACCATTTGCCTTCGCAATCATGAGGTGTAATGGCTTTTCTGGATGAAATTTGGCAAAATTGATTTGCTCTTGAGGAGCCACATAAATTTCCTGCTTCAAATACCAATGGTAGTTCTTAGTTGTCCATAATTGAATCCTATCTGTCATTTGGAGCAAAAGTATTTCGCTGTCTGAGGACCATTGTAAATCGCTGACGGTTTCGGAATCTGGATCAAGTCGGGTATTGAACTGGCCGTGTCTCAAACCATTTCTCTCGAAGAAAGCCAATTCTAATGCTAAATCACCATCTTCATCCAATCCCCTCTTAGTTGTAGCAATTAATGACCCTTGAGGCTTCCATGATAAATTGTGTTCAAGCCCATCGCAAGCTTCATTGATGCTATCCAACTCTCCCTTACGACTGAAAACCCTTATGACTCTTCTGTCGAACAATTCATCCGTATCCTGGACTAAAACAGGCTCAATTGTAGTTACCGCGAAAAACTCCCCATCTCCTCTCCAGCTTATCCTGTTGGTCATTGGATCAAACGAAGAAAGTGTACCTCTTTCGACTTCAGAAACGGTAGGATCCTTAAGAGGTCCATCTTCTTTCAAGTCTAATCCAGCATGCTTCAATGCATCCTTTTCCCTTTCAAGAGCTGATGATATCAAGGTTTTATTATCTTTTGTAGCCTCCTTTTCCCTTTCCATAGCCTTGAAGCCTCTACCTTTAAATTGGGTCTCCTTTTTACCCCAACCAACAGACACATGCTTAGAATCAGTAATCTTGATATCGTTGGAGTCCAACTCCTTTTCACAAATTGGCTCGAATAGTCTGGACAACAAGATCAATTTATTCTCTTTAGTCAAAATGGACAAAGTTTCCTCATCTGGAGACCACATGGACGCATTCAATCCAACATCAATTGAGCCGACTATCTCCACGACGGTGGTGTCACAATCTGGTTGCATGGAATCATAGGTAGCCAATATGATATCACCATTTTCTAAAACGAATACTAGCTGACAAGTGTCCACGAAGTGGTTGAAGCTCAACAATCTGGCAGTGGGACTAATAGGAGATGAGATATTGAAGCTAGCCAAAATGTTTTCTTGTCCTGTCTTGGTGAATTGCTGCACCTCAATGAGACTAGACTCCTCAGAAGACAATACATAGGTTATACTATCGGCAACTGGATCGAAAACGGAGTCTATGATTTCCAAGTCGGGGTAGGTCTTTGATATTGTACTGATGTACCCCCTATTTAGAATGGTTAAGTTTCTCATCTTTAATGGAGGAGGAAAACCCTTGAAGCACTTCTCTAGTTAGGTAAAATCCAAGTCTCATCTCAAAAAATTTGATCCCTGCACACAATTTAGCACATCGACTCGCTGCGAACAATCGATACTTTACTTCATCTACAAACTATATGAGTAGGTTTTGCATGCTGTTCGTGAATTTCTATATAATGCGAAGGAAAATGAGGATATTATAATCTCTGACTGCCGAAAGATACTTGTTTTGAACTGATATAATCCTCGACCGCATCCTTGACCAATAAATTTGGATACAACTGGCTTTCTGTTAATGGAGCTCTAGTCAATGGATCAAATTTTCCCTTTTTTTGTAAATGCTCTACCAAGTGTAACTTTTCATAAGTTATTCCACTAGGTGTAATCACTGGATCACTAAACAAGTTGAACGAAATGGGATCAAGTAGCGTATCCGGTGCATCTGTTGTAATCTGGTCAGCAATTTCTTTGTTTGAAAGTGTTGTCTCTACCAAATCGTCATGGTAGGTCCTATCCACGTTGCTCGAAAAGACTGAATTTCTGTTACTCGAAATGTCGTTGGTGGAAGATACATCTGATAACAGAGATCCCAACCTGTAATTGACAATGTTTGACTCGTAGATCCCATGATTGTAATTATTCTTCATGATCTCCATCAAGTTCGAATAATCCTGTAAGTTTCTTTTGTACATTTCTAACAATTGCCGCTGAAATGAAGGATTCTTACTCTCATATTCAAACTTCTGTTTCAACTTATGCAACTCTTGAACATGCTCGGCTTCTAATATTTTGAAGACTTTATAATAGAACGTGTTGGTGGTAAAAATACCCGTCAACTCATTATACTTCTTGATTTCATTCTTCAAGAACAAAATATCCTGGTAGACATACTGTGCGATAACATCGGGGGTACCTTTAACCACCTTGGAATCTGATTGAGTTGCTTTGCTTCCAAGTGAGAACTTGGAAAAAATTTTGGAAGTTAAGTTTTCCATTTAATGCAATGACTTGATTTTGAAACGAAAGTCTGTTCTAGGTTTTATTCATTTCATGGATCATACCTTCTATATAAGGACGATCTTCAATTCGGTTATTTAGCTATTCTAGGCACTTTAGTTAATAATAATAAGGCGTATGCAGGAAGATCTATTATGCAATATGACATATTGTGTGAGCGCCTAGATTTCGGTTGCTCACTCTTAGTTCAGACTGTAGTAGCATTGATGACGTTCCCCATAGTCGGGATATTGTAGATCACTTCAGGTATCAATTCCGCCGAAGTCCATCCATGACTCTTAACTACACTGCTGTGCTTATCCCACTTTGTTTCGATGTGGTGACCGCAAGTGGTTTCGAACCAGGGTTCGGTATTACGTCACTCCTCTACAATAATTAGGTTTGGCATTTTTGAAGGGTCTACTCGGATGCAAACCCCTGCCTTCGACTATTGCTATGTAGCCCTCACTTCTAAATCTGGGTAGTTGAACCTCGGCTATCAGTACCTTAGAATTACACGACTGGACCACCAAACATGCGATTAATGTAAGTTGTTGCCTATTTTTTCAGTTATTGTTTCGTGTGCGGTTTATTTTGAAAAATAGTAAAAAGATGGAAAAACTGTTTGGGTTCTACTACTTGTGATGTAGTCACATTGTTACTACTTTCATACTTAGATAAGATATGTTTATTAGGGAATACATAGTAGTTAGCAAACCAAGTAATGCTATAGTAAGCTAGCTGAACATTATAGGTGGAGAACTAAAAAGGGTTATGCCAGAACCATCAACTAGTATGTCAAAATATCGATGATGATGTTGATGACACTTACTAAAACCTCAACCCCAACCAAGACCACAACAATAAACTCCAAATTTTCTTCATGAGAATGCCCCAACTGTTCCTTCAACATTTGTAACAAATCCGAGATCACTTCTAGTCTTTGATTTAATAGCTCGACTCTCTGATTTATCTCCAAATAACCTCTAGTTGCTTGATAGATTGGTTCTAGGTGGGGTTCTGCCCACATGAGTTCTGGTGAGTCCAAGACAGACCCATGCAAGTTAATGTTGATTCGCAAAATGAATAATTCCCCTATGGATTTCATAATTTCATCTCTCGTCATTTGGACCTTACCCGTTTGTGCAATTTGTTGTGGGATATCTTGAGTGTCCTCGATTGTGTTATCTACCAACTCTTCGAAAAGAGAGATTTTCACCGATTGAGCTAAAGCATGAGAGATTGACAACTTCAACATGTAGTTGTTATCATCTCTTAACGTTATGAAATCATTGTAAATTCTTGGTTGGTAAGACTTAGTGATATAGTAGTTAAACTCTTCGATTTGTATGTCTTCTGATGATAACTTCTCACTCTCAAACTTTGCTAAATCTTCCAAGAATGCTGCTTCTTCCTTTCTCGTGTAACCCCACATTATAATAACACCATATTCAAAAATGAACAAATCGTTTTTCTTCCCAATGTCAATTTCCCCTCCTTCGTCTGCAAGCCTCATGAACTTATGATCATCTTCATCCACTATACTAACATTCTTATTATTGTTACTACTAGTGTTGCTATTATCACTTCTCCAATCTTTGTACATGAAAGGGGTGTACAAACATTCATCAAATAGTTTAGGACTGGTATTGTGGATCCTCTTTCGATCTTTTAACCATCTCAACAAATCTTTCATTTTGTAAGAGCCACAGGTACAGTACGCCGTCACTCTTGGTAGCAAGTCACGGTGCAGCTTTCCTAATGTTTCAGCATCTTTTCTTGCAGATGTATCTGTGATCCGCTTAACCTGAGAGTATACTCTAGTTCTGGACGAAGCGAAATCGTCATCATCGTCATCATCATCGTCGTTGGCATTATTGGTGTTTGTATCGTTTTCAAGATTTGGCGGGTCCTCTGGCAAAAGCTTTAGCTTTTGAGACGTTCTACTTGTTCTTTGTAGCCCAATTTTGGGTGATTGTGCTATCTTTGATATTGCTCGATTGGCTTGGGGTGGTAGAACATTCCCACGAGGCTGAACTGACGAGCTCGTGCTATCGCTACCTTGCTTAATTGAGTCTTCAGGTAGTAGGATTGGATTATCTGACATAGATCTAGTCAAAAGAGGCGTATTCTCCGAATTTGAATTACTCATGATGACTCCATTCGTCTGCTATTAGATAGCCGATAGAAGGTGATTAACAGATACTGAGAGTGTATTTCCAAGAACTAGTCACGTGACACACAATTAAGTCTGATTACATAAGACAGGTCCCAGATGAGATGCCATCAAAAAAAAATACTATTCACGATAACTCAAAGATTCTACACATTACGATATGTCAAAACCTTACAAGGCTAAGACCACAGAGTCTTCAAGGAGGCATGCGTATTCTTCATTCAGAGATAGGATCGAAGCGATAAAAATCGAACCTAGTTTAAATTTGAGTAAAAGAGCCCATGATTATGTGGAATCATCACATCTCTTGGCCACTTTAGAGCATTGGAAAGAAGTCAATATTAGTGGAAACTTCATTGAGTGCTTAGACAAAATTGAAGTCTACTGTCAATCCTTACCCCAAATCTTGCATCACAAAGATATCATATTCAACGCCTTGTGTACTCATATTGAGATAAATGATGTACACTCAATCCAGCCATTATTGGAGATGCTTGCTCAATTTGTCCACGATTTGGGTCCAGATTTCCTTCCCTACTACTCAAAATTTCTTAAAATGTTAACAGAACTTGCATTAGAAATCAATCCAAATGATTCTCAAAACAATCGTAATTCATCGAACGTGTTGGAGTGGATTTTCAATTGTTTGGCATTCACTTTCAAGTACTTATCGAGGAATCTCGTTGCTGATTTGATGCCAACATTCCAGATGTTGTTACCTTTGTTGGAGTTGCAAAAGAAGGTCTATATCTCGAGATTCTGCGCAGAAGCATTATCATTTCTTATAAGAAAACTGAAAGGCGAGGCATTGACATCCATTATAAAGTATTCGTTTGACGAGAAAATTGATACTATCAGAGAAAACAGCATGTATTGCGAATCTCTATCAATTTTATACTCTGAGTCTATGAAAAATACAAAAGGAACATTCCACTCGAAGTCCTCTTTGATTTTGTCCAAAATCATTGAAAATACACTTAAGGTTTCGGATAGAGACATGAGTGCTAAACTTATATCTATTGTGTCCGACATCTTGTTGAATGTTATTCACCATGGATCAGAAGAATCGTGCCTCAAATTCTACGTGCTAGTAACTGATTTCTTGAAAGAAACTATCAGTACCACGGAGAATACCTCGTCATTTACCGGAATAGTCCAAATAATATCAAGTTTGACATTTGCTGAATCGGGTAGAAAAGCTAACTGGTCATCAGTCATTTCTACAATCTCAATTTTGACAGACAGACTTCGAACCGTTGAGAAGCAAAATGAAGACATAAATGAAGAATCAATCATTTTTAAGACTGAGTTAATGGAGTCTCTTCTGTACTTGTTCGTGGTATTGTTTAGAAACTGTGACATTCAAAACTTGACCAAGTGCCATAATCAGTTCTTCACATCTATGATGGAGTTGAATAACGGTGAGCAATTCTTGTTGTTCATAGAGTCATGTTGCAATGTAACTAAGGGTAAAATCGTCAGTTTCGGAATAGGCAAGTACCTTGGTGATTTCTTATCAATGAAGTCCCATTCTGAAGTTCAACTTCAAAAAATAGCTTTCTTCCTCTCGAGGATGGAGGAAAGAGATTTCTACGGCATCAGTCCTAAACCAAAAGTTCCAGTTGAGACTGCTATTTCAATTGTGCGCCAATTGGAGACCAATTACCAGGACATTAGTACCGCAAACGATCTAGTGGCGGTATACTGGAGGTTATTATTGTTGAAAAGCGGAGAGTCTTCAAATGGAGAGTTAGATGAACAGTACTTAAGGCAACTTTTAGAGCAATTAACAAGCAAAGATTTTGCCTTTTCTTCAAGGTTTGCTCAAGATTTGGCTTCTGTTGTCATTCATTCCTTGATTAACATTTCAAAAACTAATTCAGAGTCCTTGAAATTCTTAGTTGAAAGTGTTATTCGTTGTCTCGACACATTTCAAAAATCATCGTTGTTCATTGATTCAATTAATCGACTTTTCAAGGAGGCAGCACCTCACGTTCAGCAAATTTTAGACGAAAACTTCAATGACATTGTATATAAGCTTGTCAACAATTTATCCTTGCCAAGTCATGAATCTCGTCTAAGCACGATTGAGCTTTTGTTTACTATCAACGCAATATTATCGAAGCCAGAATCTCAATTCTTATCCCAGATTAGAATTATTGAACAAACTCCACTAGCTTTAAGCTCTGGTAGAGATATTTCTCTTAGAGTTCGCAACATGACCCTTGAATTTAAGAAGCTGGAAAGCGTTACCGACTTCGAACAACACCTTGTCACTAATTTTGCCTTCGGTATGCTTACTAACAAATTTCAGCCATGTTGGTTGGCTGTATTCGAAGGATTGCCATTTATTACTAGTAAAATTTTGGCATCTAAGCTTGTTTGGGAATTGTCATTTAAATTCATTCAATTAAATTACGAAAGTCAAGATGAAGCCTTTTTTACTTGGTATAATGATGAATCAACACATGTGGAGAGTAGTTTGATCGATTGGCAACCACAAGATGTCAGATTGAGAGAGAATTTCATTAATTTGGAGAACAACGTCATTTCGAAATACAGAAACATTTCATACTCTATAATGGAGTATGCTGAAACAAGGAGAGGTAATAATGTTTACAGTAAGGTAATGAGGTCTCTATGCATTCAAGCACTTAGTGCCGTCCCCTCTATTGCTGAAAGAAATTCTGAAAAGATTGTACCAATCATTTTGAACCAGAATGACGATGAAACTTCCGAGGATGGAATGGATAGCCATCTTCTGACCGCTTCTTGGACATTAAAGGATAGGGTTGACTTCATCACATTGTTCACTAAGTTCAAAAATTTGAAGAAGGTGAGCCAGTCTAAGTTATTATATGAGCATGTTTTGCGCTTATTGTGTCATAGACAACTTCAAATTCAAAAATTAGCGCTCGATGTCATTTTGAATTGGGGAATTGGATCTGTCAACAAATACGGCGATAACCTTAGAAACTTGTTGGACGACACCATATTCCGTGACGAAATCTCGAACTTTATCACTAAAAGTACCGATTCAAAGATTGAGCACAGCGATCTAGAACATTTGATGCCACTTGTGCTAAGAATATTATTTGGGCGTGCCCAAGGAACTCCAAAAAGTAATAGCAAAGCAGGTAAGAAATTTGCTGTAATCTCAATATTGCCAAACTTTTCCGAGAAGGAAGTCATCGACTTTTTGAACTTGGGATCAGAAAGTTTGAAGTACAGGGAATTTTTGGAGGATAATGAAAAAGTTGACCTTTCGAAAACTCAGATCAGAAAGATTAATGGTTATGTGAATTTGTTGAGTGAGGTTTACAAAACTTTGGGACTGCATTTTACTAATGCTTTGAGCACTACAATTGAACCATTGGTATATTCGTTGGTTGTAGCGCAAAAGCGTATTGAATTAGCTGATCAATTCGAAGAGGAAGATGCTGTCATTGTGGATAAAACTGCCAGAAGTATAAGACAAATTGGTATGAGATGCTTAAATGATCTTTTCATGATCATGGGTGAATCTTTTGACTGGGATGAACATATCTTTACAATTTATGAGCATTTGGTCAAGCCCAGAATGGAAAATTTTGCCATTGAAAACTTGCAGCAACCTTCATCCCTTATGAAAATCATTTTAGGTTGGATCGATTTGCCAAATACTTTGAAGTTTTTGTACTTCGATAACTTTGCACCAATCGAAGCAATTGCTTCCTTGACAAGTCAGACGAATGCAAAAGACTCCGTAGTTTCATCTACATTGGAGTTCACAATCAAGGCACTCAGTAAGAAAAATATGATAGAAGATAATTACTTTACATTGCTTGCAATAATAGTAAACTCGCTTTTGAAGAGTTTACCATCAATTATAGATCACATTGCAGACAAAGAAATTGGTGCATTGGTCATCACAGTTCTTCTTCTTTTGATTGAGGGAAATTATATCCACGATGATGACACAAAGGCTTCCTTATTGGAATCATTGACCAAGGCACTTGACAAGCCACAGTCCCAAATAGACCCATCAGACAAAGCAAATATTTTGTTATCTTTGTCTTCTATTGTCGACACGTATGACTGCTCATTCGAACAGATTTTGTCACTTTACCAAGTGTGTTCAAAATCATTCAGACTTTACTCTGACAAGAGAGTCAGAGAGACCTTAGTCAGCGTGTTTCTTAGTATTGGTAAGAAGTTTCCAGAAGTTCAGGAAGTTTCCGAGTTATTGGCAGACTTGAACTCGTACTCTCCAAAACGAATGCAAGAATATGATTTCGAAAGAAGATTGAGTGCTTTTAAGAAGATCAACGAAGAAATTTACGAAAATTTGACCCCTACACAATGGCTTCCACTCATTTACTGCGGATTGTTTTTTATCAACGATGCGAACGAGCTAATCATGAGGACAAATGGTGTCTACGTTTTAAAACGGTTTGTGGATTGCGTTTCTGTAAAGCAACCTTCAGAGGCTGAACCATATATTTCTCAATTTAAAGATATCGTGTTGCCGTATCTTAAAATCGGACTTAGAAAGGAAAATGAAGACATACAGTCCGAATATATTGATCTTTTGGAGCATTGTGTCAGCGCGCCACAGTACTTCGAGTCCTTCAATGATATGAAAGTTCTTACTTACGACAACGATGACGACAAGAACTTTTTCAAGAATGTTAATCATATTCAATTGCATAATCGTCAACGTGCAGTAAAGAATTTAATTGAAGCCAGACACAATTTGAATGAAAATAGTATTTCTCATTTTATTTTGCCAATTATCGAACATTATGCACTTTCAAAAGAAGATAAGTTCATGGGTATCGGGCTTCAAACTCTTGAAACCATTGGTTACTTGGTCCGGTGTGTGAGTTGGAATCACTTTAAAGCAATTTTCAAAAGATACATCATGAATTTGAAAAAGTCAACAAATGACTTGCTCAAGAAAAATGTGAACATGATTGTGGCTATTTCAAGTGCATTTATGTCTTCGGTCAGAGCAAAGAATCAAAACCTTGATGAAGATTTAATTTCCAACTTGCCAGATCAGTCTGAAATCGACCTGTATATTTTGAAGGACTTATTTCCATCTTTGTTGAAGGTGTTAGTAGTCAGAAATGATGATACAATTGTTGCTAGAGCACCTTTATCCGAAGCAATGTGTTCCCTTATAATGTGTATCTCTAATCATTTAATTGAGTCTGAGTTACCAAGTATTTTGACAAGTACATGTCAGGTCATGAGATCCAGATCTGAAGAGTTAAGAGATGCTATAAGAAAAACCTTGTGCAAAATTTTGAGAATTTTGGGGCCCCTGTATCTCAAGTTTATTTTACAGGAGTTAAAGACTGCATTATCCAGAGGCTCTCAGATTCATGTTTTGAGTTTCACTGTTCATCACTTATTAGCCTCCATTTCGGATTCTCTCAAGTTTGGCGATTTGAATGACTCATTAAGCTTGATTATTGATATTGTCATGGAAGATACTTTTGGTGCTGCTGGCCAAGAAAAGGATGCAGAAGGATACCATAGCAAGATGAAAGAAGTCAAATTCAAAAAGAGTTTTGATACAGGTGAAATAATATCCTCAAATATCAACCTATCCTACTTTAGTTTATTATTGGAACCAATCAAACTTCTCCTTAAGGAACATATCTCCTTGAAGACCCAGAATAAATTGGACGAGCTCTTGAGAAGGTATGCATTGGGTCTTAATCACAATGAGGAGGCTGCCAAACAAGATATCTTATTACTATGCTACGAAATCAATAAAATGGCTTTTGAGCAGAAGGAAGAACGTGGGAATAACAACGTTAAACCAAGTGAGGATCATTTCCTTGTGAAATTAACCTCCAAGCCTCAAAAAACGCATGTCAGCAATACAGTACACATCCATACTTTGCAAAAGTTTTCTTTCGAGTTGCTTAGAACAGCACTTTCGAGAAACGAGCATTTGGCCTCTGCTTCCAATCTTTCGGGCTTTTTACCATTATTGGAGGAAGGACTCAAATCAGACAACGAAGGTGTTGTGGTTTCAGCGTTGAGAATCTTGAACTCGTTCATTAGATTACCATTCCTGGAGAACGAGAACTCGGTATTTGAGGAGTGTGCTAAGGTATCATTAAATATAATCAAGGACTCTCCTACAACGAACTCTGAAATATGTCAAGCCGCTCTTAAATTCTTAGCAACAACCATTCGTCACAAACCAGACATTAACTTGACTGAAACAGCGGTCAGATATATCTTGGTCCGAATTCAGCCTGATCTCGAGGAACCAAACAGACAAGGACTTGCTTTCAACTTCTTAAAAGCAGTTGTATCTCAGCATATTATGATCCCTGAAGTATACGACGTGATGGATAAAGTTGCGAAGATCATGGTAGTAAACCATGCCAAGGAAATCAGAGATATGTCAAGAAGTGTGTACTATCAGTTTTTGATGGAATATGATCAAGGAAGAGGTAAATTGGAAAAGCAATTCAAGTTTTTAGTCAATAACTTGGCATATCCTACAGAGGCTGGTAGACAATCTGTGATGGAACTCATTCATCTTGTGATCATAAAATCAGGATCCGATTTATTAAATAAATTGGCATCATCATTTTTTGTTTCTTTGGCAAATGTTCTTGCTGCAGATGATTCGAGTAAATGTCGTGAGATGGCCACATCCCTTATTGCTAGTATTTTCAAGAGCTTAGAGGACAAGGAAGTTGAAAAACTTGAAAAGTATATCTTTGCATGGATCGGATCCCAAAACCTTCAATTGAAACGCTGTGGATTCAATATTTACAAGATTTACATAACAGAGTTTGAATATGGTTCTAATGAACTGTTAGACAAGAATGCTTTAACAAATGTTCAATCTATTTTGAATGAAGCAAAATATTCTGAAGATAATGAGGTGTCAATAGAGTGGGATCTTTTATACTCAGCATTAAACGTATTCACCACCATATGTTCAAGTCTCAAAGAAAAGGTGTTTGTGGAATCGTTTGAAGATATTTGGAAAAGAATCATTGAGACCTTGTTATTCCCACATGCATGGATCCGTTTGATTTCCAGTCGGTTGATAGGCTTACTATTATCCAATTTGGATAGTTTAGACTTTGAAATGGCTAACTACGACGTCCAGACGATTTGCTATAGGTTATTGAGACAACTTGGTGCCCCTTCGATCACTGAGGAATTGGGAAATCAAAATATCAAGAACATTGTTATAATTGCCATGAAATGGGAATCAAATGATACTGTTTGGGAAACTGGTCCTTCGCAGGAATCTGGAAAAATCGTGAAAACTGAACTTGCAAACGACCAATTGATATCAAGAACGTGTGCAATCATGAGACAAGAACATAACTATAAAGACTCATTCGTGAGCAAAAAGAGCTCTATAAAGTTAGCTGCAATGTTAGTGCAAGTCACTAGTACCCGAAGACTTCCAGCAGTTGCTGAGAAGTTGTTACTTTCCTTGTTCAATTTCAAGGATTTGAATGCCCAGAACAGCAAGGAAGAAGAAGAGTTGGTCAATCTTACATTAGAATGTATGCAAATGATTGAGGAAAAGCTCGGAGTTACTGAATACTCGAATGTGTATGCACTGGCCAAACTGAAAGTGGATGTTAGACGACAAGAGAGAAAAACCAAGAGGGCTCAATTGGCAGTCAATGCTCCTGAAGTAGCTGCTAAAAGAAAACTTAAAAAGCATGAAAGATCGAGAGAAAAGAGAAAACATGAAAAGGACGAAAACGGTTATTACCGCCTGAAGAAGAAGAGATTCAATTAAATTGTATTTATAATATTAAGTAGCTACAATGTCCTATAAATGTATATCCTAACAATCATACTACTGTATGAGTAGTCTGATCCACAGATTTTGGCTTTTCTTCAGTTGTGGTCTCTATTATTCCATCACTTGGTAAAACACCAGAAGAAGCACTACCAGGGTTCTGTTGAGAACTAACATCCAGTCTCGGATACTGTTCCGTAGGAGGTGTATCCGTATAAGTGTTTTCATCACCAAGTTGTTGGTCATCCCATTCTGAATTCATTTCATTGTCATTAACCCCCTCACTTCTTAATTCTTCCTCGGGCAATTCAATACCATCCGAATCAACTTTTTGTTTTTTGAACAAGCGCTTCTCGTCTAAGTCATCTCCATTAATCTGTTTCTTTTGGTTGTAAGCAAGCATCTCCGTTTGATATCTAGTCCTATCATCCTCATACAATTTGTAATATGGCTTACGCTCCTCCTCGTCAAGATTCTTCCAAGCCTCTGTCATGCTTTTTGATAGATCATTAGCAACCCCTGGGTTTCTTATTTCATTTTCTTGCTTGATCCTATCCTTTTCCAATTCACAGAAAATCAAGTATGCGTTGGTAGGTCTTTTCGGTAAGTCGGGATCACGAACCTTTTGTGCTTTAACTCCTGAACTGCTTCCGGCTGAGCTGGAAAGGTTGCTTTTTGTTTTCTTTGAGTTCTTTTTTGCCACCCCGTTCCTGGACAATTTCGAGACGGAAGGATTTGTGGAATCATCCAATACATTGGCGATTGGAGGAGCTGCCATTTCCTCGAACGAGTTTATCCCATTTGGAATGAGAGTTGCTCTTTCCTCCAACCGTTCAAGCAAAATGGAATACTCAAGTCTCAACCTACGTATGACAGCTTTGGTTCTAGACAAAGCAAGTGTGGCTACCTCATTATTGCCCTCTACCTCTATAACTCTTTTCCTTAGTTCTTCACATTTTCTCCTATATATTTGTTCTATGGTTAGCATGACGCATATATGACAGAGATTCATAGTTGTACATACCTTCAGTTTCATTACCCTCTGCTGCTTCTTTGATTATTGGTGACATGTTTGGTTAGGACACCTTGATGTCAAGTTCATTAATCATTTCACTCCATTTGATAATCGCACTTGAGTTTGACACGACCACCCTCGACCAAGCTCTTTGAGCCGCACTACTCCCTAAGACAGTATGGATTCCTTTTAGGCACATCAATTTCAGGTATATAAAAAAACACGGAGAAAAGACTAACTAAGACTAAGCATTATTGGTTGATGCTGGCGACAAAATCTCGTAATCGGAGTAACTTTCTTCATCACCTTCCACGCTGATCATATCAAATTCTTCTTCCTTGTCTTTCTGGAGTGTCTCAATAGACTCAGTTGATTTTGCATCAACAAATTCAGAGACAGAACTTGTTGAATCGACCATTAATTCTTTTGGTAAAGCAGGTAAAACCATGGAGTGGAATGAAGAAATTGAGGGTGACTCGTTTACATATTCAGATAATGAAGTATTCTCCGAATCATTGGTTTCTCTGAAGTCCTCGGCGCATGACTCAGTTTCCGAACCAGCATCGAAGTTGGGCAAACCGGTGACTGAAAAGTCGAATTCTCCTGTCAACTTTTTCAAGCTGAGGAGACATGATCCATAAATGAACCCGTTCCTCAAAATTAGCTTGAAAGGATACTTCATATGGGTATTAATCAAACTCACATTGAACTTGCCCACTTTACCGGGCATTATACCATGACTCTTGCGAATGGTCACAGAAGATACCACGGAGTCCAAGTAGTTGACAACTTCTAGCTTCAACTCAGAACAATCGATTTCCTTGTCAGATTTGTTATGCACGATAATTTGGGACATGGAGCTGGACTTAGGAACTAGTGTGACAGTCACCAAACCAGAATCACCTGGAGACTTTACTGAGCTATCCTGATCATTTACTTCATTCGTTACAGACCCATCGGATTCGTAAATCAGTAACTCTGAGCTGCGGTCACTGTAAAATTTCCCCTCCAAAGTTAAATTAGAATTAAAGATTTTCAAATTCGTTCCTGAAATCTCATTGGAATTATCGTTTAATGCTCCAAGATTATAGAATCTTTGCTGCCCGGGTTTGATATCACTTGCATTTTTGATCACAACAATTTTCGAGAAATCTCCATTAGAAAACTCGAATTTGAAGTTTCCACCCTGAATAACTTCATTGGAATTGTTTACTAACATCAAGGAGATCATTCTTGAATTGGCTCCTGATAATTTTTTAGGTTTAATGTGAACAGTACCTAAATGCTTTGAAGATTTCAGTTGACTAGACTTATCATCAAGTTCTGGCTTTTCGTCAAAGCTTTTCTTTGATTCAATAAGGCTTTTCAAAACTGCAAATTTGATTTCCTCATCTTCCCCCAGTATCTCTTCTCCTGTTACTGAACTAGCATACGACACTAACTCCTCGTATCTTTCCGAATTCTTAAGATACTTCTCAAAATTTTGAAATAAAGTTGTAGTATCACCCTTGATAATAACATCCTGGAGCATTTCTTTCATCTTTCCGGAGCAATTTTCAAGAGGCAAATCACAAACAACTTCGAAATCACTTGAATTCTTACATTGGGTATCAGATCTATTCTCTGTGTCCCCTCTTGCAACATTCTGGCCTGGAGTAGTTATCTTTGCCATTGCGTGCGACTTGGAATGTGTCTCCAAAAAGACTTCACCAGATTGCAGTCGATTCTCACAGGCTTGGCATAAATCAAAATCCGGGCATACCAAACAGCTGTAGCGGACTCCTTTCATTGGAATCACATTCGCAATACCAATTGGATTACAACCGTCACACAAGATGCCTTCATGAACCACCAACTCGTCAGCAGCAGCAGCACCTACGCCATGCTTCTTTTCATTAACACTTGGGTTGGGAGTACTTGGTTCTGGGCCAACTGAGCTTGGGGGTTGGGAAAAGAGGTCCTTAAAGTGCTCCATGGCAACCTCAATTAAGCGATCACCTAAAGCATTAAAATCAATTGTCGACTCCTTGATCAGTTTGTAATCATTGTAATCATTAACAATTACGGGACTTCGATCATTTATAATCAATTTTACTCTACTCTTCACCATTAGGCTTCTGGCCAAAGTTCTGAAGTCGCTTGGTGTTTCAAGTGGAACATACTCTTTATGTCTCTTGGACTTCCTCAAAAATTCGAGGAAAGGTGCATTGCTGGAAGACAAGGCGAGCTCTGTACCTGACAAAAACGTAATGAGAGCCTCCTTGGAGTCAATTTGATTGAACTGGGTCCTTTTGATTTTGAAAGACTTGTTGCTTGCTGGCTTTGACGGATGAGAGATCTTGTTAAGTGTGACCTGCAAAGTCACAGCCTCCTCCTGTGATGAACTCATGATTGATTCAACTTCAAATTAGTAGATTTGAATAAGTTATTTAATCAATTGGAATACAAATGATTTGCCATCCAAAGTTATTTGCCTCCGTAAGGGGTGGAAACTCCTCAATTTCTACGCCATCCGCGATAAGCAACCCTCCCTATGCACTCTCCTAAAAGTGTGGGGTGGGTCAAAAAAAACTTTGTTCCATGACTACCTCAAAACGCAGGTGATAAATTCTTTAAGTAATGGGTGGATATACATATCCGAAAGCAGTGGTATTTGACCTCGACTATACAGTTTGGCCTTGCTGGTGTGATACACACATAACACCACCATTGAGATCGACCAGCAAGAATCGAGTAACTGATGCCTACAAATTTAACCTTGCCCTATATGAAGATGTCAGTTCCATCATCACTGAATTGGTTCAAAACGACGTCATCATAATTGGAGCTAGTAGAACTGCCACCCCCAGGATTGCACAGGAATTATTATCCTTACTTCATATTGGTGATAAGCCAGCCATCAAATATTTTGATTCATTACAATGGGGACAAGGATCCAAGATCAAACATATTACAAAAGCTGCTAAGCAATTACAACTTGAGGACGATTTAAAGGATGGTCAGTTCATTTTATTTGATGATGAAATGCGAAATAGAGACGTAGAATCTATCAGGTGCCATTTTGCTTATGTGCCCGATGAGGAAAGGGGTCTAACTAGGCAAATTTTTGAAGAGGAATTGACAAAATGGACAAATTCAAGGCGGAAGCAATAGATTATAGAATAAATATATTAGACAGATTGAGTAGCAAAACAATTAGTTCAGTCAAATAAATAAGTGATATTCTTGATTCTTTGGGGACATGTCTTAATGTAATAAAGCAATCGGATTAAAAATTCGGTGAAGTTGAAATTCAAAATAATATTATAATTCATTAGAAGTTTCCTGAATTGACTTAACAAGGGAAACAAGGTTATCATGAGAAGCATTTGGCGGAGGGTTGATTTCTTTCTGGTTTAGTTAGTAACATTTGACAAGCGACGGCATACGTCTCTGGTAAATACGTACTTCTCCCAACCAGCTCTTAAGGTCGGCCTGAGACCACTCGGCGATATCTACCTGACTCTGGGTTATGTTGACCGCACTTTCGTCAAGTGATTTGGGAGACTCTTTATCCTCCAATTCGATTGGAGTATTATCATCATATTCTTTGGGGTCTTTATTTGCATCTTCGGAACTTTCTTTCTTCTTAGTACCGGATATAAGTTCGAACACAGATTTTCTTAAATGGGGAAAAGTACTCAATATTAAGTATGCAGCCCCAACAACAACAGCCCCTTTTGCCGCTGTGAACTTCCATGTACGATTACGACTTTGTTTCAACTGGAGTGCCATCTCACCTATTAGATAATGGTTTCTTTGACTGACCCCATTTAACGAATTGCTGAGAATATGTGTGATCACGTGATCTTATACTGGCACATGAAGATGCTAGTATTTATTATTGAATTTATTTGATATATAATACACAAAGAATTAACGGTTATTGCATTACCTTCGTTCTTAAGAACTGAAAATTGGTTTATGGTCATCTCATTTACAACTCTTGAGAAATCTTTTCTGGCTTTCCGGACTTCTTAGGTAATAAGTTTTGGTGAATGTTTGGTAAAACACCACCTTGAGCAATTGTCACATGACCCAACAACTTGTTTAACTCCTCATCATTTCTAATGGCCAATTGAAGATGTCTTGGGATAATTCTGGACTTCTTGTTATCTCTTGCTGCGTTACCAGCCAATTCTAAGATTTCGGCAGCCAAATATTCCAAAACAGAGGTCAAGTAAACTGGGGCACCTGAACCAACTCTTTGAGCGTAGTTACCCTTTCTCAATAATCTATGGACTCTTCCGACTGGAAAAGTCAAACCAGCCTTTGAAGATCTAGAGGTTGAAGCTTTTTCGCTTGATCCTGATTTTCCCTTTCCTCCTGACATTATTTGATTAATTTAGTTACTGCTAAAGAATACTACTATTGCTTGGTACTTATACTAGAGCTCTAAAACCCCAGTTCCGACTAGATGATCTCGCTACACATTGAAATGTAAACAATAACATGGGGATCTTTGATCAAGTTAGAGCACCCTACACTGAACTTAAGGACGAATATTACACATCGAGTGCGTAACATTGGGAACATATCCACAATGCGTATGTTTTATACCTCATGCGTAAATCTCAACATCTATACGCGACCGCGTCTTGATGTTTACCTTCCAGGTGCAAGACCAGATGATATAAAACGAATACATTTCCTTGAGCCCAATCTTTCCTAATACATTAAAACATCACACCAAAATGGCACCACCAAAAGCAGAAAAGAAACCAGCCTCTAAGGCCCCAGCTGAGAAAAAGCCAGCTGCTAAGAAGACTGCTTCTTCTTCCACCGACTCCAAGAAGAGAACCAAGACCAGAAAGGAGACTTACTCTTCTTACATTTACAAAGTTTTAAAACAAACTCACCCAGACACCGGTATTTCCCAAAAGGCAATGTCTATCATGAACTCTTTCGTCAACGATATTTTCGAGAGAATTGCTGGTGAAGCCTCTAAGTTGGCCGCATACAACAAGAAGTCCACCATTTCTGCTAGAGAAATCCAAACTGCTGTCAGATTGATTTTACCAGGTGAATTAGCTAAGCATGCAGTTTCCGAAGGTACGAGAGCTGTTACCAAGTATTCTTCTGCTTCCAACTAATCATTTCCAGGTTGATCTGCAGTACTTAATTTTAGTTTATTCATGTGTATTATTAAATCTACTTTCTTTACGTTAAAACGGTTGCTAGATTTCATGTAAGAGATCTTAAGTACACTAGTGGTTATTCTGAAGGGATCTATTTCATTTTAGAATCCATAGCAGTAGAAGATTTTATCGAATTGTAGCAACCAAATCTAAACGGACCCAATAGCGTTATACTAATCTAATAATTATGACAAAGAGACAGACTAATCTCTACGTCATTCCTCGATTAAGATTATCCCAACGATCAGAATGTAGATGTTTTCATATCAATTTGGAATGGAAAATTACAATTATTTGTATAAGTAGTGATTTTGAGTCGTAATTTGTCCAACTCTATAATCTTTATCTATAAACAAGTAACTGCTTTTGATAGAATATCGTTGAGGTTTTTGATTGATGCTTTGAATTAAATTCCGACAACTTCTCCACTTCTACTATTAACCCTGGCACTGTTACAGCAACAACAATATGCTCACCAATAAAAAGACAGCACAATGACTTGTCATAGGTTTGATACTCAACAACATGCTGACTCTTGCATCTGTTGAAGCTGAAAACCTCAATAGTCGGAGTAGCCATTATTCAAAATTTACGAATTTCGAAGTATTTTGCCAACAGCAGCACAAGTAATAAAGGAAGATCTTACTTTTGGAGTGTTTATCAGTTAAGGCAAGCTCGGGTAGTGAAGATGTTTAAATATTTCAAACAATTTGTTTCTGACGAACGTTAAGAATATCGTGAAATAAAAGTAAATTTAACCAAAAAATGTAAAAGTCAACTAATCTAAATAATCAAAAATCACACCCATTAATGAATTTTGGGATGGGTGTACAGACCAAGTAATTCTGTTGGATTCAATAATGCAGCACTTAGTTATCCTTCATTATGTGAGTACAACTACTGGAGATCCCTTCCCTTGATTACCACCAACAACTTACTGGTTCCTGGTTCCCAATCCCCAGCAGATACACCTTGAGAGAAAGTGATTTAGAACAATCCTATTTTTGGGAAGCAAATACAAATACATAGTTATTGACCGTAGAGTCAATTAAATTAGCTATACTCAGATTCTTGCCTGCTGCTACATGTCAGTCAAGAGTTGTCCAGACAATACGATCAACAAACTGGGTACTTACTTCTCCATACCTGAGTCAAATTCCTATCAAGTTTTAATACACCCGCAGAATCTTGCTGAATGGCCAGCAATTAAGATCAGAGAACTACATTTCAAATATTCTGACTTTAGTAGCAACTACACCCTATAGCACCTTAAATATTTAACACCGGAAGACACTTGATCAGTTTTCACTATCAACCGACCCCTAGCGACCCTGAACCAGAACCAAAAGCGATATTAAATAATCTTAACAATCTCAAAACACTTAACCACTCTAAACCATAGCTGTAACTTACCAGTATTGTGTTTGTGGTGATTCTGTAGATACTGCACAAGTAAGTGGTATGCGCATATCAATTTGCCGATAGAGTACTGCTCTTTCTTTTCATGCAATATGGCGCTACACAGTTAGCGACCCCCCAATCGCTAGTGTAACTCTGCATGATTCGAAAAATAGAGCACTTCCAAGGCAGACACATTTACCTCTCGCCGGTATTCTGTAAGTTGAATCATCATAGCATAACAGACATAGCAGCAACACTTATAGTTGTTTACCAGCGCCTGGTATCATAAAATACTCCAAGTTAAACGAATGGTTTCAAAATTGTTCCGAAATGCATGTAGACTAAGTAATTTCTTTGAGATTCGAGCTCAACAGGATTGATCAGCTTGTTCAACTAACCTAACTTGACGACAAAGAACTGTGCAAAAAAACCCATTACCATCATCAAGCCGTTATAAGCTTTATTAGATTTATTGGATTTATCGGAATTTTTGGCTTCAATGTCAACGTATTTTGCTCCACTGGGATTGCTAAATTTGTCAGCTTGGTTGTATTTTGAGCTCAATGTGAGTTCAGTTTCTTGTAAACGGCTGCAAGTTATAGCGTAAAGATTAGAACCTTCATTTTCACGCAGTATCAAGAATTCTACAGATTTCATAAACTGTTTTCTCAATTCTTTCAACTCACTTTTAGTCCGACTGTGAAGAAGGTATTCGAAGCCCCGCTCGTCAAGCATTTCCATGTCATAGATGACCCCCCTGGTCCTAAACCTGACTTGTGAGTCTTTATCTATGTCAAAGTCGACCAGCGGTTTTATCTCATTAGTTCCTTTGCTACTTCCGTTCTTGTGACCCCAAATATAGAGTTTTATCTCCTTATCAATCGCCATAGAACGGCTGTATGTTTTTTGGTAGAACACTGAGTTTTCATGCAGGCCCTTTCTCAAGTGATCCAAGACAACCTCGAAAACCTTATCCATTCTTTTCAACTCGTCCCTAGTCCGAGTCTTAATGATGTCTTCGAAACTTGCATCATCAAAACCTTCTAGAATATAATCGACTCCAATGCTCTGAGCATGATTTGAACTTTCACGTTATCATCAAACTCGTGCTTTAATTTTTTGACAGGAGTACCATGCTTGGTTTCGACTTTCTTCTGAGATTTCGGTTTTCCTTCTGTACTAACAAAGAATGAACCAAGAGAGTATTTTATTTTTTTAAATTCAAATCCAAATATGGACTTTGAAGTGAACAATGAAGCGTTCCCAGATGTCCCCATGTTTTCGGTGGTGGAGATCTGATAAGATAATGACAAAGGATTTTCCATCTTGATTCCAGAATCTTCTTTTGAATTCTTAGGGAAGGCTTTCCTGAATTTTCTTTTGATGCTTTGCTTGAGCTTATAGCCTCTTCCCTTTCTTTTAATCTCAACGTGTGGAAATTGTTCATCATCCACAGACGGAAGGAAATTGCTATCAATGCAATCAACTCCATCTAAACTGTATAGATAAGCAGAAGGACCATCATATACAGTGTTCTTATACTTCAATAGCACTTTGTCAGAGCGCAGGAGAAGTGATCTAGTAATAGCGTTCAACTTCTTAGGGAGCTCGCCCTTAAGAGGATTCCTATTTTTTTGAAACGCCCAATAAACAGGTTTCCTTTCCGGGATCTCAACCAAGGAGCCAAAGAGTGACTCCTCAACGGTTAACGGGATCTCAGGAACTGGTACAGATGGCTCTTCACCTTTCTTTTTCCCAAACTTAAACTTGGAAAGACAATCACGGAACATGCTTGGGTAATCGGTTTGTTGATTTTGTAAACGTTTTACTTGAGCTTATTCGATTTTATACTAAAAGATAGTATGAGGAAAAGATTCTAAATCTCTAGGATGACAAAGGCTGAATTTATAGCTGGTGCACAAATAGGATCGCAAGTACAGGTTGCAAAATTTGCAAAGGATGTGCACAAATGGATATTTTGGCTGGAAATACATTTGATTTCTGTCTATTTACATCAGAATCGATATTTAATAGTTTTATCTTAATAGTTGAAATCTTTTGATACTACTATGGAGCGTTTAACTGCCGTGTCAGCATGCTTTTACCGCAAAACAAGTGACCACCCTCTGGTTTGGCTGCGAAACAATATCACGTGATATTTATTGGTGAAATTGGCCTTAGGAACTACATCGAGGCTACTCCTAATGGTAAATGCCATGGACACATAATCATCAGGCTTAATACATCCCAACTGCAAAATCTTCCTTATTAGTCTTACGCTCAATTTCCACAACGTTATCTACATCTACATCAGGACCATCAACCTCTTTTCTGAGTACCACACTCGCGGGGGATAAAAGCGGTGCACAGAACAAATTTCTCCTTAGTACCCACTTTCTATACTGCTTCACCTATCTTTCTTCACGAGACTATGATTCAAGGTCGATGAATGATGAAATTGTTGCTCACAGAAGAATTGATTTTAGCTTTATTTCCCGTTCTAGTTGAGTCAAAATAGGGCATCTGCTTTGCCTACAATTATACGCCTTCCCATTCTGAAAGCAACACAAGGCTTTGGTAAAGTAAGAGGTCTTTCCTGCTGAAAAAGTTAATGGCTGCTGAAAACCCATTGGATTTAGGTTGTTTGATGCTTTTTCCTGTCACGATGAACTTGTTGTATCATATGTGCAACGGTTGGCCAATTTACAACAATTCTAAGTTGAAAATAATATCGAACATGTTGAAAAGGACCCGCTGAGTTCTGAGAGCTTTATTGGCTTGAAGAGTACCACTTATCTTGGTTTACTTGTGTTTGTGTTTGTGTTTGCCACCGTGTGCACAAATGCAAACTTTTGCAACAAACAAGAATCACATTGATTATACCATAACTCGACTCAAAAACAATTCCGCAATAGTTACCACCCCTGAACGCATTCAAAGACGGATATATTGGAAGGCGCCACCAGATATCCGAACAAAATAATTGGTAATTTTGCAAATAAGGGAATGCGGTGATGAATTCCCATGGATCCCTCAAATCGATTGAAGTCGTTCAAGCCCATACGGTGAAGCTCTCCAAGGTTTTTGCTGCTGAAGATTATGACTAATTCTGAATTCTTCATTTGTTCTTGTTCACAGATAGGTATACTGCTCTGGTTGGAAATTGCTCTAGAAAGATAGGGAATCTCTCCCCCAAGACGACTTATCTTTCACAGAGTTAACTCTTGATAGTAAAGATGGGAATTCTCTCCCCCAAGATGACTTGTCTTTGCAATCAGAGTAGACCCGTGGTACCCAGAAG